CCTGGCGGGGCGCGCTCCCTCGCCCGCGCGGCGGCGGCGGCTGCTCGCGGCGCCCGGCCGAGCCTCGCGTCGCCCCGCGGCGGCCCCTCGGCGCGGGATGGAGCTGGAGGCCTCGCTGGAGCAGTCGGTGCAGACGCGCATCTTCAAGATCATCGTCATCGGCGACTCCAACGTGGGCAAGACCTGCCTGACGGTGCGCTTCTGCGGGGGCGCCTTCCCCACCAGCACCGAGGCCACCATCGGCGTCGACTTCAGGGAGAAGGCGGTGGAGATCGAGGGCGAGCACATCAAGGTAGGGCGGCGGCGGCCCTTCCTCCCTTCTCGGCGGGGCCGGCCGCGGGCTCTGCTGACCTTGCCTGGAGCGGAGCGGGGTTGCCCCGATCGAGCCGGCGGGGGCGCGGGGGGTCCGCGGGGCGGGAGGGTTTGGGCACCGTGCTGGGCCCTGGGAGCCTGCAAGGACGCCCTCCGGCCAGTCGGGGAAGGAGCGGTGACAGCAGCCCCCCCCGCGCCCCCCCGTTCCCCGCAGGGCCCAGACCGTGGAGGCGCCGATGGGAAGGCAAAGGATGCCCGCGCCGCGTCTCGTTGGAGGCACGAAACGCTTCTCGTTTCCTCGCTTCCTTCTCTCCGCCTCCCCGCAACTCTGTGCGGTGGATTTTAGGACAAGAGCGGGCGAAGGGCCTGCAGTCGCCCCGGGAAATCGCATGGCTAAGCAGGCATTCCACTTTACCCAACCTAATGCCCCCCCAGCTGACTGGGGGTGATGGGGGTTGTAGTTCAACACACCTGAAGGAACCCGGATTAGGAAAGGGTACTCTAATGCTCCCGTACTTGGTACCCTGCCGATGTGTTGGACTACGGCTTCCATCATCCCTACTCAGCACTGGCATCTGGCCCTTCTGGGTTGCATTGATGGGTACTGTAGTCCAACACATCTGGAGGTCGCCAGTTGGAGTCAGGCTTTCCTAACCATTACGTCATACTGGCCCAAGGGACAGAAAATTCCACCTGGGATGTGGCTGTTTCTGTGAGAAAGGAAGCACCGTAGTTAATACCCAAAGTGAGAAACGTTTGGAGCTCCACCTTGTCTTGAAGAGAATAGTTCTGGACGCAATCCCTGTGCCATCTTTCTCTTCCCGCTGCGCCACATGTAGAAATTGGCTGCAATTCCCCAGTAGCAAAAAAAAAAAAAAAAAAACCAGGACCGAGTCATGCAGTGCATTTACATGACTCAAAATTTTGATGACTTGCAGTTGCCTTGCTGAACTGACCCCTCCACCCACTCCATGCAGTTCAAGATGAAAACCTGGTCTGCCTTATTGGATCTGTGTTGCCTTCTTCACATACGGACACATTTCTGCCACGATCGAATGCACGGTGCATGGATGAAAGAGCCCTCATGTCTGTATTATGCTCAGATGCACTTCCTTTCTTACCAACACGTCTTGTGTCCCCTGAAACAGAGGCCTACTAGACATGGAGCTGCAGAGGGAAATTGAGAGTAAGGATGGAGATAGACAGAAGCACACAGGTTTGAGCTCATGATGAGGGGCTCAGCCCCTCACTTGTTTGCTTGCTTGTCTGGATGTCCATCTCCTTTTTGCCAGATGCAGATGAGGGTGGTGGGGTTCCTAGAGGTATGAAAGCTGCGCAGAAGGGGAATTTCAGGGCAGTTGCCGTTTTCGCGGCCTGCCACGAAACAGCACCCACCAGAATCCCCCCTTTGCAGAATTCTCAGGTAGATGACACTGCCACTGCCAGGTAGATGGACACTGCCACCTTTTTCGTTCCCTTTCTCTGGGGGCTGGCCAAATGCGTTCGCCGCCTGAGGCAAAAGGACAAGATGGTGGAAATTCCCGCGCTTAGGCATCCATGGCAATTAGCCTGGCAGTTGAATCTTACTTCAGCTATTGGGTTAAATCCCTGGTGCTGCCCCTGATGGTTGGACCACAATTCCCAGAACCCCAGCTAGCATAGCCAAGAGTTATGGGACTTGCAGTCCAAAATCCGGAGGTCACCAGGTTGCCTGCCCTGACTACAGTTGGATAGCATCTTCCAGTGTGGCTGGGGAAAACAGACTAGGCTGACACACAGACTGGATTCAGACAGCACACTAACCCACACTGAAAGGTTGAGAGTTGTCAGCACATGGGCTATCCTGTTGCTTCAGTCCAGCTGTTAGCCACACAACCCATAAGCAGAACCCATGGTTTGTTGCTAGGTTGTGAACTGTGGGCTGTTCCCCATGATTTGCTGCCCTGGCTGGGTTCCGACAACATGATAACTGACATTTCAGTGGCAACCCATACTCAGCCCTTGAGCGTGGGTTGTGGGATTGCATGAATTCAGTGCTCTGAAGCCCTGCAGCTGCTCCCTATACCCGCTGCCCTGAAATTATTTTGCTGCCTGAGACAGACTACTCATTCTGCCTCGTGACAGGACTCCGCACCTCCTTTCTATGGTTCTCCTTTAAAAAAAAAATAGCAGCGCCATCCAGTTGCTGCCACCAGATTATTGTATTAATAGACTTAATATTTTTTAAATGCTTTAAAAGCACCCATGCTGGTCCACAAGGCATAAACCAAAGAATCCACAGTTGGACAGTACTTTAAATAGGACCGACTGTTTGGCAGTATTTTTAGTAGGATGAAGAAGCCTGCATATCTTTGTGGTATTTTGCTTGATCCCAGTAAATTTATTCCTAACTGTAGAATGTGGGTTTAAAGGAAGAGGAAGCAAAGGTGCTTCAGAACAGCCACGTTCTCAGTGGGGAGGATATGCGGAAGGAAGTACTTTTCCCCACTTCCATTTCTTTCTTCAAATCATCTGCCCCCAATGGCTTTCTACCAGCAGGCATGGTTGCAAGTGGAATCTTTCCCTTTGTAATACAAGGTTTGCATCTTTTCCAACAAAAGTAAGTTATCCCTGCATCAGGGCGCAGAGATGAAAATGCACAAGCAACACTGGCTTTCCTCACTTGCAGTGCTCTCCATTTACCTTGTCAGCAGCAAGAGAGAGAGAGAGAGATTTTCTGGTATTGTCAAAGGTCTTTCCCTATTACTCCAAGGTGTGTCTCCCCCTCTACAGTTACAAGGTATGTAGTTGCAATGAGAAAAGAGGCTGCATTGTGCCAGGCAAAATATCTGCCTGAATGTAACTGGCACTGTGGACTGGGTGTGGAAGTGGACTTTTGGACAGATACCACCCTTCTGGTATTAAAATTTATTTATCAGATTTGTCGCCCGCCCCATTAGCCACACAGCTCCCTGGGTGGTTACAGTCTCCCTCCCTCTCTTTTATAGACCCTCCCATTACTGGCCATATATATGGCTTGATGTATACGTGCTGCAAAAGATGCTGTCAGAATGGACTGGACTGGACTGCTTCAGAGGGCAGAATCCCACCTTTGAAGGCACTGCTGCGTTAGGAAAGCCAACGTGCCAGTTAGCACAGCAGGCCAAGGGCTGACCTCCTTTTCCCCAGACAAGTTTTGCCCTGTTTGCAGAACATTTTTTGTTTTAAATGGGGGAGAGAATTAAAAGCTGGTGTGTGTCCTCCCCCACGCCACCCTGGTGTGAAGTATAGTGTCGTGAATGTGCTTTGATTTGTTCTGTGCCTCTCAGTCTCTCTCGCACACACGCTCACCTCTGCCTTCCAAGGACTGAGGATGGCCTGTGCCCTTGGGAGGCTTCTAGGGTGCAGTACAAAGGCCAACATGCACAAAGGATTTCTGGCTGAGGGGGAGTGATTAAGTTAAGGGAGTGCCGGTCTGTGTTTGCTTAGCAAGAAGACTGGAGTGGTCCAGGACTTGGTTCCTTGTTCCAGCATGCTGGGTCTAAGCTGGGGAGAGATCTGGTTGGAAGAAAGACCTGAATCCAAATCCCCATTTGGCTGGGAGGCTCTGTGGGTGACCGGGAGCTAGTCTCGCTCTCTCTCGTCCCTTATATGGGGTTGCTCTGAGGATAAAATGAGCAGGGAAGTGCCACGAACGCCACTCCCAGATCCTTGCTGGGAAGGCGGGATACAGATGCAGGCCTACCGTCATCCAGCAGCTGCCATGACTTCAGTGCCCCCTGCAGCAGGGGGACTGCGCTGCTAGGACAGGCACCTTTCCTGGGGACCCTTCCCTGATGGGTGGCTGGATCCGCAAGCTGCCTTTCTAAATGCCTCACAGCGCCCCCAAAGTCTGCATCACTCTGGGCCATTGTGCAAAATTAAGGATCTAGGCAACACTGCAGCAGGGGCACTCTGGGAAATTTAAAATGGTGACTCACAGCTTTCTGCTCTGCTGCCACCAGGTAAGCCCTGAGCTGGGGACCCACCAACACCAACCAGAAGACACTTTGCCAAGGGTCCCATGTGTCCTGGAGCAGGGCCCTACATAAATGCCACAGGAAATTCTCTACTTCGGTTGTCCCCAGCATGGTGCCCTCTAGATTATTTGGGCTACAGCTCTAGCCAACTCAAGCCAACATCTCCAATAGCCAGGGAATCATAGGAGCTGTCGTCCAAAACACCCAGAGAGTCCCAGGCCATCTACCTGGTTTGTAGGCTCATCAGAAATCTGTTGTTTTTTTCCAGGTGCAGGTATGGGACACAGCAGGCCAGGAGAGGTTCCGGAAGAGCATGGTGGAGCATTATTACCGTAACGTCCATGCCGTTGTCTTTGTGTATGATGTCACCAAGATGGCCTCCTTCCTCAACCTCAAAACCTGGATTGAGGAGTGCAATGGCCATGCGGTCCCGGCCCTTGTCCCAAAGGTGCTGGTGGGGAACAAGTGTGACTTGCGGGACCAGATCCAGGTGCCCTCCAGTGTGGCCCTGAAGTTTGCCGATGCTCACAATATGCTTTTGTTTGAAACCTCGGCCAAGGACCCCAAAGAGAGCCAGAACGTGGAGTCTATTTTCATGTGCCTGGCTTGCCGACTGAAGGCCCAGAAGTCTCTGCTTTATCGGGACATGGAGAGGCAACAGGGCAAGGGGCAGAAAACGGAGTTGGCACCAGAGGCCAGTGGCAAAAATGCCTGTCCATGCTGAACTGCTGACCACAATTCTGACCGCTTAGTGAGTTGGGGGAGGGGGGGTGGCAGAGAAACTGAATCAAGATCCACTTGTCTCAATCTAAGTTAATGTTCACTTAATAATAAAATTTGTATGGCTCACAACTGGCTTGGGTGTAGCTTCATCTCTGGAGAAATACGACCTGAGAAAACCTTGCCCACAACAGTTTCAACACCCTAAACCAGGATTGAAGGCCAGCTGGTGACCTCCAGATGTTCTGAATGACGGTTATCAGCATCCCTTGCCATTAGCCATGGAGTTGCTGGTTGGAGTTGCTAGGAATGATACTCCAAAACATTTGGAGGGGATCGGGTAGCCTTTCCCCTGTTTGCAACTGTCTGGCTCTTTCCCAGTCTCCCTGGGCTGAATTAACCATGGGCTGAATACTTCAGTTCCCATCACCAGGCAGCTTGGGGTCAGTTTAATAATCTCTGATCCAACAAACCCTGAGCAGAACATCAAATCATTGGTTAAACGAACCTGGAGTTGCTGTTATGCACAGATCAGGCCAGGACAAGGAATTGGCCAGCACGGGCCTGATGAGCCTGGGAATGTGGTCGCCTTTATACGGTGGACCTCTGTCTACATGCTGGCAGATGATTATTGCACGGGTGAAGTAGGGGGAGACTTGGATGCATCCTCACACAGAATTGGGCATAGGAAGATCGGCTCAGCGGCACTTGCTTCATTCTGATTGCTAGGTTGCTGCCTCCCCCTTTCTTTCCCCCATTCTAACTCTGGGAAGGGGAAAACAAGAGCTACACACTAGGTAGCTGTCTAGAATGACCTCACCTTGCTCAGGAAGTCTGTTTCCTTGTTGCTGCTGAGGTGCAACTAGGTAAACACAGATAGGTGAGTCCAACTGACTAGGTAAGCAGCAAGTGGAACTATATTCTTGGGATATCTCAGGCTCCAGGTCCAAACTGAAAGAACATGTTTATTAAAGTAATGTAAAAAGAGGCAGAAGGGGAAACAAGTTGCAGACCTAGCTCAGCTCTTGGCAGTCAAGTACTCAGAAGTTCGGGTCCCCCTGGACAGGTATGGCACACCTTGCATCATTGAATGGTCAAAGGATGGGGAGACCAGAGAGACCAAAAAAAAAAGGTATTTTCTATTTTTATTATGTTTTGGCCAACGTGGGCAAGGGGGATTGCTCAGCATATTCCACAAGTCAGAAGAAGGGCACTTACCCAGGAAGACCCTCTGAACCTTTTGGGACTATGACAGCTTCTCTCAACCTGGTGCCGTCTGGATAGTTCGAATTACATCTCCTAGCATTCCTGATCATGCTAGCTAGGACTGGGGGAAATTATCATCCAAAGCATGTAGAGGGCCCTCGGTTGGGGAAGCTGGTCTAGGAGATGGACTTGAGAAAACGGTTCAGTTGTATTTGATTCTGGGCTATTGAAGTGTTTCCTAAAGCATTTCCTTTTCGATTCTCTCTGGCAGACTGGAAATATTAAAGAACATTTTGTTCTGTTGATCTGGAAGCCCTGGGAAACATGTGGAATATCATGTGGGTCATGGATGATTACTGCTTTAAACAGATAGGCACTGAAGGAATGATTCAATGCCCCAATCTCTGAGCTGATTTGCAGCTCATCAGCAAATCATTCCGTGACTCCCACAGGTTCAACAACAGCAGCGATAAAGGCTTGCTTTCAAAAATAAAGGAAGCTGCTGAAACTTAAGTTTGGAGAGAACTTAGCCAAGCTGCCCTAACTTGGGGTCTTCCTGATATGTTGGACTACAGCTCCTCCCATTCCCAGCTGGCCTTGCTGGCTAGGGGTAATGGAGGTTGTAATATGCCGCTTTGGCAGGGCTCTAGCTGGGCAAAGGCTGCCCAGCATGGTAAGTGAACTCTTTGCCCAACAGAGCAGCAAGAAACCCAGGCTGCAGGACAAACATGAAGCAGAAGGGTCTCCTGGTTCTCCTGGTAGCTTATTTCCCCAGCACATGTGCAGGTCACGTGCTCCTGCTACATGTACCAGTTACGTACTGGGGGAATTTGCAAGCTTTGCACAGCTAGTTATCAGAAGAGGACAATGTGTGGAAACACAAACATAACTGTTAAATCAGTGTTACATTGAAGTCCTGAATCTATAACAAGAGTGAAATATGGGACAAGTTGCTGTGGTCCTTCAAGAGGTGCAAATGTTGTGGTGGGTAAAGGCTTGACCTGACTTAATAGGAGGGATGTCTAGCCGTGTGTTTAGCAATGCAGGTGATGTGACTAAGGTAGAGGCTGTGGCAGAGACCCTGCTTGGCAGGCAGGAAGTCCCAGTTTTGATCCCAGCATCTCCAACAGGACAGGAAAAATCCTGGCTGAAAACTTGGAGAGCATTTGCCCTTCTGAATCAACAGTACTGGCTTAGATGAAACAAAGCTCCATGTTTCTAATGCATACGAAAAGAACAGGATCATGAAGGCATGCCAGTCCACATCAGGCGGCAGACTGCGGTTCTGCTAAAGGACAGCCAATGAATCATTCAGTGCTCTTGTTTAGAGTTGCAGCCAGCCAGTCCCTCTTCCAGGAAACCTTGTTCTGCCCCACTGCTTTTCATCCCCACTGCCCATGGCAGCCGTTGCTCCTAGACTCCTGTGCTCCGTCCTCAGAGGACTATTTCGTGTGCCTGCCTGCCTCCCCCACCCCGAAACATCAGGACTTTTCTTTTAAAATAAATTCTTCAGATCTGGGGGTTATCCCAATCCTGCACAAAGCATCCTTTGTGTGTGGAGGGTGCCGTTTGGCTACATGAAGAGCCACACAACTGGAGAATTGTGTTTGCCATTTGTGTATCCATGACACTTTTGTCACGGCAATGGGAATAGCATTCAGATGTTTGCTTATCAGGCACCAGAATAGCCGGGGCCAGATCAGAGGAAGAAACTATATGAGCTGGATGAATAATATGGCTGTTTTCTCCCGAAAAGCTGCCCAGCTCTTGGTGACACTTGCCTGTAAAGGAACGGCAGCCACAATTGGCTCCACTTTATTCTTTTCTACAGACAAATCCTAATTTGGCATTCTGTTCATGCAGGTTTCCCCAACTTGGTGCCCCACTCCCCCGAGGGTATGCCAGTGGGAATCCCATCAGCCCCAACCAGCATGGTCAGTTGTCAGGAATTATGGGGGTTGTATTCCACATCTGGAGGTTCATAGGTTGTCTACCCATGATTTAGATTGGGGTGGGTAGCAGAAACATCCAGATTTAATTTTTTCCTTTGCATGATGGCTCCCAGCATTGGCTGTGCCTGCAGCAACTTCTGTAAACTGAATTTCCAAACTTTCAGACATCTTCTTTTTGTCTGCCCCCAATTTAAGTAAATTAGTGAGATTAGCTTTGCTAGATTGTTGCAATGTGTGTGCAAATAAGCGGAACCCCCTAGCTCACTGGGCTGGTAGCCAAACCAGAAACCAAGAGTGACACAAAATTACAAAAATACGGGGAGGGGGGGTTGTGCTGGCCCATTCAACGTTTCAGAGGCACAACACCTTGCACAAGTGAAATCTAAAACAGAAATTCATTGTCTCCCCAACACTAGTGGTTAAGAGCACAGGACTGGGACCCAGGCGATCTGGGTTCTGGTCGCCACTCAGCCATGGACTCAACTGGGTGACTTTGGGCCAGTCACAGACTCTCAGCCCAACCTACTTCACAAGGTCGTTGTTGTAGGGATAAGATTGAGAGCATCAGGAAGAGAATGATGTAAGCCACTTTGAGTTTGTTGTAAGAAAAAAGTGGGATATACATCTAATAAAATAAATAATCTAAACTACAGGTGGAGAAGATGTCGTTGTACTACAAGTCCCATAATCTCTAAACTTGGTGATTTTATACACATAATCCAAAATATACACAGCACAAAAAACTATAATTGCATCCATTCACAAATGCATTGCGAACTTTCAACATATGCAACATCACCAATAGAATTTGCATTCCAGGCAACCGAGTGACCCAGGCTGGCACAAAAAAGGAATAGCATGGGGGAAATAAAAGCTTGTCTGTATCCGGACACTCAGCATCCTACAAAATTCTACAAGCCCAGAAGCTTTAGTCCCTGATGGCAATGGCAGTTGGCCAGAAGCAGGATTTTTTCCCCGAGAAGGTGAGGTAAAAGCTCAGAAAAGGACTGCGGCTCATCAGGCACCCGTGATGTCATCCTGGCCTGCCGAAAAGCAATTAGTTGGCTCTTGGTGATGTTGGCTGGCTGCCACTGCTCACACCTCGCTGCTCATGTTCCCCTCAAACCAGCTGGAAATGCCAGAGCAGCAGGGTAAGCAGGAGCCATGTGCTTCCCCCAGCACTGGGATTAAAAAGGCATGCCATTCAAGCGCTTTACGGTTTTTGTCCTCTGCAGATTTCCAGCAAGTTTCATTTAAATAAAATTTAAATACAATTAACCAATGAACTGAAACTTAACAGCTCTCATTAATGCAGCAAGAGAAGAATGGGTGTCGAAAGAACAAGATGGCTACAACTTCATGCATCGCTGCCATGATAACGATATGGAGAGTTAGGCTGGGGAACTAACAATGGTAAAATGAATGCTGCAGATCATGTCCAGCAATCCGTGAGGTGCCAAATGTCTCTGGACTACATGAACCTAAGTAGACCAGGATACTGGAAGGACTGTATTTATCGTATAAACTTACCCATATGCTTCACTGGAGAAAGCCTAATGCTGGGAACGACTGACAGCAAAGGGAGAAGGGGATGGCAGAGGTTGAGGTGGCCGGGTGGGGTCCCTGGGGCGGTGGGTGTGGGCTTGGGTGGCCTCCGGGGAGACCTTGTGCAGATTCCTGCCTTTTGCTTATAGGCCTGAGAGTTAGATCTTTTTCAGGCATAGCATTCTTTGGGCATTCTTTGTCCCAGAAGGGAAGAAAGGAAATTCTGGGATGCAGCAGCACCCCTGGGAGGGGAGGAAGGGAGAGGAGGCAAAAGAGAAAGATAACAAGAGCAACAGAATGACTGGGCATAGGAATTTGTCCAAAAGTGTGTGACTGTTTATATAGATTTATACTTCTCTTCCGTCCAAGGCACTCGGGACACGCACGTGGTCACCCCACTTTACACATGTACGCACATGCTTTATTCTCACAGCAAGGTTGCAGAGTAGGATTGGTTGACAACTGATGACTGGACTAAGATTGCTCAGTCTGATTAATGACTGGGCAGAGATTTAAATGGATCTCTCCAGTTCTGGTCCAATGCTCAGTCCAAACTACCGAGTCACCATGACAAGCTGTGCCAGTTTTCTGCAATGAACTGTGGGGAAGCTTAGAGCAGAGAATTTACAGTCTTTCAAATATAACTTTATGGTCTTTCCTTATAAACATGGAAAACAAAAATGTTTTTCATGTAAATTGAGTTTCAGATCTGAAGGACAGAGAGCAATACTAGCTGCGGCCATAAATATATTATAGGCATGATTTTTTTTTTTTTTTTTTTGGAAGGGATCACGTTCCTCAGCACTGTGAGGAGACAATAAGAGCCTTTAACAGGCTGTGCTGGAAGATGGAATGGGCAAGCTTTGTGGCCTCTGTCCCAGCTCACCCCCTCCCTTTTTCTCGCTCACACAATTTTTATTCTTCCATGTTTTGGCCCCATCTAGTTGTACCGCATAATTCTGCACATTAATATTTAAGCCCAAATATTAAAACATATTATTTAGGAAATCAAATTAGATATATTTTAGATATAATGATCCATAAAGAGTTACTTTGGTGTGATGCCGAATTCACAAAGGATAGAAATCGTATGGAAAACATTTTATTTAGGGAGGATAATATTTTGGATTTAAAGAAAATAGAAAATCCATTTCTAAAGAATATGTTGGAACTGTGGAGATACAGTAGGAAGATTTTAAGCCCGGTAATTTCCCCATTAACTCCAGTAATGCAATGAAGAATTTTCCTGAGAATTTGAAAGGTGAGTTACAGAGAACATACTCTAACAATATTCAGGAGTATTGAGTACATAGAGTCTTGCGGCCATAAAAAGTATAGCCAACGCATGCATTCTGCAGTCAATGGGACTTACTCCCATGCAAATATGCATTGGGCTGAAATTTAACATATCAATTTAACTTATTAAAATGTATTTTAAAAGGAAAGAGCAAACATATTGAGCAGATGTATTAAATAAACGACACAGACTTATTTAAAACTTTTATATGCCGTCACCACATGCCTCGGCATCTTGGGACAGCTCACAAATGTACAATTAAAAACAATAAAACAATACAAATTCCATAAAATTATATAAAAACAAAAAAGCGACTGTTAACGGTAAAAATATTAATTTTTAAAATAACAGTTATGGAATGCATTATTACAGCGTTGACAGATGAAAAGCATAACCAAACGCCATTGCAGTTCTTAGGACTTCCGATCTCAAATGGAACTTTGCTTCCTTCCCCATTCCGATTTCCAGAGCCAGCTATAGGGAATTTTCAACTTCGGGAGGGAAAGTCAGGTACAGCCGACGTGAAGCTGTCCAGATGTTATCGACTATAACTCCCACAAACCTCAGCCATAATTGTTCATGGTCAGGGATGATGGGAGCTGTAGTCTGAAAAGTCTGGCGGATGCTAGCTTGCCTACCCCCGATTTAAACCTACGCCACTCCATTCCGACGTAAAAGCACGTTAATTTTGAAGGCACTCTAGAGCATGTGTCAGTCAACCCTTTTATCTCTACGTTTCGGCTAGTGAGCCCAAGCAGGCTCGGGATTGGCTATCTGGCCGTGAAGCGCGGCCTATGCGAAGGCGGCGGAGGCGGGACTACGCCTGCGCAGCCAGTCCGGGAGCTGGTACGGACGCGCGTACTCGAAGGTGACAGCATCGAGATGAAGTAGGTTGGGGATCGGAGACGGGGTTAAATCGGGGCAGGGGAGAGCGGCGGCGCGGAGGAGCCGTGACAGGCTGCTCTTGAGTCGACGCTCCCTCTCGGAGCCTGCACTTGTAAAGCATGTTTTACTTAGCGCATGCGAAGTGAAGACACGGAAGAAGGCTCCTGAGCGTACACAGAGTGCGTCATCATAATGGAGTCACTGCAGCCGATTCGAGCACCCGGAGTTAGAATTCTGAGTGTGGGGATGTGTCCTTTGCGTAGACCTGAGCGACATCTCCCGCTGTAGTGGTTAAACCAACCTACCCCACCCTGCTGCCATCCCGATGTGGGGGACTACAGCTCCTATCGTGCTTAGCTAGCATGGCCCTTGGTTGGCTAGCAGAGAATGAGGACAGTTGCAGTCCAATATATCTAGAGAATGCAAGGATGGAGAAGTCTTGGTTAGGAAGCTCCGTGGGTGACTGTGGCCCGTCAGTCAGCTGAACCTTCCTTAAAGGGTGCTTCTTGTGAGGAAAATGGCGGCGGGGGGGGGACGACGACGACGACGACACACACCTCTGTATATCATGCTGAGCCCCTTGGAGGAAGGCTGTGATAAAAATACATAAATACATAATTAAATGTATTAAAAAAGCACATGGCTCTTTAGAAATAGGTGATTGTCAACACAGTGAGAATGCGGTGTGAAGTCTGCCTGTGACTCATTTTTGTTTGATTACTTGTTTCTCTCTCCCTCATTTTCTCTAGCCCACTAACCAAAGTGAAGCTGATCAATGAACTGAATGAACGTGAAGCACAGCTGGGTGTGCAGGACAAGGTCTCCTGGCATGCAGAGTACAAGGACAGTGCCTGGGTGTTTGTGGGTGTGTGTCAAGCTTAAAGACAACCTTGGGTGTCCAGCTCTTGCAATATGGCAGTTACAACTAATCATCATTGCTCAAGACATCCTTATTAACCCTCTCCCTTTTCTCCTAGGTGGTCTGCCATATGAGCTGACCGAAGGTGACATTATCTGTGTTTTTTCCCAGTAAGTTAAAAATTAAGCTCTTGTGTCAGAAGCTTAAAAATGTTCTAATGACTGAAGATTTTTTTTAAAAAGCTGCTTTTTAATTGAAACTCATACCCAAAACAGGCAACATTTTTTTTAAAAATAGTGCAATATTATACATACTCAGAACTAAACCCCATTGGGAGTCACTCCTAGATCAGGGACTATAGGACTGCAGCCTTGAGCCATTACAGTTTCTGCTCTGTTGCTTGCTCTCCTCACAGAGAAAGAGGATGGGGTACCATAGTAAGGAAAAAGAACCTGCAGTTGTGTAATACTGCACTCCGTCTACAGTTGGCTGCAGCTGTTATTGGATTCTTCCCCATCCATTTTAGACCTTGATGGGTAGTTAGCCTTGAGTTTCTGAACTCCAGTGATGGTAACTGCTGGAAAGGCTGGACTGACGTACAGTCCTTCTGTCCTTAGCCTCTTACTGTGGTTGCTGCTCACAGTGGTCACAGGAGAAAGAGCTCTCTTTGGAAAGCATTCCTGAGTACAAGTCTTGGTGTGTCTCAAATGAGCAGAGGTGTTGAGGAAGGATGAGACATGATGGGAGAAGACAGATCTTTGCCAGGACAGATGATGATGATGATGATGAGTGGAAGCTCCATGTCTCAGAGCTGCATAACTCTGAACACCAGATGGTGGAGGCAAATGGCAGGTGACAGCCCTGTAGTACACAAAATCACCCAGCTGGCTCTGAGCTACATGGATCTGGCTGCGGTCCAACAAGGCTATCCCATTTATACTGCAGCACTGTGCTCATTTCACTTACCTGCCTTGAGGAATTGTCCCGCTTCAGGTGCTGCATTAACCTTTGCATTTTCCTGATGCTTCCTCTTCTGGAGCAGTTTATTTTAGTGAGGTGAAGCTCTTGTGACGTCTGGTGTCTTTACCTTCAGGTATGGAGAAATTGTGAACATAAACCTGGTACGTGATAAAAAGACAGGGAAATCCAAAGGATTCTGCTTCATTTGCTATGAAGATCAGCGAAGCACCATTCTTGCGGTTGATAACTTTAATGGAATAAAGGTTGGTTTGGCTTTTGGAGGCACTCCAGTTTCTAGGAATCCTGGACACTGACTGGCTATTATGAATGTGTGTGATGAGGCACATCGAGGGCTCCTAGAGAGGGGTTGGAGAATTGGTGCGAACTTGTAGCATGGCCCCTAAGGTCATGGGCAAAGGGAACAGCCATGTTAGGGATTGTTTCATACCTTGTATTCCCAGAAATTGTTTTCTCGGGCTTCTTAATGTACAGGATACTCTGTTTTACTTTGCTACAGGCTTCTCTTTTGGGGCTTTCCTCACCCCAAAGCCAAGGAGGAAGAGAATGTTGATGGCTTACAAACACGCTTGTTCTGTAACATTACTGGTAACTGTTTTTACAGATAAAAGGAAGGACAATCCGTGTGGACCACGTAGCTAATTATCGCCCTCCAAAAGACTCTGAAGACATTGATGATGTTACAAAAGCCCTTCGGGAAAAGGGATGTGGTGTTAAAACACCTCCTCCGAGTTCTTCTGAATCCTCTGAAGACACTGAGGTGGAAGTAAAGAAACACAAAAAAGGTGATGGTGCTCTCTCCCTTTCTCCCTACCCGCCTGACTTGGTTTACAGAACATGATAACTCATGATGGGCAGCAAGCCATGGTTAGTTGTTGTGCTATCTAACTCTAGACCACCTCCCTCAGGGCAGCTTGTGTGTTTTTTCATTTTTTAAGAAGCCACTTTAAGAATCCACTACCTGGGTTCACGCAACATGATAAGCTGGGGTGGTTAAGTTAGAGGCAGTTGGTTCTGTAGTTTGTAACCCATCCAGAGACGCATAGTGATTGGATGGGTTAGAAATATCCCTAATATCCCAAACTGTGTTGCCTGAACCCTGCCAGAGTGACCTGAACCAGCATTGGGAGGGTTCACACCACAGGACAAACCCCCACCCCTGGCTTTGAAGTCACCCCAGGTTTTGTGTCTTGTGTGAACCTAAGTGTGATCTGTAGTAGGCCTGGTTTCACCCATGGTGGGTTAGTGTGCCATCTGAACCTGGAGAACTGTTTCCATTGTGGTTTGTAGGAAATGGCAAGTGAGCAGTTCAGCAAGGGCAGCAAAAAATTTTTTTGCTGATCTTGCCGAGCTTGCCCAAGCCCTATTGATGCCCAAGCAGCATCACGAGTGGAAAAGGGTTAAAAGTAGTGGGGGAAGTCTCAGCAAGCCAAGACAGGCCCTAGTTGCAGCACGGGAAGCAGCACGAGCCCCCAGTTCTTTTGGGATGCTGCCTGACAGACCAAGGGGAAGGTAGTGGTGCGGTGACAACCCACAGAGAGCCCCATAATCTGTGAGGTGCACCATAGGTTAGTGTCACAGTGGGTTGACATGACACGTGAATCTGTATGTTAAATTTTAAGCACATTTGAAGCTTCCAAATCTAAGGATGCTGGATGTAAGCCAGTTTCTGATTCCTGAACAGAAACACAGGGACAGACAAAAGCTAAGCATACTGGGAAGTCCAAAGCCTTGTCATTTTTCTGCCTTTTTTGGCTTCTGAGCATTTTATCTGATTCACTTGGGCTGTAAAATAGCTGTGTTGGGGTCATGCTTTACTGGTTCAACTCTTAATTTGGATTGGAGTAAAGTTAAATATCTTTGCTAAGATAAAAGGCAAGAGTCTCTGCTCAGTTTATAAAGTAAAACAAGCAGTAGGGCTAAGATAATTATACAGACAAGGAACCCTGGAGCAGGGCGATCATCTAGAAATGCTGGTAAGATGAGTTTCCTGGAAAGACAGATGATCTAGGCATATGTTAGGTAGACAGAGAGCAGAGACAGTGGATGGGTAATTACAATAAATTTGACATCCAATTATTGTCTCTCTCTAAAGAGAAAAACAAGAAAAAGAAGAAAGAGAAGCGAGAGCATCGGAAACGTGTAAAAGAGGAGCCACCTGTTGATGCACCACCTTCAAAAACCAAGATTAAAGTGGAAAAGGAAGACCCTGGCTATGACCGGTATGCAAGCACAAGTCAACCAGTCTGGAGCAAAGCATCTGGGCACAAACATACAAGCCGGCTTCAGCAAGAACAGGACCCCAAGTATGAACGGACGAGAGAGGGGTCTCCAGAGAGAGGCACAGATAGGGATAGACAAGAGCAAAGGACTCCCTACAGTGAGAAACACAAAAAGGCAGATGCTTCCAAAGAAAGACTCCGGGCATCTGAAAGCAGAAGATCCCGAGAGCGGTGGGAGAGCAGAGACAAACCTTCCAGAGACAAGAAGTCTTCAAGCCGCTACTAACCCACCTGCCGTGTTCTGCTCTTGCAAATGGGAAAGAGAGCAAGGGCGGCCTTGCCTGACAGAACATCAGCTTGGCGGGGCAAGAGAAGACAGCCCAGCTGACTGGCCTACATCCTTCTTGCATGTGGGGCCAGTCTTTTCTGCTGACGTGGGCGTCCTCTCTTTAGAAAAGAGAGGCAGAAGAATAGAGTTGAAGTTCTCGGTTTCCTTCTGGAAAGTAGAACATTTACAGTTGACAGAACATCTCCATCTCCTGAATTTTGGACAGAAAGCATTGGTTTGCAATGTTATTTTTATTTTCAAATCTAGGATTAATAAATCCGCAAGGAATGGTTGTAATTCTTTACATTAGTCTAGTGCTCTCTCATGTATGCAGAGCTTAAATTCTGCAGTTTGAACTTATGTTTTAATGTTGAGTCAGTACTGTAAACATTAATGCAGGGATGGGCAACCTTTTCAGAACTGAGGTTGCATTCCCTTGGGTGAGGAACCTCAAGCCCAGGTACTAAATTCACTTTCCTGGGGTCCAAGTCCAGCCCTCAGAGTTCCCCAAATCACCAGTCATTTGGTGCAGTTTTTCACCCAATCTAAAAGCTTGAAATGCCTCTCCTAAGGCTTAGGTACTGACAGCAAGAGTTTCCAGCAAAGCTATGCATCCATTTTTGTGGGTCTAGCCCCACCCATCTTGCCTTTGGGCCCCATCCCCCACTAGAATACAGCTCCCAAAGTTGAAAGAGGTTCTCCACCCTCAAGGGAAAGTGGTTGGGGTTGCATACCCATGGTGAATGTGACCCAAGCCAAAAGTCAGTAGAACAATTCTCTTTCTCACTGATTGGGTCAGTGTGTTGTGTGAACCCATGCTCAAGGGTTGAATATGGCTTAACTGGGTGGATTAACTGTGTATTGCGGAAGCGTGGGTTATTATGTTGTCTGAACACAACCAAATTAATAAACCACAGTGGCCAACCCATAGTTCCCTTCATACATTGGTTGTAGTTCACAAGCTACAGCTTATTAGGGTAGCTAGGTTCAGGCAACATAACCACTGGTTCAGTGAAATCCCACAAGTCAACCCAGTCCTTGAATATGAATTATTACGTTGTCGTAACCTAGTCTCTGTCTTTCTAGCTGATAATGGTAGAAAAGAGTGTGTCAGTAAAGAGGCTCTTCTTGTTTCTATGTGTGCACCCTTATTCTATTATTCTATGTGTGCGCTATGACAGGGAGAAATTAAACAAGACTATTTAATTCCTGTAGAATTTCCGCGTGCTCCCCCAAGTTACGCTGGAGACTTTCCAGGCAGCCAAAATCGCATGCCTAATTAGCTTTTGGGCATCCCCTGCTTGGCATATCCCGGCTCGTGCAAGGGTGCCCCCTCCGAGTCCTTCCAATTCTACCCACCCGCCATCCCCACCCAGCCTGCTTTTGCCCGTACGGCCCTGCCTCGCGTTCGCACAGAAGTTCTTGCCTCTGAAAAGGCGGGGGGCGGGCACGTGCAACGTCACAATCGCTCCGAAGGTGGGGCGATGGCATCCCGCGGTTCTACCATTGGTCAGCTTTGCCCGTCCTGCCAATCATCCATCGGTTCTTCCAGTCACACGCTTTGGAAACAGTCCTGCGCATCTCTCATCGCCGGCGGCGAAGCCCTTTTTGGCCCGCGCCGGCTGCCGTCCGGAACCCGGTCTTCTCTTCAATTGAGCAAAGAAGAGCGCGGCGCGCGAGCGAGCGAGCGAGGGTGCCGCACAGCGGGCTTGGGAGGGGGCCCGCCGGCTCCCTTCCTCCTCGGCCGCGATGTCGGTGCTGAGCTGGAAGCCGTTCGTCTACGGCGGGCTGGCCTCGCTTGTGGCCGAGTTCGGTGGGTGAAAGGCGCGGTGGGACCGAGGAAAGGAAAGGCCGTACTCGCGCGCTTAGCCCCGCCCTTTCCCCATCGCCGGGCAACAGGCCACGCCCTTTCCCGATGCCCGGCGCTGACCCGGGCCCTGCGAGCTGTTCTGAGGGCTCGGCTCGATCCGCGGGGAGCTGGATGCTCCTGGGGCGAGTCCTCGATGCGGGGAGGGCCGGAGAGCCCATGGAAGTGTCGGATCCCCCCGAGCCCTGATGTCCGTAGGCCGGCTGCACTCTCCGTCTGTCCAAACTCTCGGGGTTCTGAGAACGATGAAGGGGGAAGGAAAACGGACACCTTTTTGCGGCCCCTGGGAGTAAGACGGGATCAGAAGGAACCTGTGAGGCCTTAGAGTAGCGAGAACGCTAGACTGGGACAGGAGAAAGCCCAGCCCTGAATCACGAGGTGACTTTGGGCAGGGTATTCTTTTCAGACTAGCCCACCACGCAGGGCTGTGGTTGTTATTAAGGCTGGAAATGGGGTGAGGGGGGTTGTATGCCAGCCCGAGCTCTTTAGGGGAAGGATGTGATAAGCATGTGGCAAGCAAAGAGAAGGCATGGGAGAGCCTTTTCTCTAGCCTCTCCTCAGCTTTGGAGAGTAGTTAAGTAAGTTAAGGGCAACATGCCTTGCATGTGAGTGCTCTCTTTTTCTGATGGTAAATGCAAGTCCTTTTGTGGTACCATAAAGATTAAGCAGATTAACTGTGGAACAAGTTGACTGGAGCCCATTTCCTTAATTGTGTGAAATGTCATTTTCTACATAGTATGTATAAAATGCCTATTGCTTTGTCTATGGTTACTGTACTGCAGTAACTGGCAATTGGTGCATCATAAGTCTAAGACTGCATGCTCTGAAAATAAGTAATGTTGGGTCTATCCAACATCTAGATGGAAGACTGCCAGGAAATCCCACTGATGCTGCCCAGAGCATCTTGAAAATCTGAAATGCAGATGGGACAAACAAATCTTAGGCGATCCTTTTGCTGGCTAAATTGGCACAGGCCATGCTTCAGCCATGTAAGAAAAAAGCAGATCTGTGAGCCTGTTTGTATCTTATCAAATCTGTAAGTTGCTACAGAATGGCACATGTTGACCTTAATGTCAGACCAAGTCACCCAGCCACCTGCTTTCTTAGCCATCATTATATTATCTGAGCTGCAGGCTTTTTTTCCTTGCAGGAACCTTCCCTGTGGATCTCACCAAAACACGACTTCAGGTCCAAGGCCAAAGCATCGATGCCCGCTTCCGAGAGATCAAGTATAGAGGCATGTTTCATGCCTTGTTCCGCATCTCCAGGGAGGAAGGCATTCTGGCATTGTACTCTGGGTAAAGCTCTGTCCCTCCTCCTGTCATTCAGCCTAGTCTCTCCTTCTCTGCTGAGGTTTTAGATCCCATAGTTATTTTGATTCAGAAACAAGTATTCATATTTAGGATGACCCAGCCAGTATTGTTTGCTGAAATATATTGGGAATTATAGGCCATTTTTCTGTCTAAACCAGCATAAGGTTGTATCTTAATTGAAATGCTGAGGGAGCCCAGCTGAAAGAACAGTGCTGGGGCTGTTGTTCTCCTAAGTGTATCTTAACAGTCTTTCTTTTCCTACTGTAGAATTGCCCCAGCCTTGTTAAGACAAGCATCTTATGGCACCATAAAGATTGGTATATACCAGAGTTTGAAGCGGCTATTTGTAGACCGTTTAGAAGGTCAGTGTGTCAGCAAAATATTGTGAGCTTTTCCCTAATTGGTATAGTACTTAATGTAAAGGTATTGCTGTATAAATAATAATTTATTATCTATCTGGCTGTGCCTCCCATGTTGGTTTTTCAAGTCTCCAAAGCGAACAAAAGGACTTGAATGGCCCCAGTACAAAAAATGCTGAATTGCACCCAAAGGTGCTGCTGTAGCTCATTTTCTGTTTTAAAAGATCCAACGTGTTTCACATTATAGTGCTCTTTCTTAAGGAGTATTTTCTTTCCTTTTTCAGCTCTTTAAAGAAAGATGGGAATGCCTTTCTCGTCACCTGCTTGCTATCCCTGTTACTTTCTTCAGCATATTTAGAAAATAATTGCTTTCACTTTTTCACAAATTCAGGCTGAAACAAACTTCCCACCTGATATTTGTCGATAACTGATCATCTAAGACTGAGTTCCTTGGTGTTGGATACGCTGGGCTAAGCATGTAGTGTTGCTTCTACCTTAAATGGCATATACACTGTTCCAGAGTGAACTGGGGAGATAGCGGAGGGTGAGCAGAGGAATGCTGTTTCGTGGAGATAAGGAAGCCGCTGCAGCCAGCAAAGTTGACGCTGTTGTTCAAGCCAGTGGCTGACTTCCTGTAAATCAGAATTAAAACCTTGAGCAGTATTATTAGGCAGTATAGAAATGTAATAATTAAATGAGATTAAAAACAGAGTCTTGTTCTCTTTCTAGAGAGTTTCTGGAGTTCGGTGTTGTTGCTCTTAAAACTCACACATTAATTAGGTCATCTTGTCACCTTTGGGCCACAGATACAAAATTATTGTACAGAATAAGGGGAAAAAACCCAACATGCAGCAATGGAACATTGTACTTTGATCAAAACCTACTGATCATGCCTCCCCTCTTGTCTTTTCACCACCCAGCAAAGTTGCCTCTTTCTACATCCTGTCACATGTGCTGTGTTGTGGTCTCTGCTTATGGGTGCTATGTCCTAAATGTTTGTTTCCCTGCAGGCCTGGGGCAGCCAGTGACCCGGTCTCCTTTGGAGAGTGCTGCGGTCAGTACAACTGCCCTTCCCAGCATAACTTTCCTTTAACTCTTGGCTTTTCCTTTCTGAACTAACTGCCTAATCTCCTCTGCTGGGTTTTTCAGTCTGAGCTCTCGGTAGAATCCCCCCCACCCCATCGAAGTTCTTTGAATCTGGCCCCCCAAGTGGCCCAAGGGATTGGGTGGCATTCCTTTAGATCAGGTGTGTTGAGCCACTTTCTGCTTGCGGGCCAGATTCAGTTGTCAGCCTGAGAACCATTCCAGTAGTAGGCAAGCCAAAAATACAAGCATATTTTCACTTAGGGTTGCTATTGCCAGTAATTAAGCCTTAGAGGGGCCATTTCGACCTTTTAGAATGGGAAAACACTGCACAGACATCAGACAGCACCAAGCATTTGGTGGTCCAAAATTTGCCCAGATGAAGAGTACATGACCATCTGAGAAAACTAAGTAGGCCAGATTTGGCTCCAGGCCTAAAGTTCTGTACCCTTGCTTTAGAGTTTGACAGCTGCAACAAAGAGCAGGTTAATTGGCAGTCTGCTTCTTTGGTCTCATTTATCAAGCTGCAAAGGTACTTTGATTATAATCAGCAATCACACGATACTGTGCCATAGGCCCAGGAGAAAGGAGGCTGGAAAGATGGAGTGCTTGGTCTTTATGTAACATTGTCTCTTTGTCATCTTCACTTTTCCTTCCTGAAATCTATTCTATTACTCTTCTTCTTGGGCATAATCTTTGGGTTATAACTCCTCCAAATACCTTCTTCAAACTCCTCCTTCCTGATTGCAGATGAAACGTTACTGATCAATGTCATCTGTGGGGTGGTGTCTGGGGTGATCTCTTCTGCGCTGGCAAATCCCACAGATGTGCTGAAGGTAAGAGATGCCTGCTTTGCTTATGTGTCTGCTGCCTCCATGTGCCATCTGCACCCGTTCCTAATAACTGTGCCTAATGTTTTGCTGCCCAGTCCTATAGCATTGCCAGAGCTGCTGCTCTTGTGTGGGTCCCACTCTTGTTTCCAAGGGTAAAAGGATCAGAGAAGAGGAGAGACAAAATATGATGCTACTCAGTTACTGCTTTGCTGTGACTTAGTTTACTTTTGTAATAATGGTTGGGAGGTTGTAGATTAAAAACCTTCAATCTTTTCAGATCCAAGAGGCATATTTAATTGTAACATGAAACCCCTGTTTGTTTGTTTATTTCTTTATTTAACTGCATGTGCCTGTTTTCCTGCTTCTTTGTTGAATGACTAGATGCAAAAGGCAATAGAGATTACTCTACCTTTTAAGAACTGCAAAACAGGCAATTCTAGCAAGTGCAGCTTGTCTGATCCATCCTCTGTTTCTCTCTCTCCAAGTATTGCATATAAATAAACAAAAGATGCTGGTGGTAATAAATCGTACGTTGTGTTGGGCAACCTTCAGTCCTCCGTCTACTTTCAAAAGCCCTCTGAATACGATCCACTCCTATCTTTCCCTCCCTGAGGAGCCTACTGTACAGAATGGGGAAGAGAGAGAAAGGGTGCCACCCCCTGCCAGTCTGCCACCTCTAACATATTGCTTCCAAAGGAAAGTAGCCCTTATCAAAGATTCAGCCTGAGCTAAACAGGATCCATTTGTGGGCCTAGCCCACAGTTAAAGACCAGTTATGAAGAGCAGTTGATTTTGAGACTGTGTGAGGCCTGTGCTCCCAGAAAGTGATATCTGTGCTTTAGTCTTTTTCTCCTTTGCAATTATTTTGGATGGCTCTTTCAGACCTCAGGAGCTTCACTGATTCATTTTTCTGAGTGGGAATTCACTTGCTCTGCTCTCTTCCTTTAGATCCGAATGCAGGCTCAGGGCAGTCTGTTCCAGGGAGGAATGATTGGAAGCTTCATAGACATCTATCAGCAGGAAGGCACACGGGGACTCTATAGGGTATGTGCTGATTAAGTGTTCACTCTCTCATTCCAAGAATTATCTCCTTGCAGCTTCTCCCCTGCATCCATCTATATTTTGCAATTTTGTTTCTTTAGAGAAGAAAGACTCATTAAAGATAATTACACTTGCTGAACTTTGTTTTCCGAACCAGTGAAGCTACTTAGGTTGTTTTGCTGTGGTCTTTCTGCCGCAGGGACACAGGTTACTATTCCTAGCTTATTCTAATATCAGAAAGTCTTGTCTAAAGATAGGGCTCAGGTGATGACCCTCTCAGGTTATAGAAGCTATTGAGCAGTTTGGCTAAAATTAGATGTCAGCGGGGTTAGAGCTCACTGAGGGCTTCCCTGTGTTTTGTCCCACAGTTCAAGCACTGTCTTGAGAGTCTCTCCATGTCTGATGGTCTTCTTAAAGCGGCTTCCAGTTTGGATTCTGCCTTAGGGTGAGAGAGCATGGTACAGACCAACTCGTGCTTGTGCCAAATAAACCCTTCTTGCTTCAGAGCAATTTAATGATGCATTTAGATTTCCCCTAAAACCAAGTTGTCAGGGTAGTGTGCAAGAGCAATAAGAACAAGTGAAACATGCATGCCAAGAAACAGTCCAACAGCAACACTCATAAAAATTGCATTAGGTGAAACAAATAGCATTGGAATGGAGTAAAAGGCCTGAGAAAATAGAAAGATCTTTGCCTGATGTTGGAATGATCTCAGAACAGGCACCAGGCAAGCTTCTCTGAAACAGGCACTGTATAAAACTGTGGTGACACCACCAAAAGGACCCTTTCCCTGGTCGCCTCGCATAGCTCTTCTGATGATCTCTTCATTTAGTGATGGTCCAGGCATCCTTCAGGCAAACCATCCTTAAGAGCATCCCTTTATCTTAAAACAAACAGCGCTGAACCTCCGTGCCAAGGGCTTGACTTTAAATGTACGTGAGGAGGGGGAAATGTAGCAAATGCCTGCCTTTTTGAATCTGTCCCATGTCCAAAGACATGCTCCACTGATCGAAACTGAGTTCCCTTATCAGAGCTTTCTAACCTCCACATTCCTGCGCCTCTGCTTCTGCAGGCCTGATCAAACTCTGTCACGCAGTTGAAGGCTTTGCATGTCAGTTTGATCTCACGCCTAGTAAATTGTCCATGTGCAGAAAGGATGAGCTTGATTTGGATCCAGCAATACCTACCAGTAACTTGGCTTTTCTCCCTTTTTGTACATAGTTGATAGACCTGGAGAAGTAACCATCTCTGCAGGCTCTTAATTGGTTCACCTACAGTTTGAATAGCTTTCCGCTCCAGCAGGAGTGATAGAGGTTGTCACTGTAGACTTGTTGGGCTTGTCGAGCTAAACAGAGGTGATCTAACCAGGAGAATTTAGAACTCTATGGCCGAGTTCACACATAATGTTAACCCATGTTATTGCTTAACCACTGTTTAATTCTGGGTGTGATGTGTGAACAATGCTACACTAACAACCATGGTTTCTTAACCATAACCCAGGAAAAGAACCTGTGGCATATTGTTGGGTTGTCAGCTCTAGTGTGATATTATGTGTGAACCCAAACTTTATTGGATATGGTTTGGAAAGGAAAGGAGTCCCTGTGGATTTTACTCTGCTAGTTGAAATGGCTATAGGGGGTGTCACTCATCTCTGTATGTTTATTCATAGGTTATTTTTCCGGGCTAGGGAGGCATGGGGCAACAGTGTTTTTAAAAATGTAATTCTACATGCCAGTAGCACCACAGAAGCATTTGGGATACAGGAAGGGTATGGGCAGAGAAGGAGGGAAACAAACTACAATTTGTATGATCATCTGCCAGATAAATCTTGGGTTGGGCAACAAACTATGGGTTAAAGAAACCATAGACTATGTGTGAACTCAACTTGTATGTTCACAAATTAGGGGTAAAAACAGCCGTATTCCTTGTTTGTTTGCTTGCTTCTCAAGTTTAGTTTAGCAAATTCTTCACAAGATGCAAATTCTTGGATGGAAGGGGACTCCAAGGAAAAATGGAAAAGTTCGATAAACGTATCATAGGAATTTGTTCCATCCAGTCAAGAACTTTGAATTCCTATTACAAAATAAAGGATTTGGCAAAAGAGTATGGGGGATAGGGACACGGAAAGCGATATTTTCTAAGGATTGTTGCGAGTTCTTTTGCTAAGGATCCTATGAGTAACCACCAAGCCTTTCTCTTAATAAAGATTTTGCAGCTTGCAAGCATCAAGGCAATTTGGGATAGGGATGAAAGGGAGCTACTGGACAGTGAGTCTTGCAGAGCGACTTGTGGCCAAGCACACGTTTAACTTTCAGTCTTTCACTCGGCAGGGTGTAGTCCCCACTGCTCAACGTGCTGCCATCGTGGTGGGAGTTGAGCTGCCCGTCTACGACATCACAAAGAAGCACTTAATCCTTTCAGGACTCATGGGGGACACTATCCTTGCCCATTTTATGTGAGTATTTGCCAGTTTCCTGAGCTTTTTTGGCTGTGAGCAGAGCAGCTACATTTCTTTGAGCCAAGGTATTGCTCTAGGGATACAAGTTTAGCTTGTTTGAAATAGTTCCACAGATTGCTTTATGTGTGTGCTGAGCTTTTCCTGTGTCTGTATTCTGCAAGGACTCGTCTGATATGCTTACATTAAGAAATCCACAGATGCCGTCATCAGATAAGCAATATTAACTTTACATACTGCCTAACAGGTCTCTGTCTATGTCTCATCCTTGCGTGCACATACACACGCGCCCACGTATGTCCAAAGCTCTTAGCACTGAGACTTGGAATCGTCCAGACTTTGCAGATAATTAGGAGGGGAAAGGGTTGAGACTTGCAAGGTGAGGCAACCACACATGGTTGTGTTGTAACGCAAGTGGCCCCTTGCGTGTTTGTGCCTCTAGTTCCAGCTTTACCTGTGGACTAGCTGGTGCCATCGCGTCAAATCCAGTGGATGTGGTGCGGACCCGTATGATGAATCAGCGGGCCATTGTGGGGAGCGTGGAGCTCTACAGGGGTACACTGGATGGGCTGATAAAGGTCAGTGCAGTGCCTTCGAGGTCTTGAATGCCAGGGACAAAATAAGGGTCTGCTCGTGGAAGGATTCAGTTCTGTATCTGGAGGGATAGCATTCTCTTTGCTTTCTCAAAAGAGTGCCGCATTTACACTGTTTCTGGCCATTTTGTAGGGGCAGTGTGGATGAAGAACTCTTTCTATCCATTTCTTCTTTACGAAGAATAATGTATAAGAATGGCGATAGTTTGTTCAAGGATCTGGCTCCTTGAAGATGGCTTCTTCTCATAGGTGAAGTGAAGCTGGATCACCTTAATCCCTGGGCACAATCTGTGAAGAATACGTCCTGCCAGTGCCTCATTCTGATGAATGAGACCCACCCCCAAGCACATGTCTGCCTTTTCCTGACAATGTCTGCTATCTGCCATCCCTGTGGGCATTCGGCGGGGTAAAAACACTTGCAGGACAGAGGCAAGTGTGTTTGCCGGAGACTGGATTTGAAGTGAATTGCTTTCTGCTCTGCCATGTGGATTGGGTTCTTTGAGGGCACAAGCGACTGGTTTAGAAGGAATTCTGAATGTTTTCTCTCTCCGTTCCAGACATGGAAAAGCGAGGGCTTCTTTGCTCTGTACAAAGGATTCTGGCCAAACTGGTTGAGGCTTGGCCCTTGGAATATCATTGTATCCTTCCTGTGTAAAAGATTGTTAGGCGAGCAGGGCTGGAGAGGGTTCTCAAAGCAATTACTGTATAATAGTTTTCTTGTACTTAGGTCCTGGGTCACAAGCAGGGATTTTGCAGGAAAAATTGTGTGGGATTGTAGGAATAGTTGCTCTTTTGGAATAGAAGGGCTCCTTTTTCACTTGCCATGCTTTAAAAATATCATTCTAATCTTCACAGTGTCATCTGGAACTATTCACTTTGCAGAAGTGAGAAATGGAGGGTGGGGATGGGAACCCCAGCTCTTTAAAACTTTTCTTTAACTTAACCGCAGTTCTTTATCACCTACGAGCAACTGAAGAGGCTCCCTTTCTAGGGGCTGCTTCGGACTGGTGATCCATCCGCCTTTCCTGCTCACCTCCCCCTTTCCTGCATCTTCATGCCTTTTTGCCTACATGGACTGAGGCCTGCCATGCCCTCAGAGAGTCTTGGGAGCGTGGCTTGGATGAGAAGGGGGATACTGGGGCCAGAGATACTCAGAGCCTGTTGCATGTGCTTTTCCACAAGGGGAAGGGTGGAGTGTGATGGGGAGAGCATATGGATCTGAGTCTGTATCTTCTGTGAAGAGCTGTGTGAGTTTGAGGTCCTTCCCAGTGCAGCTTATTGCAATGTGGGTTTCGCAGTAGGCTGTGCCTTCCCGCAAGGTGGGGTCTCAAGAAAGCTGCTGCATTCCTTCCATTGTCATGTGATCTTATTAAACTATTTATTGGAGGTGTGTGTCTTGTGTGTGTTTTATCTCCTATTGTTGCTGGAACAGGCACTAAAGCAGGTTGTCTCTTAATAAATAAAAAAACTAAAATTATTTGTTCAACTGCCCTGTCTACCAGTCATCAAACCCGGACTGCTGCAATATTGTAGAAAGCTTGGAGCTGAACTGCGGGGATGACACAGAATGTTGATAAATGTTCTAACTACTTTGGAGAAAGGATCAGTGCTGGAATGTTCAACTTTGTGCTGCTACATTGAAAGAACTAGAAAGTAAATTTGACTGGGGTGGTAATTCTGACTTGAGCTAGTGATCAGTTTGTTTTGTTGAGATGAAAACTAGGAAGCTGGGGAGAACAGGCCATCAGAGAAGAGCAGAATGTCTTTATATTCATTTTAAATAATAAACCAAATACTTGGCTGTTAGTTTCTAGTAAATATATTTTCCATTAAAGGTGCTTCTGAGTTTGTTAAAAGTTTAATCAGAAAGTAGGAAACCCTTTGATACAGTTTCAACTACATACAAAAAATGGGAGACTGTCTTATAGAGGGATTGAGAATGACTCAAGGGTTTTTTAATCCTGGAAGGTAAGAAATGATATATTAAAAGAATTCCTATGCATGAAGCTAGTGAAGAAAGGAGCCATTGTACATATGCAATGAACATGATAAATCAATTTAAAGATTTGGACATCTGAAACATTACAGGAGACAGGAATATATCCTGCTGGTGAAATTCAATTACAGATTGGAGAACAGGTGCATGGTAGGAAAGAGAAGTAAAAATAACCGTGTAGCAGGTTTCTGTGATGTGTGCGTGTTAGATTTATTGCCCATTAGCCCATTCTATAAAAAAAGATAAAAATAGGAGACTGTGAGTTATACGTGACACATCATCCAGCTCTTGACCTGTGCTGGATGTCCATGCGCTATAACAATGAATTTGTGGGCATGATTCACTTCCATCAGTCGCTTGAAGTGTTAACCTCAGTTCTCGTGACACTCAGTTTATAGCTCTTCCCCACCCCCTGGCAGATGTCTATAAATCTTCCAGTTTGTAGCTAGTGCTCCATGCGTCTGATGAAGTGGACAGTATCCAAGAAAGCTTATGCCAGAATAAATGTTATTCTTACACTGCTACAAGACTCTTTGTTATGCTTGCCGCATCACCACACAAATGCTATAGTAATGCAACTTGAGTCTGGGTCTGCATAGCAACAGCTACAACAAAGGACTCGCTTTCCTTGACCCTTCTAGGGTGCTTTGGGATGTTGGCCGTATGGAAGAGGAGCATGTTCAGCATCTTCTCTCCCACCCACTGTGTACTCAACTGGGTTTGCACAGCCGCCTGCCTTTCGCTCCTACTTTGTCCTGCTGGAACAAAGTTCATGTTTATGTCATGTAGTGTTCAAGATGGAAGCTGGCGAGTATTGGTGGCTCTCACAGATGGCACATCTGCTCTTTCTGTGCACCTGAGTGTTAGCTAATATTTATTCAGGGTTTCTCCAATGTCACTTACCTATTCGTGTGTTGGCTCTTTTTTTTTTTTTTGCAAGGGCAAACACATTAAAGGAGCAATAAGATTGGCCGAAGAGGAAATAACTTGCAACTGTCATGTTTGCTTCTTTGGAATTATGTTATCTTTTAAATATTTATTATGTTTGCATTGGGTACAAAGCTTGGATATAGTAATCTCTCTCATATGCATGCCACCAAAATCACCCTTCTAAGTAAATGTTGCAAAAGGTGGTATCTTACAAGCTTTTTCACTAGTCTCCTGCCCTCACTTGACTGAATATCTGAGAACACAACCCTGTGGCCGACTGGGGACGCATAGGATTATTTAAAGCCCCACTCCATCCACTTGGCACCTGCTGACTGCCTCTCCAATGACACAGCTGGACCTCAGGGAAGTGGAAAATGAGTGTGCCAGGAAGCCTGGGCCAATGGTCGATGCCGTTTCTCCAGGCGTCCCAGCCTCCATCCCTCCCCAGCATTTACTCTAGGCAGCTACCCAGGTAATTGCATGGCATAAGGCACTGCAGTGGTAAAAGACTGCCACCATACCTTCCTCTGTGCACTGGATCCATGTAAGCCTCTGAAGCAGAAAGCACTGAATTGCACCCTTAGTCATTTCCAGCATGGAAGAAAACGCACAAAGTTTTCCTGCTCTGTTTCCACAGGACAGTAGTGGCTCACAAGTCTAGTCTAAGTGGAACACAGGAAAGAATCTACTGTGTGTAGCTGACTTCCCTCCTAGCATGGCTGGATCCTGTGCTGTCTACTGTTTTCTCTCAGTATGTCAATCTACCAGTGAGAACTTAAGGTACTTCTGTGTGTCTGATATACGTGAAGTTTGGAGTTTTTGAAAATGTATTATGATCATAATAGTAATAATATTTATTTAAAATTAGTCCCAGGCTGCCTTTAAGAGTAGAACCCTTGCAAGACAGCATACAAGATAAAACCATAGAAAGTAGCAACAATAACAATCATCACAATAGTAATTATGCACCTCTATCTTCTTTTTCCAGCTATCCTATACTTTGTGTATCTATCTGTTGTATCGCAGTTAGGATGTTGCCTGCTTTGGGGAAGTAAATTTGAACTCTCCTGTGATCCATCATCTTACTTAATCAGTATTTGTGTTAAAGCAAGAGGGTGGGTTTGTTTGCCTTCCTCCTCCATGTATTGAACATGCAGAGCCCAAAATAGAAAGCCTCCTACTTCACTGCTTATAAACAAAGTTGCATTTTTGCTTTCTGCCGGCTTGCTGCCAGGTCAGCCCAGGGCAATCTTGGCTTACTTTCATAAGTGGGTCTTTTTCCTCTGAAAGAAATCCTGTGTACAGTGAGGACATATACACAGGATGTATACAGCCTTTCCAAGCTTCTTTGGATGATCCAACATGCACATGGAGCTCCAGTGTTGCTCAAGATTCCTATTTGTATGATAATTGCAGTACAGTATATGTAGATTTTGCACACGCGCGTGCGCGCACACACGCATGCTTATTTTCTGCCCTCAAGGCAAACCTCCAGCAATGCTCACCCAACATTCTGGGCATTTGCTAGTATCCTGTTGACTTCGGGTCTTGTTCCAGAGATGACTCCAGATTTGGGCATGGTGTCCAGAGTGTTTATGCTAGATTACCACAGCTAGCACTACCCATTTTCTTGCCTCTTTCTGCTGGGCCTGGGCCTGACCAGTGAATAGAGGGAGAGGTGCAGGCAAGAGCAGCCTTGCTGTCTTCCGTGCTTTCACATCCTTGGAAAGGGTGGTTGAAGTCGCTGCAGCTGAACAGAATGACAAGCAGCAGAGCTACCTCAAAGGACGATCTGAGGATCTGCGGTAGGACCTGCTGCAGCCATATGGGTCTGGAGAGCTGCCCAGCAATGCTGCCCCCCCATTTCCAGCCTGCCTCCTCCTCTCGTAACATCCAAAGTGCAGTGGGAGGGGGGTGTCATCCTTACCTCAGGCAGCAAAACATCTTGAGCCAGCCCTGAGAGTAGATGTGAGCATCAGAGAGGGAGCTGGTGTTGAGTGAAAGCCACAGCCGGGCTGAGAAGAATTTCAGGCATTTGGGGAAAGGGCCTAGCAATCCCTACCCAGCCCTTTAGGTCTAGCGATGCCTGCCTTGGTACTTGCTCTTGTGTCAGAAACTGCACGTTTAAACCAACAGATTCTCCACAGATATCATTGCTTCTGCTTGGCACCAAAGGGTAACTCACTTCAGTAGAGGTTTGCCCTGGAGGTCTTAGAGGGCAGAGAAAGGAGCATGATCCCCATTCTGTCACCCTCCCACAAAGCAAGAGCCTTGGTCATGTTAAAGGGCTTTGCTGCAAACAGTGAGAAGGGGAACGGATGTGGCATAGTGACAGAGCACTGGCTTTGCATGCTGAAGGCCCCAAGTTCAGTTCCCAGCCTCTCCAGGTAGGGCAGGAAAAATTTCCACCCCAGATCCTGCGGAGCAGCTGTCAGTGTTGACAATACTGAGCCAATAGTCTGCCTCATTCTAAGATGGCTTTCTGTGTACCTAAAGTCCACTCAGACCCTTGGCTTACCATTTCATTCTTCAAACTGGGCCAGTGAAATGACATGTACCGAAGCTACCACTCTTCCTGGACGACGAGCCTGGCTGTCAGTCCAGAACAGGGGGAAGACCCTGCTCTTCATGCACCGGCACATTCGATAGAGCTGCAGGCGCACCTCCTTCTGCCAATAGGCGTAGACCAGGGGGTTTACCAGGGAGTTGAAAACACCCAGGACCCAGAGATACCGCTCAAGGACATGCTGTAAGATGCACCGCTGGCACACAACCTGCACGATGCTCCCGATGAAGAAGGGTGACCAGGAGAGGGCGAAGCATCCTACGCTGATGGCCACCGTGCGCAAGGCCTTCATGTCACTGGAGGGTGGAGAGACAGGGTAGGTAGAGGCCAACCCAATCTGCTGCAGTTCTCGAATTTGCTGCATTTGCAGAGAGGCGATCTTCAGCAGGTGGCAGTGGAAGTAGACGAAGACAAAAAAAGCCGGGAAGAAGCTGACGCAGAGGACGGTGAGCAGGTACGTGGGCTGGAAGACTGCGAAGAAGGTGCATGACCCCTGGTAGTTCTCCTGCTGGAAGCTGCGTGCAATCACTGGGAGAAAGCCGATCAAGCAGGCCAGTAGCCACAGCCCTCCGATAAATGCCCCAACAACTGGGCTGCGCATGATTTGGAAATACCGGAAAGGATGCTTGATGGCCAGGTACCTGTCGAAGGCCACCAGCATAACAGTGAGGATGGAGGCGGCGCAGGGACAGGTGATAAAGGCCATTCGCAGAGCACAGTACCTTTGGGGGATGTGGTGCTCAGCATCAGACAGCTCTTCAGTTGCCAGACCCGTGATGGTGAAGCCCACCAAGGCATCGGCGATGGCGAGATTTAAGACGAAGCACAGACCAAGGTAGCTGCTCCTCCAGATCAGCCGTGCGAGTACAATAACCATGAGGGCATTGAGAGCCATGATGAGGGAGGCCAGGGTAGCCAGGAGGATCCCAAAGGCAACGTCTCCCATGTCTTCTCTTTCGAGGAACAAGGCACGGGCCACAAGACACTCAAGGTCTCCCTGCCTGGGGTTAACCAGATGAACCACTGCAAATATTTTCAAGTATATCGCCTTGGATGTAGGAAATCTTAGGAAATGCTCAAAAACCAGGAGGTGGGATGGTGGGCACCCTGCCTTCTCCTGGGGAACCAATCCATCGAAGCTAGTGCCTGCTGTCACCTGGAGCCTGCCAGCCTTCTAAAGCTCCTACTGGCAATAATTGCTCAGGTGCTAGGCCCTCCCCCAGTTTCCAGACAACCTGAGAGTGGGGAGGCAAAAAGCTTCCTGCAGCTTCGTGGCGCGCACGGATCTCTGCAGGAAGCTTGGATAGTTTGTCTCCAGGCACTACAGTGGCCCTCAAATGGTATCTGTGTGAAATATAAACCATTTATTGTGTTCCTGATTTGTATGGAATGCTATGGATTTTTTAAATGGGGGGTTTCTCTTTGAACATTCCCTTGCACTTCTTTGCACAGAAAGTCTGTTCTGAAAGGTTTTGAACAAAACATCAAGCTAAGCTGGTCAAGAAGGCACAGTGGGGTAAAATGAAGGGGTTGGAGGAGGCTGCAGCTATGTAGCACTGGCATCTGGGGAGGACTTGGAGGCAGAAGTTTGGAGCTGAATGAACTAAAGGGCCCTCAAATGCAGCAGCAGGTCTAGCTGATCAAATTTCGGAATATGTGAAATATTGCACATTCCATTAAGAGAGAACCAGCCTCCTCCCCTGTAATACCACCAGAAATAAGTGAAGTCTTATGCTTGTCTTCTAAAAAGGTGGGGCTGAAAAGAACATTCAATCCAGAACCTAAAATTCCCTTTAAAAAAAAAAAAAATTAACTACATAAACATACAATAATACATCCATGACAACAAAACAAACAAGAAAAAAGTACAGTACAAATAAATTGAATGATATAAATCAATCACAGCAATTAATAATTAGATTATATAATACTGAAGGTGTACCCCCACACTGGGACCTTCAGTTATATGATAATTATTTATTATATCTACACATATATTATTTGATGTACATAAATGTACATATACTTCCCTTCTCTGAGAGCCCCTTCCTCTTCCAAAATTGCATTGTATCATACAATGGTTTAATACCCTTCCCTTTTATTAATACATATTCAATAAACCCCAAATATCAGAATCATTATTTGTTAACTCTTGTTTCACCTTAACGCTACAAGTTAACTTGTCAGTAATAGCTATATTCCAAATTTCCTTGTACCAATCACTTAATTAGAAATAACAAATTTCCTTCCAATTCTTCACTACTATTGCTCTGACTGCGATTAATAAATTTCCCTTGAATAGCTGTGCACTTGAAATTCCCTCTTCTAGACAATTCTTAGAGAGGCAGGAACCTCTTTTGCATCTAGCCATCACGTGTGTCAACAGGCAAGCTGTCTCAGTGTAAAATCTGTGCAGCAAGTTTCAGAGGCATGTATTTCCCTTGCCTTCCTCCTCCCGTCTCAGCATGTAGCTGCGGAAAGGAAAGTTAGCGATTTGGAACTGTTTGAGAGAGCATCCAGAGAGCATCTCCTGAAGGATGCACGCCTGCTTTAACCAAGGGGTGAACAACCACAGTAAGGTCTGATGGGGTGCTGGGAGCTCACCCAGTCTTCAGTAGGCGGAATTACACGGAAGGGGCGTCTCCCCATGGCATTTGGCTCCCTGCAGGCATGTTGGAGGGGTAATTTTCCTGGTGTATTTGTAGGGAATTGGCTTTATTCCTGTGGGTTTCCTCCCACTGGAGAGAAAAGTGAGGCCGCTTTGCTCTTTGCCTTCTCGCATTGGGCAAAGGCTGGCAAGGCTGCAGATGTCCACAAGCTTTGTGATTTTGGCGGCTAATTTAGATGGCTGGGGCGCCATTTTATTGTTGTTATAACAACTGGGAGCCAGAAATCCTTGCTAATCTACTGCAAATCTCTCAGCCATCTACCAGGATTTCCTGATCTACTTTCTGCTCACTCCACCACCAAGAGATGCTCTGGACAAAGCCAGGAGTTAAAGGCTTGTTTCTATCTTGATCCGTCGCCTTACAAAATGTCAGGGGGCGGGGGAGCAGCAGAGTGAACGGTTTTCAGAAGCAACTTTGGAACCAGGTCTTCTTGCACTTCTCTGAGTCTACAGTTTGGATGGACATTGAATTGTACAAAATATGTAATTCTCGGAGCAGCATGTCTCAATTACAAATGCAGGAAGCGCAGCCCCACGGGAATTCTATTTTCAGTTGTTACTTGCTCTTCAAAACAATAACGCTTGGTTCACGACCTTGAGGGAGACCTTTATATACATATAAAAACACTGAAATAAAGATAAACACGTAACTCCTTGCTAGATCGGTCCACACCCGTACACTGACTACCATTCGGCGCAGAATCCAACACGGTCCTCGATAATGTTGTTGAAGCGCGTAGGTAGCCCGACTAGCCAATCAGAGCGGCCGAAGAGGAACGCTCCCCCCCTCGTCCCTCCCCTCTTTTCTTATTGGTCAAATCCCTGAGCGAGCCTGAAAACTACGAGTCCCAGCATGCCTACCGGGCTGGAAGTCACGCCCTTAGAGACCGGCCGTACGAGAAACGCTCCGCAGGCTGTTTGGAGGTGGGGCTGGCGAAGCGGCGGAGGCCCGGCAGTTTGGGCTTTTTGGAGACCGGGAGCCGAGGGCGGGAACGAGCTACGGATGTTTCAGGAGTTCCGGCGTCTGAGGGCCGCTGGGCCAGCAGGTGAGGAGTTACTGGGCAACGGGGTTGGGCGGGGCAAGGTCCAGCCTCCTCTCTGGCTAGCCTCGGGCAGACGGATGGGCCTTTTAAGGGTCTCCTCACTCCAGTTGTCATGGGAACCGGTAACGGCCTACTTCATTCAGAGAAGCAGGTCCCCTCTGTGTCTGTCCCCCGCTCCTGGTATGTTGTACTCTGGTCCGCCGTCACTGTCCCTTGGTCTGCCTTTTTTGTTTGGTGGTCAACCCTGATGTCCTGCAGATGTGTTGGACTGCACCTCCCATCATCCCTGCCCAGGAGAGTCCTGTAACTGGGCATCAGTAGCGTAACATATATGGAGGGCACTGGGTTGAGAAGGCTTGTTTAATGAGGAGGCTGACTCGGTCTGGGGGGTGGGGTGAGTTCAAATCCCTACATAGGCATGAAGCTCCCCGGCCAGCCTTGGTTCACGCTATCTCAAACTAGCCTACTTCACAGGAGTGTTGTGTGCGGATAAAATGGGGCAAGAATAGAAGCATGTATGCTGCCCTGAAGCCCTTGGAAGAGAGGTGGAATGCACGTGTTACATGTAGCAGGTAATAAGATATATCTTTTTCTTCCTGAGATCCTGGAGAGCTGCTACTAATCTGAGTAGACTGTATTGGGCTATTATTACAGTAATATCCAGGTGTTTTTTTTTTTCTCTTGGGAAGTAGCCAAGACAGTCACTACATTTTATTCTCACAACAGCAGTAACCCTGTGAGGTAGATCAGTCTGAGCATCCATAACTGGCCTAGGGTTATCCAGTGGGTTTCATGGCCACGATTAGACTAGAACCCAAATCTCCTGGATTGCCATTCAGCACTCTTGACCACTATACCGCAGCAGCTTTCTTATGGACAGATACTCCAACTTGGTATAAGTCAGCTTCTTACAAACTTACTTGGATGTTTCAGTGAACCATGTTGGGTTTATTTCTTTGTAAACATGCATAAGATTATACAGTAGACCTGAAGCCTGACAGATAATTAAAGTGGTGCTGAGTGAGTGTGCTTCAAGAGGGAGTCTCATGATGTGGGTGTTACCTTTGCTGTAATAGCCACCTGTTAACTTGTGAAGGCTAAGTGACTGAAGAATAGCACTCTGATCAAAATTTCACCCAATCAATATATGTACATACATATATATGTGTGTGTGTGTATATATAATTAGAACTCTTTAATGGCATTTTATGGAACCTCTCTGCACTTATGTATTAAGAGCAGAGTTTTTCCTTTAGTTTTCCAGTTATATTCCTTTTCCCTAGTATATAGAAGTGATCAAACGTTTGCCCTTGTCCATAAGGCAGGAGTGGCCAACTTGTGGCTTACCAGATGTTTTGATCCACAGCTTCCCTCACCCCTCAACGCTGACTGTGCTAGCTAAGGCTGAGGAGAATTGTGCCACCTCTGCATTAGTGCATGGTTGTATTTTTCCCACTTTTCCTGACAGCAGAGGAAAACTGGTGTGTTTGTTGTCAATGGCTGGTATATGATGTTACAACTAATTTTGTGTGCTCAATCAGTGACCGGAAGTGGGAAATCTTTGACTACCGAGCCAAAAACCAAAACTAAAAATCACATTGTTTTTGCAAAGTATGTTATGGTACACTAAATGGGACTTCTTGATAGTTTCACTGTGTATCAAGCTGGTTGCCACAGAAGAGAAGCGGCTCTGTGCTTGTTACCCCTGCCTGGCCACTCCTGAGTATGAAACCAGATCCCAGATTTACAGAAATTTGGGATCTTGGCATTTTTATAAGGGCTTTAATAGTCTGCCTGTTCAGTCAGTGTACAAGAGGCAAAACAGAGTATTCAGTAGTGTGAAGAGGAGGCTCTGAGCAGTGATTATGGGGATGAGAAGTTGGTTGTTACACATGTTCCTTTTTTTTTTTTTTATATCCTGCCTTTTTCCTACAAAGGGCTCAAGGCAGCTTACATTATCTCTCCTCCTCCATCTTATCCCCACAACAACAACCCTGTGAGGTAGGTTGGGCTGAGAGACTGTGACTGGCCCAAAGTCACCCAGTTGGCTCCATGGCCGAGCGGGGACTCAAACCCAGATCCTCTGAGTCCCAGTCCCATGCTCTTAACCACTACACCACACTGGCTCTATGAAATGTTGAAGAGGTGGCTCTCTGAAATCTGGGGCAACAAACTCAGGTAGATGGGCAAGTATTAATGTGTAATTTATGTCTAGGTTTAATCTTGGAACCCATTAGTGTCCTCACTTAAAGTGCAATCCTGTGCATGTATTCTCTGAGGCAAGTCCCACTGAGGTTAATGCGGCTGACTTCCAAGTAAGTGGATAAAGGCTCGTAGCCCCAGACTAAGCATAGGCAGAGTGTGAGTCCTCTTCAGTACTGCGTGACTATGGCATTTAAGATTATAAAGATCTAGTCAGATACAATTTTTATAGTTCCATCATACATAGGACAGGCGGCTACTACATACAGAACATTATTAGTGATGATGGCTTGCCCTGCCTGAAGTCAAGACCTTAGCTCTTTTAGATATGCTTTAAAAACCTGTGCATTTCAAGCTTAATCTGAGTTTATTTTATTGGCTAAGTGGTGCTGCTTTATGGTCATTTCAGGTGGTTTTATTGTTGTATCAACTAGTATTTTGATTCCGTTGTTTCTCACTAATTAAAACAATAAATGGAAGAAGGGCTTTGGGGCTCTTGATATGGCTTCTGGGAGTGCCTGAGTCAATCCAACTCTCCTTTTAGAAAGAACATATTTAGTAGCTTGGTATTGGGAGTGGGGGGAAGGGGGCAGCAGGATTTTGCATTTGAGTTTTTCAGAACATAGAGGCACTGAGTTCTCAGAAGCTAAGTTTATGGCATGGTAAAATCAGTCTGCTAAGATGACTGCTTGTAAGGCATGCAGCCAGCAAGCCTGGGGCTGCCAACTGCATGCCACTTCTCAGTGATCCAAGGACTGAAATCCTTTGCAAATTCACAGATAAGCATGCTGTTTATTGCTTCACCACCTGCTCTCTGGCATCTCCCCCAGTGTCCAAGATTCAGTCTCTTAAGTGTCACCAATGTAACTGATGGGAACAGATGCAGCAGTGGGCAAGAATTCATTTAAAAAAAAAGACGTTTCATGCCTTTCCTCTTTAGCATCCCAGCGTTTCCAATTGCCTGCTATGGAAGCTTCATTGACGTTAAGCTCTCCTCTTGTTACTGTTGTTGCTGGCACTTGGTTCAGTTGTGAGATCCAGCACAGCAGATACATCATAGATGAGCTGAACTGTGTTTCTGGTTTTTGTGTTTGAGTATGTTGTGAGGAGAGTAGATGGCAAGATAACCTGCAGTTTGGACTGAAGAGCACTCTTCAGCAGCTCATCATGTTTTTGGTGCAGTTCACAGGTATAGTGTGAATTATGGTGTCATGAGTTTCGCCCCAGGAAGCTTTTGCCTCCAGTTTGTTTGCTATGAACAGTATTAATTGGAGGGGACAGAATTAAATTAACGAACATCTGCAGACAGATGAGATCAGCAGAATGCCAGCAGCCAACTGTAACACTGAGTCTGAGCTCCTGAACCTTTGAAATTATGTGGATTCAGCAACAGTACATGGAATGTTTGAATTAAATCCATAGCATATCCTGCTGAAATGGTAATCAGTACCCTCTTAATGCTGCTTTCCTAGCTTTAGCCCTTCCACATCTATCCTGAAATTGGAGAAATTCTGTATTTGAGGCGGGTGGTTCAAAAAATGGGTCCAGTGTTTTCTTCGTCTTCATTGGTCCCCTAGAGCATTACTTTCTAATGTTTCTTTGTGGGTTGCCATGTGTTTTCGGAAGGGCATAAAATCATTTCTGGAAGTTGCTATTCAATTAGAGATGTTGACATAGGAGGAATTTGAGTAGAACAGTCACATTTTGCTTCTTCATATCTAGCCATGGGTTGAAACAGAAGCAAACCACACCTACATGCAGAAAAATAGGTCACCTCTGTGATTTTGATGTGATGGGAAAAACAATACTGTAAATATCTGGAATTTAATTGAGATCAGCTTAGCACGTTTGATATAAACATTAAGCACTGTTTTTCACTGTTGTTGACATAGAAATATTTGGAGCATTATAGATTGTTTTACAGGAACTATAACTTGGGAACCTGGTGTGTTGTTGACTATTTTATATCCCTCTTCGTAGCTGCTTCATAAATGTCAGTGAATAGTTCTCTTAAGGTCAAAACTACTATTACTTTAAATCTATTTCTAATAGATATAACTGTTCTTGTTTGTTTTTTACTGTAGAGCTGACAGAAAGACCCTGAACCAGATTTCCATGCTTCCTATCTCTGCAAGCCAGGTCCTGAGGTAGATTAGACTGTCTACACCTATTCTAGAACAAAAATGAAAAAATAGGTGCCAGATATAGATCTAAAGTAACTTGTGTTTTGGCCTATGTCTCTTTCATGTGTCTAGCATGTCACTGATAGAAGAAACCTATGACATGACATCCTTGCGATGTTTATAGATCCTAATGGGTCAAAGGAATGCTCAGCCTCATGAACTTTTTGCATATTTCTACTATTAGCAAGTTGAAAGGACAATAAAAAAATTCTTTATAGTTTACTGGCAGAATACCTGCTCTGCATGCGGAAGGCCTCAGGGTCAACCTGGCATCTCCAAGTAGGGTTAGGAAAGGACCCCGCCTGAAACCCTGGAGAGCTAGCTGCTCCCAATAATTCTTGACAGTGGACCAGCCAGTGGTCTGACACAGAATATGACAGCTTTCTGTGTTCCGCTTGCAAGAACTAGCTCATACTAGTTTGTAACTTGCAAGATTCTTCTTCAAATAGGATGTTAAACAAACCAAAGCAGGGAAGAGAAATGTTTCATGTATAAGGCATGGCACGGAAGCCAGTTTGCAAAAAGTGCCATGGTGCTTCTATGCAAACTTTTTATTGTGCAATTGCTCTGCCTCATTCATGGAATTTTACAGGGTATCCAGACAAGTTGTCATCCATTTGTAACTCTCCTGTCTTGTTTTCCCACTGCTGCATTCATCTCTGCTCTTAGAGAAAATCTTTGTAGGACAAATAGCTTACAGACCTATTTCTGTCATTGACTGCAACATTTTTGTTTTGGGACAATACCGAATGTAGTTTGTCAAGGGAATACTACAATTGGAGATGCTTTATCATTTAATGCTGTATTTAAATTTGCATTTTTTCTTATTCAGTTCTAAAATGGGTGATTTGTAGTTAGTGAACTGCCAAGCAAGATGTTTTAAAATTGTGATTCTATTAGGCACATGGATATGCTTGTTTTCTAAATTGTTTTATACTTTTGTTATTGTTTTACATCATGTGGGACTTTTGCTAGAGACACTGTATTCGCAGAATTGGTAGTGAGCCTCTTCTTAAAATTTACATAGCTGAAACTGAGAAGCAGCTTCTCACACTATGCCTTAATATACAGTTACTTTCACTTCACTCCCCTCCATTCTTTGCAAGCCTGGAACATATGTTCCACCTTTCCTTGGCTAGCCTTTAAACCAGGGGTCCCCAAACTTTTTCAACAGGGGGCCAGTTGACAGGTGCCAGCGGTGGGCGTGGGCCCGCCAAGGTGGTGCCTGTGTGGGGGCATGGTGCGGGGACTGGGGGGGGGGCGCGCTGGCTTGCTCATGAGGATGTTATTTTCTCCGATTGAGTCCAAAACGATCTCTCCATGGGCAAGCTGCCACCATGAGGCACCAGTTTGCTGACAAGGAGACTGCTTTCTCTGAGCGAGTCCAAAATGACCTCCTCATGAGCAAGCCGTGCACCCGCGCACATGCCTGGGGAGTGCAAAACCTGTGGGGCGGGCCGGATTCGGCCATGGGTCCTTGAGGACCCATGCTTTAACAATGGGAACTGGAAGGCACGGACAGCAACACAGAGATTACCCCTTTAGTGCTTATTTATTATGCTATTGCCTTTGTTACGGCAGTGAGCAGATTAAAGATAATTTAGCTATCATGTGAGGTTTAGTTGAGGACTAGATTAAATTATCAGATTGGCATATGTGAGGGAAATTAATAGTTGTAAAGAAAACACACATCTGCTTTCGGGCAGCATATGCACATTGTAACTGACACTGTTGTAGAAGTGGCTCCCTGTTCTCTTGCACGGGATAGAAATTCTCTTATAAAATGGTCCTTGCTACCTGCAGTTTTTAAAAGCACTTGAATTTCATTATCGTATTTAAATAATTTAGGGTGCAATCTTGTGCATTTTAGATAGAAAAATGCTGACTAGGTATTTTTGAGAATTGTAGGATGTTTTCCTGACCTAATTTTTAAAAATACTCTGTAGGAAAGCACATTTTAAAAAAATGAACCTAATAAAGTTTGAATTGTTTGAATTGAATTAAAAGTTGGGAGTGAGCTATATTCAGCTTGATGGACTTTACTTCCAGGAAAGAATGTATAGGACAGGGATATAAATTTTGTAACCTTATTTTGAAGTAGAATATGCAAGAATATTTCTCAGGCTAAGACTATATTTATATTATATGTTTGCACTGTTATAATAACCATGATAACAATGTAAACTATAATATAAATATATTTAGAAAGTATGTTTCTTTGAGAGGTGCTAGGGCAATCTTCTCCAGTGCCTTCCAGATGCATTGGAATACAACTCCTATCATTCTGAGCCTGCATATACATGAAGGGAGTTGTCATACAACATTTATGCAGGACTCAGATTGGGGAAGACTGTGCTAAGAATCTCTAATCTTGAATATTCTGTACTCACAATCTCCAATTCCAAGAATTATCTTGATATAGTTGTGACATTTTCGCTGATTCAAAACCACTATAAGCTTGTAGCATAGATATGGATAGAAAATTTTTTTGGATTGATAATCTAGATGAGACCCTTGGTTCTGTTTTCTTTGTGCATTTGTACAGACCACACCCTCAGTTACGTGGCAATAACATTCTCTCTCGTAACCAAGCAGCTGGAAGATGGCATTCCCATTGGCCAGTTATGTGAAGCGTTCATTGTAAATTAGCTATAGTGTTTCCAGAATGCACTCACATCCTGAATCAGGAGTTTCAAGTCCAGTGATCATATTGCAGGCGCTCTGCATTTTTTAAATTTGCTGCTTAGAAAGTTGCTAGAGAACATGAGCAGATGCTTCCTACAGTTTTGCCTGAGTTGAACTGCTTCAGATACAGATATATCATTCTGAGATCTTTCTGAGTTTCCAAAATCAGTTCATAATGATTAGGGCAGTTTGATAGGGCCAGCTGAACCGATTCTTCTATCCATGTGCTTCAAGGTTTGCTTTTGCTTTGCCGGCGCTTTAAGAACTAAAGTAACCATGTCACTTTTTAACATTCTTAATGCTTTCTTTACTGTTTTCCTCATTTTACTTATCCTTTCCATTCCCATGCTTACTGCAATTGAATTTAAGGCTGCAATGTGGCATGTACTTACTTGGGAACAAGACTTACTGAATTCAGTCGGACTTACTTCTGATGAGAGAAGATAAAATTGTACGTGCAGGTGCAATTGGCAAACATGTATTTCTTTAGCAGGCTTGCGTGCAGGACCGGCCCTGTTGAATGCAGCCTCCTGCATATGTTTTACAGCCTGACAGGTGCTTGATAAAGATCCCATCCCTATATTTTTGCAGTCCCAGGCAGGTAGGTTTATTGAGTCTGTGAAAGGCCTCTGTGCTGGTGGCCTGCATTCAGCCTTGTGGCTTAACGTGTGCAGCTCTAGAGAGGTTTGGTTAAGGGAATTTTTATTATACGAGTCTGTAAATTCACTTGAAGGCACTTACTACAAATCCCTGGTATGTTGGCAGGGGAGAAAACCCTCACCATTACAAACTTAGTTTCCAGTGCAGGAAATGCAAACTTGACTATGTAGGGAATGCTCCTTTAATAAATGTTTGTCATTCTGAAGTGCCCAAGACTTTCCAACCATCCCAGTGATGGCTGAGACTCATTTGCTGCTCCTCTCTCTAGGGCTCTGGGATTAGCATAGGGTTTAACACTCAAGACCATCATATAAAGTTCTGTCATCAAGACACAGGTTTGCTTGCAATGTGGCTGGAGAGCAGAACCTCTCTACAACTCCTCGTTCCTATATTTGTTCCAAAAAGAGAATGTCAGAAACTGCTAGCTTCTTCCTATGCAATCTGTTGGCTGCATGGATGAGGATATCAGACAGGATGTTCAGTCCAGTTAAGCTTTCCTGTAGCTTTTGAGATTCTGCAATACTCGAAGGCTGTAGTGTTTGCATTGTGCATTTGCCCTGATCATAAATGAATGTTGAGTGCTAGGCTGGTACCTTGGTTAATAGCAGCCAATGCACCAGGGCTTGTCTTGAAACACTGAAGAAGCCATTTTAAGTAACACAAGGGTTGACTTCAGACTTTTCGTGGAAGGTATTCAGCACCAGGCATCATTAGCTGTCAATGAGTGAGTTGCTATTATTTCTCAAGTGTCAAAATGCCTAGTAGACTACTGTCTTTCTGTACTTGTTCATCCTTCTAGCCAGTTGTAAAACCACCTTCAGTCCTTACATTCAGTGATCATAAACACTTGATTCAAAAGGGGTAAGTAAAATATCTCTTTACTGTTATAGGAGCGACTTAGGTTGGTATGCTGGTTTCAGATGTCATAATTACGTTGTGTTTAGGCTGTGTAACATGCTTTACATGGAGCTGCCTGTGAAAGATACTTGGAAACTTTAGCTACTCCAGCATGCTGTATAGTAGAAAGCATTTCCCCCCTCTTGACTGCAGCTACTTCCATGAGGCTTAAGAACCCAGGGGTCTCCTGCATTCTGTTCACAGTGGCTTATCAAATGCCTTTGAGAAACTTACAAGAAGGGCATAAATACAGAAATGCCATCCTGACCATATTCCCAGTAACTGGTATTATGGAGGTAAATTAGGGAGAACCAGTGTGGCATGGTGATTAGAGTGCCGGACTGGGGATTTGAGAGATCCTCACTTGGCCATGAAGCTCCCTGGGATACTTCAGGCCGGACACAGACTCTCAGCCTAACCTACCTCATGAGGCTGTTCTGGTGAGGATAAGATAGAGAAGGGGAGACCTTTGTGAGTCACCTTGTGTTCCTTGCGAGATGAATAAAGGCAGAGTAGTAATCTAATGCAATAATAGTAAATAATATTGCCTCTGATACTGGAGGTAGGAACATAAGAAAAATCATGCCGGATGAGGCCAAGGATCTATATCGATCCTTGTGTGTAAACATTCAGTTTACACAGTGGCTGACTAGCTGCCATAAGAAACCTACAAGCAAGATGTGAGTACAACAGTGGCATTTAGTTATCTGAGGGCACTAGTTGTGAGGGCACTCATGTTTCCTCAACTAGTGGCATTTAGTCATCATAACTAGTAGCTACTGATGCTTTTGTTCTCCATAAATTTGTCTTATCCCCCCTTTAAAGCCATTCAAAATGGTTGTTGTTCCTTGTTACAACACTTGCTACCAGTTTGCTGCTAAAACCCGTTCAAAGTGTTGGACCTAACCTAGATGTCTTGATCAGGTTTTCTGATGGATCACCTGCTCTCATATTTACCTGTGCAGATGACATCATAGCCAGAGGTCCTTCTCCATGTGTCATTGCCAAGTGAGCCTCAGTGGATGGGACAAGGGCTGTCTCAGTCATAGTATCCAGACATTTGAATGCCTCCAGAATTGTAACCCATCTGACACCAATCCTTTGCTCTTTTTGGTGCTACATAGATCTTTCTAAAATTTTTTACAGTGAAAAGCATGGGATGAGTTAATGGATTTTGAGATCTTCATGTCTTACTAAGTTTTAAGACATAGCTCTGTTTAACTCTTTTATGCTTTTTTCTACTATACTGTACTTGTAAACTGTTTTATATTTTTATAACTTTCATGTAACTTTGCAGAGAACTTCAGTTATGAGGTGGCACAGAAATGCTGTCAATAACGAATTCTCCTGCTTTTTCTCTTAGGTCTAAACCAGTTGCCCTTTGACTCTATCAACAACAAACCCCTTCCATTCAATAGCAGGGTTGGCACTGCAGAAAATGGCAGTGAGGCAAGCCAGAAGCGAAAGAGGATGAATATCCCTCCAGGTAGGCCAGGGTGTGCATGCGTGTGGAACAGTGAACTGTGTTGGTCTCTGGAAGATGGTTTAACTGTGAAGGGGAGAATCTGGAGGCTCTCTTTTGGAATGAAAAAAAAAGTGTTATGTGTAGCTCATTTCTTGCCAGGAACCGTGAGTCCTGGGATTTCTGTTCCTTGTCACCCGATAGCAGTCACAGCTGTGTTTGTACTCACGTCAGGATGAATCTGCATCGTGGTTTTATTTTTGTTTGTTTGGGTATGCAGTAGTCGATGTGAAGTACTCGTTTTCCCACACAGGTTTAGAGGAAGGCAGCCCTCAGTGCCATAGAGTGGGCACACAATGGAATACTTGCTATCTTTGCCCCAAAATATAGGAAGTGCAAAATAAGGGAAATGCTGACTTTCCTTGAGGCATGATAAGTTGATGTAGAAGTATGATTTGACTTTCAAACAGTTCTTGATCAGATTGGGCAACTCCTAGATCTGGAGGGAGAGCTCTGTGAAACTTGATAACTTGTATGTTTGTACCCCAGTGAAGATCAATTTCAGCCACCAAAGATAAATGAGACTGATTTATGAACATCAAAAGAATCCTGATGCGAATTGGGAAAGCCTTCTGAAATAGAAGCAGGGCCCAGATTCACAATTCTGTGTGAAATGAAAGCATCTGTATGTGTATGGCGATGCCTGCTATCCAGGGATGATTGACAGCAAGGGAAGAGAAATGTGTGGCCTTCCAGATGTTGTTAGACTACAACTCACACCATCCCTCCCATTGGTCCTTCTGGCTGTTGCTGATGGGGGTTGGGTTTCAACAAGATTTTGGAAGGCCACAAATTGCCTCCACCCTGGTTTACAGTAGTTTGGGCACTCAGGGAATGGGGCAGAAGATGTGGGTATATCTGTTTCAGCAGAGACTGATCAGCCGGGATGTGCAAAGGGCTTTGACTGAGTCAGAGCCATCAGCCTCCAGTGTTTTTTCCTTCGCTGCTCTGCTGGAAGAGGACAATCACAAGTGGAAGGGGAGGGGAGGAAGAACTTTCCAAATGGTGGTGGCATTGTCTGTGGGCATTAGAACTCCTGTTATGGCTTGCATGGTGATTCCTTTGAATAGCTTTCCCCCACATGGTACCTTCCAGATAATTGAAGCCCCAGTTTAGCATTATAGTTGAAAACATCAGGTTAGGAAAGCCTGCCTTAGAAGCCGTTTTCCCCACCAGACCTTTATACCATTAGCAGCAGTTTTCTTCATGAGAATTGTGGCAAACTGAAATGGCCTTGTGGAACAGACACTGAATTTTCATTTATATTTGCTATAAGCCACTCTTGCATCAAACTTCTGGACTACTTCCTAAACCTGGGCAGGGATGGAAGAGGGTTTTTTTAAAATCAGGTTAGGATTTTGACAACAGGTGGGCTTCTTAAAGGGCATTTTGCCATATGTCTTTGGGTCTGTAAATAATGAGTGCACAGTCCTCTGGATCACGGCCCGGGCTTTTTAGGTGTTGCGCTTCTGCCCTCAGAGGATCATGTTGATAAGTGCTAGTAACATTCTATTTTGAGGGCCCTGCCTTTATACATAGAGTTCTGGTCTGGGAAAGAGCAAGACCTCAGTAAATGGGGGTGGGATGGTGCTCTCTCAAGAAAGGAGAAGGGTGGACGAATGTGTGTTTGCACTCAGTTGTTGCATCCCGTGCTACTGCTGCAGTTTACAATTAACCTTTACCAAACCATGTTTTAATCACTGTCGTGAAAGACGCAGGTAAAGAAATTAAAAATTATGTTTTCCCCAGATTTTCGCATAATGATGAAGCTCTTTATAAACTAATTTGGTAACAACCATCCCCTCTACAGATGGCATCCAGACCCTGAGCCTCGAGTCTCCTCCAATGGATCTGGGCATGTCTGACCCAACAGCATGGGCCACTGCCATGAATAACTTGGGAATGGCACCCATGGGAATGGCTGGAGATCCCCTTTTGCCTGGTAGGTAGTGTGCTTGTTTCAGTATCATCAGTGCAAGTATGCACAAATTACTTGCACACTGGGAGTCAATGTCCAGGGAAGGTATAGGATCCAGGATCCACCCCCGTTTTGTACTTGGAAAGAATATGTACACCAAAATGCTGGGAAGGCGTGGGTTCATCTGAAGGAAGTGCTGCCAGTGCTCTATCAGTTCCCTCTTTCCTACCCAGCAGAATCATGTTATTACATCATTGCTAAAAATCAGCTTTGTAACTACACTTGCATCCATTCTTTGATTACATTACAATACTGCCCAATAGGCGAAGCTCTCTGGGCAGTTTACAAAGATGAAAGCCTTCACAATACATTATGAAAACCATATTTGTAAACATATAAACATACAACACAGAAATGTTCATATGTTTAAAAACAATTTTAAATAAACATCATTTGAAATTCAAAACCTTATTAAAATGTCACCATATATTCCCAACAGGATTGTATAGTCCTGATCTAATTTGTCCTCTAAGGCTGAGGAGGAGGATAATTTAAAGTCCTATGAGACTTTGCTTTTCCTCCTTCCCTGATGCGGAGTGAAGCTACTCATGCTCCTAGAAGAGAAGTCAAATCTGTAACCCACATTGTCTTCCTACTCTGCCAAGCCATCCTGATTATTTCTAAGCATGAACACATGAAGTAGTGTGGGAGTCCAGAAAACTAGACTGATTCTAGTCATCATAAATGATGGTTTGATGTCCACAGTCATTATTTTCCAGGTTCTCGTGTATGCCTGCTGTGGAATGGGTATCAAATTTTGGTGAGGGGGAGGAATGCCATGCTAACTGAGAATGGTGGGAGTTGCAGATCAACCCATCCAGACAGTACCATGTTGGAAAAGATTTCCCATAGAGCTTTTTGGTCCCTTCCTCCCTCCCTCTTCCTCTTACGAGTTCGTGACTGCCAAATGTTGACTGAAAAAAACACCTACAGCAGTGGGGCCAATTTGGGTGCTCCTTCATGATACTCCTTCCAAGCATGCTTTTTCACCCTTCTAGCATCAAACTCTGGGGGGTGGGCGGGGGGGGAGCAAATACCACTTCTGCAATATAGAAGAAGAATCTGGTTGGGACAGTGCTGATTGGCTGATTGCCCTGATGCTATCAATACCTTGACACACATGTGCAAGTGCACAGATACTTGTGTGTTTATGTACAGCATGTATGCTTGCATCCCTAGAGAATGTGTGTTCTTCTGAAAAGAAAATGAATCAGAAGATAAATGAATTTCTTTATGCACATCCAGCTGGCATTTTTTAAACAATCAAAAAGACATGAAGTCCATTTGAAGGATGGGAGGTGGAACAGGCAAGACTGATGCCAGAGTCAGTATTCACTTGGTTAGTCTGAACTGCTGTCATTTTGGTTGCACAGCCAGGAGGAAGTCGGGCGGGACAGTCTCTACCAACAATTAGGTCTTATATGTGGACTATCTTAGCCTCAGTCATAAAAAAATGGATTTTGTGGATCTTTCAGGCTGCCAAACAATTCTGTTTCTCTAGGCTCAATGTCATATGCATCTCTCAGGGCTCTGAGCTTTTTGGTTTTACTGATGCTTCATCTACCTAGAATCCTAATAGAAATTCTTGAGCTGTCGCTGCTGTAATGATCCTGCTTGTTGGTCTCTCTCTTTCAGACTTTGACCCTGCCCTTGGTATGATGACAGGGATCCCACCAATCAATCCCATGATGCCTGGTTTGGGAATGGTGCCACCACCAATCCCATCAGATATGCCTGTGGCTAAGGAGATTATTCACTGCAAGAGCTGCACTCTCTTCCCACCAAACCCAAGTCAGTCTTGCTGTAATATTTGCAGTTGCTCTGGGATGAGATGGGGAATATTTGTGGTTAGAAATGAGAGTTAGATGTGTAGTCTGGGGACTGAATAGGAGACTGGTTTCCATTAATTATGGACCTCATTCTCACGTAATGCTAACTCATGGTTTATTTAAGCTGTGTTGTGTTGAATTTTGGGTTGACATGATGTGCAAACCCAATAAACCATAGAAATGAAACAACCAAAGAAATAAAATTGGTTACCAGGACAGAGTGGGCAAAGAAGGAAGGAAACAAACAATCCAGGGTATGAGGGGGAAAAATGCAGTTTGTTGTATTGTCTGTCAAACAAACCTTGGGGAAGGTCACAAACCATGGGTTAAATAACCTATGTTATATGTGAACCAGGCTGTGAAACAAATTGGATATTTTCCTCTAGAATTATCCTGATAATTTTTGGTAGCTTGACCAAGCCAAAATTTCTCTCGGAGCATTAGAGGGAACCAAAAACACCCAAATGGGAGGACTGGTAGCTTGAAGCAGCCCATGCACTTTAGGAGGAAGGCCACACTCATGTTCCAGCCCGGGCCAAACTGTTTTCTGACTGTGATCACTTAATGAGAAGCAAAATGGAGACGTTAACATCACTAGCCAAACATTCTAGAATGTCGCTTGATGAAGGAAGTTCAACCAATTACTTTCCAGAACTGACCTCTAGTGTTTCGATGCTAAGGGGTGACCCTCAAGATATTGTTGGACTGCAGGTCCCAGCACCCCTTGCCAACATATCCAATTTTGAGGGATGATAGAAGATGTAGTCCAACAGTACCTGGAGGCCGTAAGTGGTCCACTTCACCTGTAGTATCTTCTTTCTTTTTGACTGAATGCTATTTTAGAATCTTTATGGGTTTGGAGAGTGGTGTCTGTAGAAACAAAAATAATTAAACTATGCTTCAGAATTTTAACAAAAGTTGTTACTATTTCAACATTCTGAAGAACAATGATACATACTAGCCATGGTGATTATTCAGTGGAAACTTCATTTGCATCAGCTGTTGCAGCAAGCCATTACACCAGCAAAGCAACATGAAAAGAAAGCTAACTGAACTTATATAAACCCTTATTCCCTCTTTTTATAATACTGGTAGAATTAGTCCCAGTGTTATCTGGGATGGTTGTTTGTATTTGTTTTTACATTGCTCATACAGCTATAATCCAGCACTGAGTTATCACCAAATAAAGATCTTTTCTGCTAGAAAGATCTTGGCTTTCAGTATTTTGAGGAAGGAGAATATAACCTTGCCTGGTAGGGTAGCATTGGTCAACCCTTTTGACACTATGAATTCACAGCAGTTGTTGTCACATTGTAGATGCATTCCAGATGTCATTTGCTTGTGGCATGCTTCCATATCATATTCCTCGCTCTCTTTAGATCTCCCCCCTCCCACCACAAGGGAAAGACCTCCAGGATGCAAGACGGTATTTGTTGGAGGACTGCCTGAAAATGGAACAGAAGAAACCATTGTGGAGATCTTTGAGCAGTGTGGAGAGATCATAGCGCTTCGGAAGAGTAAAAAGCATTTCTGCCACATCCGTTTTGCTGAGGAATATATGGTGGACAAGGCCATTTATCTGTCTGGTAGGTTTCTTGTGTCTGTCCTTTGGACTTAGACACGATCATTTCTGTAACATTGCACAGGCCACATGCAATCATGTCTGTTATATCCTGTTCCATTTTCCCAGCTGCACATATCTTGTTGCTAGTAACACCTGCTTGAAAACAATTGATTGTTGGATACCCAAAACTCCTTTGGAGGACTCTTGAGGGCTGGACTCCCTTTTAGGAAGTGTCTGATATTACGTTTGTTACCTATGTCATGTTATGAATCCCCGTGAGAGTCCTCCTCCAGCACTATCAGATGGATGTAACCAGGCTCCAGCAACTTTAAAAGGGCAATATCAACCTTTTAATCTGATCCTTGCCTGTCTTTAAACTCACTCTGTGCTTTTTCATGAGTTTGAAACTGTGACTACCATATTTGCTAGGGGATATACTTGAAGTAATTTAAGGTCAGTGTAGCTGGGCTGCAGCAGCACAGATAGTCATTGATGGGCTGAGCATAGCAGAAAGTGTTTAGGAATGTCTTGAGCTTGAACACTGATGTGATCAAACCTCAGGTGCTGCTGCTCATGTTTCCTCTGACAGCGCCTTCTGGCACTGCTGGAGCTGGAGCAGACGAAACCTGAATTGCCACTGGGAGGCGGAGGTAGAATCAAACCACAGGTATCTGCTGAAGGCTTTTTTCCTGAAACTGCTTTCAGGGTATCGTATTAGGCTGGGCTCTAGCACTGATAAAAAGGACACCGGGCGCCTTCATGTTGACTTTGCCCAAGCCCGGGATGATCTCTACGAGTGGGAATGTAAGCAGCGGATGCTGGCCCGAGAAGAGCGTCATCGCAGAAGGATGGCGGAAGAACGGTTCCACCCTCCCTCTCCACCCCCTGTTGTCCACTATTCAGATCACGAGTGCAGTATAGTTGCGGAGAAGCTAAAAGGTATGTGTGGCTGCAGAGCACTGCTTTAAGCTGTCAGACTTAAAGTGAGGGCCTCCTCCTCCAGCCTGGGCCCTCCAGTTGTGTTGTTCTTTAGCATGGCCAATAGTCAGGGATACTAGGAGTTGTTTTGAACTTCTGGAGGGCACTAGGTTGGGGAAGACTGCGCTAAGCTAAGGGCAAGGGCATAGGAAACTGCCTTATATATGGACAGTTTGTTTGTCCATCCCAGTACTGTCTATTCAGGGTGACAGCGGCACCACAGGGTGTTAGTCAGAGGGGCTTTTCCTCGTTTTAAGTGGAGATTCTAGGGACTGAACCTAGGACTATCTGTATGTGAAGCAGGTGCTGTGCCACGGAGCCCATCTCTATTAGATATAGATAAAAGACTGCAACTCCGTGTACTGGCTGTGGGCTTGACCTCCGCTTTAGCTTTCCAAAATTTTGTCTTGCCGGGAAAGGCTCATTTCATGTGGCTCCACATGAGGGAAAGATAATGTAAATATGTTTATGCTAAAAATGTGCTGCTGCTTTACATCTGAAAAGTGTTCCTCTCTTGGGCCAGATGATTCCAAGTTTTTGGAAGCAGTGCAGACATTGCTGACCTGGATAGAACGTGGGGAAGTGAACAGACGGACTGCAAACAACTTTTACTCTATGATCCAGTCGGTCAATAGCCATATTCGACGGTTGGTGAATGAGAAAGCGGCTCATGAAAAGGCAATGGAGGAAGCGAAGGAGAAGTTCATGCTTGCGCTGTCAGGGATTCTTGCTCAGTGTGAGTGTACGGGGCTTGCAACCAGGGTTCCAAGTCTCACTTTATGGAAATGTACTATTTCTGTATTAAAATATCCTACTGAGGATGATAGAGAGTCAAGAGATAGATGTAGATCAGGGACACTCTAATTTTTAGGAAATGTGTTATGCTTATTTGTTCTTCAAATAAGAACAAATCTTGAATAACTCACTCCATCGTGATAGTATAAAGTATCCAAGAAAACCAACAAAATTTTATACAAAAACAAAACCCAGTAACAAACCATTTACATATAAAATGCAGAAAGCTAGAGAAAATTAAAAGAACCCAAAGCTACTTGGCCATTCATCTTCAGTGCAGAGAAGGGTCTTACAAAGCTGCTGGAATCCTGTCAGGCTCTTGAGTTGGATGCATCATTGAATAAAATGGGCCATACTCCCTCGTCCAAAATACTGCTGTGCAGATTTTCCTCTTCTTAATTTGGCACACTAATGGTAAAGTCAAGTGAGCACTCTTGGAAGATCTTAAAGACTGCGCTGGGATGTAGAGGAGGACATGCTCTTTAAGGTATGTAGGGCCCAAACTGTCCGTGACTTTATACTTGAAGGCCAATAGGGATCCCCAACAGATACATTGTCCATCCAATAGTCTTCCCCATCAGGAAACAGACCACTTATTTCTGCACTGGGTGAAGCCTCTGTCTTTTATTTCTGTTCATATATGTTTTTGGTGGTGGTGGTTTGCAAGGAGGAGGGTGAAATCGGGCATTCTTTCTCTTTCAACAGTATCCTCTGCCTAGTTCTGCTTAGTGATCTTGCTTTCTGCAGGCTGTCCCTGTATTAGCAGCAGATTTGTGCTTTTGGTGATTGCAAAGGGACCTAGGCAACAAAGGTAGGTTTAGAACCAAGTCCCGCTCTCTTCTTGTTCATTCAAGGGTCTGCAGGTCATCTTACTAATTGGAAGATATAAGTCTTCAAGGTAATGTAATATTATTGGATACCACACACCTCCAGCCCATTTTAAACTTTACCGACATAAGCTTTGATGCTTTTCCAAGTCCTGAGGGCATTCTGTGGTTTTCTATTGCCTGTTGCTCACCAGGATCCATCAACCAGTTTGATTTGATACTCCTGCTCAGTGCCCTATAGATTAGCTGCGCCCCTACCTGGAGTACGACTGCCTGGCACCCGTGACACACGCGCTGGTAACTTCCTGATTAGATTTCTGTAACGCACTCTACGTGGGGCTACCCTTGAAGACGGTCCAGATACTTCAATTGGTGCAGAATAAAGCTGCCAGGTTGCTGGTTATGACCTATAAAGCCCTAAACGGCTTGGGACCTGGATACTTAAAGGAATGCTTACTCCCATATATGCCCTCCCGCCCCTTGAGGTCAGCAGCAGATGCCCTTCTCTGGGAACCATCTGTGAATGACATCAGGAGGGTGAGTACCCGGAGGAGGGCTTTCTCGGCGGTGGCGCCCCATTTATGGAATGCGCTCCCCAGGGAGGTCCACCTGGCACCGTCGTTACTTGCTTTTCGGTGCCAGGCTAAGACCTTTTTATTTAAAACTTATTTTAATTGTTAAAAAAAAGCCTAGTTAAATAAATTTAAGCCAAGAATGCACTGAGGTTTTATTGAGGTTATATTGAGGTTTTATGATACTGGGGGGTTTAGTGTATTGGGGGTTTTAATGTATGGTTGACTTTTTTGATGTTGTGAGCCGCCCCGAGGCTTATTGCGATGGCTATTCTGGCTAGGGTTGATGGGAGTTATAGTCAAGCAACTTCTGACAGGACATACATTACCCACCCCCTTGATAGCTGCCCTTGGTGGTGTTGATGTGTGTATGTGTCTGCCCGTTTGTCTGGACTCTGTCCTCCTGACCATCCCTATGGAAGACTCTGCAAGTGGAAAACTGGTGTTCCTACCAGCTGGAGGAGGCTACCCCCCAGGGGTTTCTAGGGGCAGAGTTAACCTTGGAACTGCCCTTCTGTTCCTGTTCCACAGGATTGGGCCCATCACCTATACTAGCTGGGGATAAGAATTTTCCCTCCTGCTTTAATTAGCAGGAGGATTTTTTTACAAGCAGGAACAAAAGCCTCCAGGGAAAATGAAAGAGTGTGTCAGTGTCTGACCTCACTGTTCAGAAAGCTGACATCTTGGCAGCCCCTTAGCCTTGATGTCTGTGTTTTTTTTAAAGTTCTCAAATCTCCTCCGGTACAGCAAAAGGTCTCCGAAGTTGTGAACTCTTGTGGTCTGCTTAGTCTTGTTTTATGTATGTGTTGGCATTAAACAAATGTTGGCCCTGGAGTCCAGGAGGAGGGACATTACGCACTGCGGAGTAAGTAGTTATTGGGAGAGCAGAAAGTACCAGGTGTGGGGAATGAAACACCCCAACTTGGATCCCATCATGATGCTGGCTTTTGCCAATCTCTTGGCAGGGTAAGAGAAATTGTTCCTGCAGTAACCTCTGTGTTGCCCAAGTCAGTGAGTGGTGACTGTGGAATTGATTGTGTCTGCTTTAAAGGAGATGATACCTTTCATCTAAATGTTTGGCCAGAAATGTGCAAGAAAGCAATTAACTGTTTTTTAGCAGGGGGAGGCAACTTTAGGCTTTCCAGGTGTTTTGGCCTACAAGACCCATCAGCCCTAGCTGGCATAACCAGTGGTGAGGGATGATGGAATTGATAAGCCAGAACATTTCGAAGGCCACAATTTGCCTACTTCTGTTTTGAGAAAGCAGCTGTTGCTTTATAACCTGTAGGAGAGCCTATCATAATTACTGCATCTTTTCTAGGGATGTGTGTGTGTTTAAAATAACAAATTTTAAAAATAACAAATCTCCCCTCAAAAAACCCTGTGTGGTATAACTTTATATGTAAAGTTTGTAAATATGCACATGTACTCATTTGCTATAATCTATTTAGTCATGTTTTGGAAAGCCCCTTTTGGAAATAACACTCTGTCCTTTTGACTTCTGATATTTTAGTAGGTTTTGCGCACAAATTTTCAAGCTTATCTTTGTAGCATTACAGACTTTAAATATAAAAGCAAGGGCTCCCATGATGCAGGAATTCTGTGTCCAGCATCAGTTTACAGCTGTAGATGGTAGAATATGTACAGTCCTGATTATGACCCTTGGTTTCTAAAGTGCAAGATTCTTCCCAGCTGGCCAAATGTTTGGGCATTTTCTTTTTAGCATCTTTCTTCCTCTTGCATTTCCAGAGAAACGCTTCTATTTTTAGAGTGTTTCCAATGCTGTAGTGTCACTGTACTTCTTGTCAAGACAGCCTCCTCTATTAACTTGGCTTCACTCTGATTGGACAAAGCAAATCTTGGTACAGTCTGTTGTGCTACCTGCTCCCCATGCTCTGTTGCATTCTGGCATCTTCCTGGGAACCATCTCAGCTGTGGCCTTCGCCAAAAGAGTTGAAAGAAAAAGATGCGCTGGACCATCTGCCTGATCCCGCTCTCTTACTCCTTTACTCCTTTCTCTTGCCCTCTCTGGATGATATTGTGGCCTGGTTTTGCCTGCTGATTTTGAAACCGCAGTCGAGCAGATAGTGGCCGTGTACCATTCTGCATCCAAACAAAAGGCTTGGGACCATTTTACGAAAGCGCAACGTAAGAACATCAGCGTGTGGTGCAAGCAAGCGGAGGTTGGTATCTTTCTTTTTACATTTTTATGTTGGCTCCTCTTTGGCCTACAGGCTTGCTTATAAAGGATGGCGCTTTCTAGCCTCGCCCCAGAAGGTAAGTAGCAGCACAGGTTGATTAATAACAAAATACAGCATGAAGAGCTTGTGAACCACCATTAATGAACACCAATGAAGTGAGAAAACTGGGAGTAGTAGAGGGTAATAGAAGGTGTGCATTGGCAATGAGATAGAAATACACTTTGGGGCAGAACTGAATCTGTGCATGAGTGAAAGCAGTTCTGCTGTGTTTGTCCCTAGGTGGCTGGAGTCACACAATGGCCAGTTAAAAGTGCCTTTATGTAGTGGGGCATCATTGGTAGCATCCAGCTATCGAGTCAATCACTGTGCAGGTGTGATAGCACTGGGATTAACTTTGTAGGTCGAAGGTTCGGATACCCCTCATGGCACAAGCAAGCTTAAAGAACAGTAGCTGTAGCAGAAGCTGGGTGACTGCTTAATTTTTAGCTGTGATCATGACTGACCAGAAGCAGTGCATGTTCTCCTTCACTGGAGGGTCTCTTCTCCCATCGCCCACACTGCGTATCTGCGGATGAACCACTGTCAGGTGCAGTTTCAAGATATTCTCTTGAGACACTGTGAACTGTCTAAATTCTAATGTGAAGTCTAAATTCTGGGCAACAGTACATAGACTGCTTGCAGCTGAAGTCCACAGCAGGAATAGTGGAAATGAAATAGTAGGAAAAAGGCAGGATATAAATAAAAAATAAGTAAATAAATGAGACATACCTTGAAGAGAATTCTTTAATTCAGCAGTGCTTACTGTAGGCCTGCATGCCAAATGTGGATCACGTGGGTTCCAGATTGTTCCTCTGGGGTTCTCCTCATAAAACCACCAGTTCAGTGATTTCCAGCATTTATGTAGTTTTCCACCTTTGAAAATGTTGAAATGCCTCTCCTAAGGCTTGGCTACTGGCATTAAGAGCGTCAACCTACAATATGGTATGTGCTTATTTTAATTTTAGCCCTTTACCTTTTGCTTGCAGCCCCACCTAACCTTGAAATTGAGTTTGTAGCTTGGGCTAGAATAGGTTCTCCACCTATGCCCTTAGTGGTGGTGATTTGTAAAACTTCTGCTATCCGGAGTAGATGATGATGATGATGATGATTATTATTATTATTAGAACATTTCTATGCCGCCCCTTGCCGAAGCCTCAGGGTGGCTTACAAACACAATGAAATACAATAAAATACAAAAATAACAATATAAAATATGAACTCCAACACCCATCATCCCCTGCCATGCTAATTAAGGATGACAGTGTTTATGTTCTATCTGCCCTGGCTGGCACCAGGTTGCAGGAGGTGGAACTAACAGTAGTCTCTTCATTCTTGTACTTTAGAAGAAACTGAAGTTAGATACATCCAACGCACCCTTGGAAAGCTTTGGTTGTGTGTTTGATCACGTTGAACTGAGGAGGAGAACAGTAAATATGTGAATGCAAACAGAATTAAATCCCTCATTTCTCAAGGTTATAGCTGCTAAGTATGGTTGAGGGTTCCATTGACTATACTGTGCTTTTCTGCTGAAGCCACAACCAAAACTGTGGAACCTGGAAGGGGCATTGTAAGCCAAGGTGCTGGTCTGTCTGGCCTCTGCCCAGAGCTTCAGCAGCAACAGCATTTGTGTTTTAGTTTGTTTCTGACGTTTCTAAACCACATGATGAAAAAAATGGCTGTTTGGTCCATCACCATGAAGGAGAAATAGCTGATTCTTAGTGTGTCATTCTTAGCAAACTGGATTTTCACAAAAGTTGAGGTTCATTGCAGCTTGTGGCAGCCTCAGGTAAGTTATTCTGACGATCCATTAAGAGAGGGCACTTTTTTCCGGCACAATTGTATTGGTATTTTTTCCTTTGGAATAGAATGATGAGGCTGAAAGTCCCTGACTGCATGCAGAATAATTGGTATGCTTACTCCAAAAGCATTTTATTCGTGTTTTTTATTTATAAAAACATGTATATCTTGTCTTGTTGTCCTTTTAAAAATACATCTCCCTCACTACTGTTGGGGAAGGGCTTATCTCCTGGTAAAAAGACATGTTTGACATGTATAAAGTCTCAGTTTCAATCTATAATATTTCCTAGTAGAGGTATGACAGACTTCTCCCTGAAACCGTGGAGAACTGCTGCCAGTCTGTGCAGACACTACTAGGCTAGGTGAACCAGTGGTCTGATTCTATACAAGGCAGTTTCCTGTTTTCCCAGGATGCTTCAGGTCAGCCTTATTACTGCTCCAACTTTAGAAAGTACAGTAGAATTCTGATATACCATTGTATGACTCAACAAAGACCCTTGTAGTTGGCTGCATATAGTGAGAAGGAAGAGTAGAAATATATTTTTCATGGAAGATGATGTGCTGTTGGGAATAGGAACCAGCAAAGCAGGGAAGTGTCAAGAATGCCTCTTTTTAAAGGGAGTCTAGTTTTAGATTTTGGCTTAGAGTAAGTAGGGCTTACGAGAATGAGTTTGAGTGCAAGATGAACATTATTTCTAGTTGGGAAATCTTTCCAAGTAAGTTGACAATGCCATGGTCATATTATTTGAGGCAGGGGAGTGTTGATAAATTTGGCATGCCAGTGGTTTAAAAAAAAAAAAAAACAGTTCACTGACTTTTTAAAAGAAGGTTTTAAGCGTAAAGCTTTGACATGGCATAGTGGTTAAAACGTTGGACTGGGGATCTGGGTTCTAGTCCCCCCCTGACCATGCAGCTCATTGAGTGACTGCCTGGTCTGCCTCGCAAACCCACCACCAAAGAAAGCAAAAGGACAGTGCACAGAGAGTACGTTATATAAAAGGCCCCGTTGGTTCACAGAAGACCCAAGGTTCAGTCCTTATTGCCTTCACCAGGAAGGGGACCAAGTAGCAAGTAATGGGTGCTCATCCGGGCAGATAGTATGAGCCGGTATAAGGCAGACCAAGGATCCACCTCGTCCAACATCCGACCCACCAGCTTGCCCGCGAGATCCTGCAAGTGGGATGCAAGTGCTGCAGCACGTTCCCCTTTCCTCCCTCCGGTTCCAGGTTGCCCGGTCTCTGAGCTCCTCTGGCGGCTCCATGTGGGCCTGCAGCCTGCCCAGAATCCACTTGGAGCAGAGCCCTTAGTGTGGGGCTCCCCCTCTCCGGAACTGCCTGCCGGTTGATGACAGGCAGGCAGCAACATGCTTCTCACTGTTGGCACCTTTATTTCAACAATACTTCCCCTTCTCACCAGTCACAATTTTATTGGCGCAATCTGATTGTAAATGTTTTAATTCTGTATCTTGATTGTCCTTAAGCTCAGTCCTCCCCTCCTTGTCCTTAAGCTCTAAATACCAGACATTCTCTTTAATCTGTAAAACAGATGATTTACAACTACAAGACAAAATAACATTTCCTAGTAAGCTGGAAGATAAGTTTCTGTGCATACTAAGAATTACTGTTGAATCCAAACAGGAACTTCTCCCCAGAGCCCTTGTATTTCAGTGAGTCTGAGGCTCCACCCTCAGGGTGGCTCCTGCTGTTGTAGACCCAGGCAGCAAGATCAACACAAGCCCTCTAACTTGCAGCTCATCTCCCCTAACACCTTGTCATGGACTCGGACTGGGCAAGGCAACAGCTCTTCCTCCTTTTCTCCGACCTCCCCCACCCCTTCCAAAACATTTCCCTTCTCCTGGTTGTCCTGGGAACCCGGGGGCAGTGACCTTGTAGACGCTTCAAAGGTCTATGCCTCATCTCTCAAAACTGCCATCTCCACTGCCTCAGAGTGGTCCTCCTCTTCAGAATCCCAGCCTTGAATCTCAGATACCTGCCAAGAATAGCAATTGGCTGCCCTCACTACACTGATGAAGTCAGTATCTCTTGCTGTTGTTTACTGCTGGGATACTTTACTGGATGCGCAGCAGTGTATACATTTTGTAACTAAAGAAATCAATGCACTGCTATGAGACCTTGTTCTGGTAGTAATTTCTGCTTAACTGCCACATGGCTTTTGACTGAATGTTGGATCAGTTACTCCCTTATATACGCTCATAGGAGTCTACACATGTGGCTTTTCTGTGTTGGTGGCTGCATCGCTGGGTTGCAGGAAACAAGCAGTGATCCAGAACTTGTTTTCTTCCTTCCAGAGGTTAGTCCCTGAAAGAACTGTCCAGACTGCACTTCTTCCTTGGCCTGGCTGTTCAAGTTCTGGCATTTCAGGAGTTCAGAGCTCAGACTGGGGAGACCTTGATTTACATCTCAGTTCAGCCATGGATATGAGATCCATGGTGAATCTCTGTCTCTCCATCTATAAAGCACAGGGTACAGCTGGTTTCTCCAACTTGGTGGCCTCCTGATGCATGGGATCAAAACAAAACATTATTGGGGTCATGGTGCAACATGTCTGGGAAGTGCCTAGGTGGAGAAGGCAAAGTCACAGTATTTATCTTGGGGGGGTTGAGCAGGATGGAGTCTAGAATTCCCTGCTAAAATGTTCCCAGTTCTTTGGATGATATCAAATTCATTGCACCACGAGGAATTTGGCTGCTGATGTTAATCATGGGACACTTCCACCTACCATGAAGTCACTAGTTCTTCCTTCTAGTTCTTTCCCTATTTTACTTCCTGTAGGGTCTTAGTTATGAACTAGCTTACAGCATGATTGGTAGCATCTCCTTTTAAAAAATGCTCTTTAAATCCTAGGAGATCCGTAACATTCACAATGATGAGCTCATGGGGATCCGACGAGAAGAGGAGATGGAAATGTCGGACGATGACACAGAGCTTCCAGAGACCAAAGAGACAAAAGAGACAGAAGAGTCAGGTAGCCCCACATCAATTTCAGGCTTGTTTTCTACATTTTTTTTTTTATATAAGAGTCCCAAGATTTATTGATCAAAGCCAGCCACAGAATGGTTGCTTGTGTAACAGCAGTATCAGTCATAATTATTTGCTGCATGCCATCAATATTCTAAGCTGATTTGCTTATGCATAAATCTGAGTTACTGCAGGACGGGATTTTGTTTAAGCAAATGCAATGCTGTACCAGGCGAACTACACAAAGACCTGACCACAGGCACCAGTTAACGTAGAGAATGGAGCTGAGAAAAGGTGCTTTGTTTCTCTGGCGTACTGCCTTCTGTGTGTGCATACCCCTGCCACAGAGCTCACCATGTCTCGGCTCACACAAAGGCGGTCCAGCACAGTCCAGGTGTGTCACAAGCACAAAGCAGGCAGGCAAAGTACAGGCAGTGGAACAGACTCCTTGAGCTGGTGAATCCAGGTGCAAACCAGCTACCTGTCACGTGCATGTATGATACAATTGCTTCCAGCAAATCGTTAAGGAATGCAGCATAGGTCTGGAAGAAGGGCACCCATCCTTTTGGCCCCAGGACAGCCTGGGTGTTTGCTGGCCTGCCAGAGGCCACACCCTACGTGCATGCACCAGAGTGCACAGGCACATCCCAGGCTTCCTTTAGCTAACAGGAGCACAGGAAACTGTTTGCTTTATCTTTAATCTCTCTCAAAAGTTGGAGGGGATGGGAGGGATTCCCTTACTAATATAAGGTAGACAAACGCCAGGTTTTTCTTTTCTAGCACTGGCAAGGTAAATCTGGGAGTGATTTCCATGGCTCTACAAGCTGCACTGGAAGTGCCCATGGGCCATAAACTGCCCATGCTGATGGATTTGCACACCCACGGTTTAGAATAAGACCAACTAGAAAATATTTACATGCTGCACTGAGAGCAGAATACTGAAAGTAAAAGTAGTCAAAAGGACAATGTTTTTTTCCCCTTTCCAACCCATTATTTTCTGTGCAGCTTTAATAACTCAAACAGAATCGCTGAAGGAAGAAAATGACAGCTTGCGGTGTCAGCTGGATGCCTACAGGAATGAGGTGGAACTTCTAAAGCAAGAGCAGGGCAAAATGGGCCTGGATGAACACCCAAGCAAAGATCAGCAGTTGGTGCTCCTCCAGCAGTCTTTGCAAGGCATGCAGCAGGTAATGGTTCCCTCTTTTCCTGTGTAGGGGAGGCACATCTTGAACAGTTGCCTTGTGCCAAAGGAGGTTTCTCTTTCCCTGTTGTGTCCCCCTGAAACAAGACGACGACATGCTGTTGTGACGCTTGTAATCTTCCCCAAGTCTCTCCCCAAAATTGCTCCACTACTAAAGGCATAGAACTGACCACAAGTCACTTAGGTAGCATCTGATGTACTTTTGACTATTCTACTAGTTGCTGGATTGCGGTTTTCAGGATATTTTTTAATAAATTGTTTAGTTATTTGGCAAGAAACCCAATAAATGAGGAAATAAATGCTGAAAAGCCACAGGGGTAGGTTGTGAGAAAGAATGCAATGCAGAAAATTGTTGAGAAACCGTCAACTGAAAGGTCTGTTGAACTCTATTTCTCTCAAAGGGAAATGTGAGGTGATATTTTATGTATTGATTTCATCTGTACCCTGCCTTTCTACCAAGAAAAATGGTACTCAGGTGGTTTACAGATGTAAATAAAGCACATACATTAAAACGCAATTAAAGCACAGCAATAACAGAAACAGTGCTCCCCTGGGAGAGCACTTAGAAGAAAACTGGGGGTAGGGCCTAAGTGTGGGAAAGCAACCATTGCTTTCAGCAACAGGCCATGGGTTGTTTTGAGGGTTGTTTCTCCTGCATGTCATCCGACCAAGTGATAAGCAAGTTAGGCAAATGATGACTGACACACGCCGCAGCCTGAATGAGGCATTGCAGGCGTGGAGTAGGTAATAAACTCTATTCTGTCTAATTTTATTTAAGAACCTGAGAGCCATGCGGAATGAAACCAAGGTATTCTGTGTATATTTTAATTTCTGCATTTCTGTATATTTCTGCATTGTCAGCCTAGAATGGGGTGGGCTAAAAATAAAACCAGTAGTTTAAAGCCATTTTATCCTCAGTCGGTAAAGCTCCTGGAGCACCTTACATGTACTTGGAGAATTAGCCAGTTCTGGTGTGCAGGCTTACAAAATCTGAAAAGACGCAATGCACAAGGGAAATGGGATGAGGATGGAAGTTGAAAAAATTCAGTAGGCTGTCAACAGGTCTGACACTGTTTCTCCTGCTTGCCTCTGAGGGGGTGGGGGTAGAGAGTCCAACTGGAGCAAGACCGGATGATGCCCTTGCCTGCTGCCGTCTCCCTCATGCCTTCTGGGATGTGAGTTGATGTCTGTCAGCCTTGTAGATGGTGGGATTGGGATAAAATTCAGCTTCAGTAAAACCACACACGTGTTTTTCCAACCTTCCAGCTTCTCCTGAAACTACAGGATGAATGTGAAAGTAGAGAAGCTGAACTTGAAAAAACAAAGGAGGAAAAACTGCAACTGGACAAAGTGCTTGGAAACCTAAAAGAAAAGGTAGGGGTGGTTGCTGGATTCTGCTTTTGCATAGCAGTCATCTGAACATGCACTACAATGCTTCTCCTAAACATTGTGTGTGTGATGTTGTGTGTCAGCAGCATTGAGTTCTGGAGGCTGGCACAAATATTTGTATCTGCTGCTATAGCTTAAAAAAATAAACAGGTAAGAAAGTTTGTGTACTTCAGATGTTGTGGGCTATGGCTCCCGTTGTTCCGTATTAAGAGCCACAGTGGCTTGGTAGTTAGAGCCTTGGAGAGATCCAGACTCCAGCTCAGTCATAACACTCTGTGCCTGCGCCTGTCCCTCTGTCAGCCAAAATCTACCTCTCAAGGTTGTTGTGGAGATAAAATGGGAAAGGGAAGAACCATGCATGCTGTACTGAGCTCCCTGGCAGAAGCGTAGGATGAAAGTGTGTGAGCGCGTGCAGAATCCAGCTCTGTCCAAAGCCACCCTAAATTTAACTAACTTGGACCCTGGCATTGAAATGAACAAAATGAATATATGCAACATTCCGAAACTTGCATAACGCACAAAGGGGATTCAGATCTCCTACATGTCCAAAGTCACTAGTATTGCCTTTCATATCAACTTGTCTTTCGTTCAATCTGCTCCATGTAATAATTTTATACAATCATTTTAATTGTGTGTATTTTCATTCCTGAACTGCTATGGAGGCTTTCACTGAGAAGTAACCTGCAAATTTAAAAATACTAACTGCAGTGGCCTAGAGGCCACACTTGTTTATTTCACTGGATTATTCGTATAGCTTGCTGCCAAGTTCAGTAGCTATGACTGTTTCAATGACATTGAAAGTAAAGGACTAAAGAGGTCAAGTAATAAAGATAACAGGCTTCTGGAACTATGCCTTCTTCTTTCTCCAACTAAATACAGCAAGAGCTAACGGCTGGACCAGACTGGGGAAAAGACTGCACTGATCAAGAACATGTGAGTTGATGAACCCTTTTGAGTAGTAGTAGTTCTGTATCAGTTCAGGCTTATATCTTTACCCCACCTCTGTATCAAGTAATGGGGAGTATTTACCTTCCTTTGCCATAAACCCTAGATGGAGTCTGAGCCAAGGAAATAGATGACAGCCGCTTTGGAACACAAAGCCAGCCTTGTGCCACTTTTTCCTTCTGCAGTGAAAACCAGTGCAAGAACAGGAGCAGGTGTAGGTCCAGAGTGCCAGGGTTTGCAGCAAGGGTTCACACAGTAAAAGGAAACCACACAACAAATCAGGAGACCTTTGTTGTTGAGGCAGTTTCTAGAAGGAAGAACTGGTTCTTTTAGAGCTCTTCCCTCAGGGCTCCCAGGTGATGCTCATAAGCCCCCACCCCACCCCACCCCATAGTTGCCTCAAGTCCTGACTCCAGGCATCTGTTGCTCATAGGTAGACTATTTTGAATCTACACATTCTGCCTGTGTTAAATATTGATAGCCTATAGCCATTGGTAGACCTAAGCTCCATGAGTTTGTCTGTTTTTTAAAAAAGCTATCTAATGGCTGGTGGCCATCACTGCAGTAAATTCAACCAGTTCATTCCATGTTGTGTGAAAACGTGTGTCTGTTGTTCAGTCCCGACACTAATCACCTTCGCTGGGTGACTCTGGCTTTCTAATATTAGGACATGTTGTCGCACACCAATGTGGAACTGTATGCTTTTGAGAAAGTGTGCTATCCTGATGTGGCGTGTGCAGAATGCAAGAAAAACATTTGTAAACCAGCCAGTATATCTATGTGTGTGCATGAGGGAGAGGAAAGATTTCACCTCTAAGGTGCTTGCTCCAGCTATCTACGCAACATCCATTAACTAATTTTTACTAGTTAAGTGTCTTACTGTGCAAGATGCAAATTAATTGACCAATGGCTAAGATGCAAATACCGTGCTAGAAAGTAACTGTCTGCGTCTGCCTCCAGGCCAACAGCTTGTCCCCGATCTGCTCAGTGAACCAGGAAAAGGAGAGCATACTTGAAAGAGGACTTAGCAGCAACCCTATCAAAACAGAGAGGGAAGCTTTATTAGTGGGTAAGGACCGCTGGGACACAGCAACTTGGAGGCCTGGAAAGAGTCCTCGTTGGACCACAAGTAACTGCCTTAGATCAAGTTCAGGCTGTTGATCTGTCGAGTTCTGCACTGACTGATGGCAGCCTTCTAGGGTTTCAGACAAGGTTTTTCTTAAGTCCTACCTGGGACCTTCGGCCTACAAAGCATGGGCTCCACAGCCCTTCCCTCCATCCAGCTGGTGGAGATGCACCAGCTTTAGGAGTTGAAGTCAGAAGGCCTCCTGAACATCTCTTGACCTGTGTGCCATTTAAATTCATTACACACTTCACGCAGCCTTGTATTTAGGTACCAACTTTGTAGTCAGAGGCAAGCGAGCAGAAATCGCAGGAAGGCAAGTGAATGGCTGGTAAAGAAGAGACGTAGTGCTCTACTTGGTGCCCAGCAAAAAAAAAAAAAATCCAAGCAGGCTGCTAGAGAAGGAACGCCACCACCCATCTTTTACTGGTTGCCAGCAATCTAGCCCATGCTGGCTTGGAGCTAATTGGCCTTCTTCCACAGATTGCATTTGCTATTGAAAGAAAATCCATTCCATTTGGATGGGAAGGGAGATGTGGCCCTCAAGCAAAAGCAAATTGTGAGCTCTCCAAGCACTATGGCATAAAGGTTGGAGTGCTCAGTAGGAACCTCCAGCTGCACTGGAAAGCGGGGGGGACACACATGAGCTGTATGCAGCCTCCAGTCATCTCTGCTGCCTGCTGCTGCATTCCCAAAATCAACAGTGGGAAAAACCCAATCTGTTTACCCCTGTGGAATGGTGAAAAGGTCAAATCTAGCTTGAGAACAAACTCAGTTTGACCTAATCATGGCTCTAGTGATTTGTTGCCATGTTTTGGTGGCAAACAGCTGGCTTTTTTGTGTGTTAAGGGACTTGGTGGGGGGGGGGCGGATTCCACAGAGTGTCAACAGGAGTATGGAAGTGGTTCAGTGTCTTACTGGACCCCACTCAGTTGCCCATCTCTGCCCTACACCAGTGGCTTGCTGCGTGATTATTCCCATAGCATTCTGCTAAGCACAGGAATGTAGCTCATCAGCCAGGGTTGTGGAAATACGTTATCACAGACAGACTGTGCACTCTGCTGTTCTACTGAGTCTTGGGAGTAACTCCTTAAATGTTGATTTTTCTAGGGATAATCTCCACCTTCCTCCATGTTCACCCTTTTGGAGCAAATATTGAGTACATCTGTTCCTACCTCCAGCGCCTTGATAGTAAGGTATGCTTTGGCACCTCCAGCTGCTGGGCAGATTGAAAGCTGCTGTCATGAGCTGGTCGTTCTTTCTTTCCTTCTGATTATCAAACCAAAAGCTTGCCCTGAGATAACTACATGAAGGGCCCATACAGAGAAGAATCCAGGAGTGTTTATCAGCTAGTACTGTTGATGCCGCACTAGCACGAACCATTTGCGCAGCATCAGAGACACCTGTGGGTGCTGTGTGGCAGTGGCAAAAATGAGCTGTTCCCTTTTCAGGGGGGAATTATTCCTTGTTTTCAAGGCAAATCACACTACCAGCAGTCTTCTGAGATCAGGAATACACCTCATGCGCCTTATTTTAGCAGGGAGATGGCCCCTTTTTGCTGCCACTGCATTGTTGGATTTTTCCATTGAACTAGCAGATGCAACTGATGTTGCACAAGCATTGGTTTCCTCCAGCACACGGATGCCGTTGCATTCTTCCCAAGGTGTGTAAGTTTAACTGTTTGTGAGAGGTTTGGCCCTTGCTTTTGTCCTTAATTATGTGATATTCACCAACCTGGGTGTTTTCTTTTGTAGATTTGTGCTAGTGAAGTGGAAGCCCTCATGATGCGACTCCAGCACACTTTCAAGCAGGAGATGAGTGGGGTTGGAGCAAGCCTGGAAAAAAGATGGAAATTCTGTGGCTTTGAAGGACTAAAAACGACGACGTGAACTTGAATGAAGGGGAGTCTTGGACACTGGCATTCACCCAGGATGTGTAGGTTGCATTGTGCAGCGATCTGACTCTCCTCTGCGCATCCAGTGGCTCACCTTGCAGTCCTCAAACGGCATCAAGAAAACCAGGGGCCAATTCTTAAGGGCTGTTGATATTCATGTTGTCTTTGTTTGTTTGTTTGTTTGGGGTTTTTTGTAGCAAACTGAGCCCTTTTGCAGGGTCAGGCTGGCATGTTCTAGGATCAGTCCTAACACTGCTATTTGGAACTTTGATACTTTTTACAAATAAGGTTGGCTAAAAAAAATTACTAGCTTGTTTGTACATGGCACTCTCAAAGCCACTGTTAACCCTCAAAATGTTTCTACTTTTGAGAGTAACTATCCAATAGAATACTGCATAATCGCCCAAGATAGCATATTTGTTGTTCCTAGCATAACTTGGCAATAAAGAGATATGCTAAAGGTTTACAAGTAGAAGCTGACGCCATTTCGCAGCAGAAATATTTTATGAGTTTGGGAACCCAAGGGCTAGGTGGGTAATTTTTCAGTGTCAAAGCGGAGAAAATATAAATTTTCATGCCACTGCTATGATTAGTGTTTCATTAATTTAGTGGGGCAGAACCAACCACATTGTAGCAATATTTCTTCTAGGGCCAGGAGTTCAGTTTCGCTGGACTTATCGAGTCCCAGACAGAACTGTTTTGAGCAGGTCCTGGTTGTTTTCTCAAGCTTGTCTTTGCCTTCATTGCTGGTGTATATTATGAAGAACTGCTGCTCCCCGTTCTCCATATTAATAGTCGAGAGTGGTTGTCTTTGCAAATGAAGGGTCAGCTTAGATGAGATGTTGGCGATCCATGTTTCCATTTCCTGTTTTTGTTAAATTTCTCTTAAAAGCAACTCTGGGGAGCAGGGGATCTGACTGGGACTGCAGTACTGGAGGAAAGCATTTTAAAAACTCTTTCCACCAAACTGTTTCCTAATCTAGGTCTCCCTCAACTCACCCAAGCTGCTATTTGTCCCTGTGGGAAAATAGAAGTGGGGTGGAGTTGGCAGGGAATACGGTGCAGAGGGATGCTTTGGCTGTGGAGGGGCAATCCAATTTAAGCCCCTCCACAGTTCCTTTTAAAAAAAATGCGGGAGGTCTGCTCTGATTGCAGGGAACTGCCACTTCGTCTTGTTAGTCCTAAAAGATTTAATTTCCCTTGCTTATTTGCTAAGGCTTGTCTTTTTTATTGTATTGAAGCCTTATTGGTGAGGATGTTTAAGGATAGGCTGGACATGTACATGGCAGGCATGTGATGAGTGAAGCTGGCTGGAGCTGGGGATCAGACTAGGTGGCCTGGGAGGCCCCTTCTGACTCGCTCTGTTTCTATGTTTTTTCACAAGAGGTGTTACAAGCATCTGCAGGAAATTCACTTATGACATACCCTCTCTTATGCCTTGATTTTTTGCCACCAGTGCGCTATCCCATTTTACTGTCTCTGTGTGTGCCTTTTGCTCATAGACTTCTCATACTTGTTGAGTGCTTGCCCACAGAGGCAGTTCTGTGTGGAACTCAACTGTCAGTCAACTATCAACTATGAGCAGTTCTCAGCTATCAATTTAAGAGGCCCGTGGAGCTCAGGAAGTTGCTCAGTTTGGGTGATGTAGCTTACCAGTAGATGCTGGAAAGCACACATGAAGGAGGTGCAGTTCCTATCCTTTCATCTTCACGTATCTGGGGCCAGGAACTGCTGGTTGTCCAGACCTCCCAGTCTGCACCCCCAGACTTACATCAAGCCAAATTCTCACCGTTTTTTCTCTGGGTTGTTGATAAGATCATAAGAAGAGTCGTAATGGATCGGACCAAGGGTTTATCTGGTCCAGCATTCTATTCCCATAGAGGCAAACCAGGTGCCTGTGAGAACAAACAATTCATTTTACATTATTTATATCTCATATTTTCCGCAAAAGTAAAACTCAAGGCAGCTGTCAATGATAAAATGCCAACAATAAGCTTCCATCTAGCCTGAAGTGCTTGATTTTGCTTAATCTTGGAAGGTAAGCAGGGCTGGGCCTGGTTGATATTTGCATGGGTGACTTAAATGTTGTGTACTGCCCAGACAGCTTCGGCTATGGGCAGTGTAAAAATGTAATAATAACAATAATAAAATACAGTTTAGAAACGAATCCAGAATAGAAACATGACGTAGAAATGGAACCATTAAAACACAATTCCAAATACAATAAAAGAAATGGACAACACCCAACCAGTTCAATCCTCCTTCAGCAGTGGACCCATTGGCTTCCCAAAAGCCTGCTTGAATGAGGTTCTTTGATTGCTTGGCTGGCAGAACCACATCCCAGTGGGGGCCTTTCAAGGCTTTCCTCTCAGGGAGTTCCAAAGAGACCAGCAGGAAGGCCCTCTCATATCCTCTCTGAATGTGCCTCAGTGTGGGTAAGAATGTAAACATGGCTGTCCCTGAAGTTCTTAAACCCCAGCAAGCTCACACATGAGAAGCTATTTTGTTTGTTCTGCCCTGCTTTTTTCAAATCTGCACTTTGACAAGAGATGCCAAACAAGAAGGAATCAAAAACTTCTATGCAAGCCTCCAGGAGGAAATTGAGAACACACCAGTGGATACCATGCTGATAACCATAGGTGACTGGAAAGCAAATATAGAAAACAAGGCAGAATCCAGTGTTGTGGGAGAATTTGACCTAGGGGTCAGAAACGAAACAGGAGAACAACTCAGAAGTTAGTGAAGCCAACAATCAATCTATCGCACCTGACTAGGTAACTGTATGCATGGCTGTGTGGACATAATGAGATAACCGATACAGAGCTCAAATACATTATGTAATTGGAATCAGGAGATGGAGCGGCTGTATTCTCACTGCCAAAACAAGAGCTGGAACAGATTGTGGTATCAACTATGAATTCTTAATATCAAAAATCAGAGTAAAAGTGAAAGAACAGTGCTAAAGAAACGTAAGAACAGATTTGCATTACTAAATTGAACCAGAAGAACTGTAGACTGAAAGCAGAGTCATTAGGAAGAACTCAAAAAGACAATCCTCGTACCAAAAAAAAGGAAAAAGTCTAGATAGCTGACAGAAGTAACATAACTGATGAGGACAGGTGAGAAGCAAAAGCAAAAGGCGACAGGGTAGGCTCCCAAATACAACTTTCCAATGACTATCATGCATAGATAAGAACTATTATGATGATCAATGCAAAGAGACAGAAGAGAACAACAAACAACAAAAGAGGAAAAATAAGACCTCTTCCAGAAGAGCACAGAAATTAAAAGGAAATTCAAACCGACATCAAGAATGCTGAAAACCAAGAAGAGAATGCACTATCTGGTTAGGATAAAGACAAAGTAGGAACAATAGTATATGAACTATACAGACTTTTTGAAAGAGGAATTCTATGGGGAAGAAGCTACAAAAGAGAGAAGCGGAAGCTTTTTAAAAGCACTTGGAAGGGTACGAACAGAACTATTCTAAGCTGCAGAAACTGAATCTGGCCAGAATCTAATGAGAATATGCCAACCAATAAGGAAAATAAAACCATGGTCCACAGACTGGAAATGTTCAATATACATTGCAATCCACAAGGAAGGGGATGCTAGAGTGCAGCAACTACAGGGCCACTGCACTCATTTCCTGTGATGTTCAAAGTGTTGCAACAAAGCATTTTGCTCCATATGGAGCAAGGTGGATTCCAAGAAGGAAGAGGTATTTGAGATCACATCACAAATATATGTCGGCTACTAGAGTGCACCAAAGAGTTTCAGAGCAGTCTCTGCTTCATAGATGACGGAAAGGCCTTTGAATGTGGGGACCACAGGAAACTCTAGGTGGTCCTGAAAGAAATGCATGTGCCTCAGCACTTGATTGTCCTGCTGCATAACCTGCATTGTGACATGAAGCTATGTTGGGACAGAATATGGAGGGGTAGAATGCTATAGGCAAAGCATCAGGCAAAGGTGTATTTTATCTCCCTATCTGTTCAGTCTGTGCATAGGACCTACCATAAAGGAAGCTAGATTAGGATCAGGGGAATCCAGAGTGAAAATTGGCTAAAAGTATAACAATTTAATACACAAATGATGCCCTATGACCTGCAGAAAGCAATAAACAGCAGTTAGGAAGTATTGAAAAATGTGGCCTTTTCTCTCTAGTACTTTTTCTGCTTATTTCCATTTCATAGGTAGATAAACAGCGTATTTTGTAATTTTGAGTGAGCCGATGAGTAAACTTGCCCTTACCCTTCTTCCCTCAACTGTCAATATCAGCAGCCATTCCAAAAGACTGAAATGAAGGAAGATGAAAAAGGAAGGTGAACTATTTCCCCACCTCTGATCGAGCTGTCCTTTTTCTTTGTATTGTGGGTCTTTTTCGATTATAGTTGCCAGGTAGGGAGATTTAACTAGTTGCCTGCAACCCAGGGAGATGTTTTGTTGGAAACTAGGATAAAAATAACACGAAATAATGCGGATGATGGGCGGCATCTAGAACCACCCCACCTTCATTCTGACCGTCATAGGAGCTACCCGTTGCGCTAAACTCCATCCCTAAAGGAGATTCACTGTGCAGAGCTGCTACAAAGCGCAGAATAAAAGCCGCGGAGCCCCCTGCCCTAGGCGTCGCCAGCACCAGATTGCACGGATGAAGACGAGAAAGAACCGGGTGGTGAGAGTCGATCCTTGCCCAGCGTGTGAACTGGACTTCGGCTGGAACCTCCGCGCCGCCCCCCCGCCCCCAATGATCACTGGGCAGCGACTGGCCGGCACAGCGGCAAGCGGCAGGCACTGGTGAGCCCCGCCCACCCGCCGGCGCCTCATTGGGTAGCCCCGCCGAGGGGGCGTGGCCCTGCGGGTGCGCGTCCCACCCGATGACGTCGCAGGGGAGCGACTTCCGTGCGCTGAAGAGGCAGGCAGGCAGGCAGGAGCCGCAGCGATGCCTCCGAAAGGGAAAGGCGGCGGCAAAGCGGGGAAAGGTGAGCGAGGGGGATCGACTCCAGCTGGGCCAGAAATCCCTTCAGCTTCCTCTTCCTCTTCCTCTTCCTCTTCCTCCTCCTAGTCTAGCAACGGGGGGACCCTGTTCTTATGGCCCTTCTCCCCAGCTTCCCAGTAGGAAGTAAACAGCCTGGAAGACGATGCTTCCTCCTCTTTATTTGGAGGAATCTGGCGAACAGGATGCATGCTTAAGCCGGTCTGAAGTAGGCTTAAACATTAAGGTAGAGGTTCATGGGGATGAGAGTTTTGCAAGGACTGCCCGAGTAGGTTTCTAGCCCATTTCTAGATGTGCGGTTCTCCAGCCAAGTTTATTAAAGCCGCTATGACAATTCTGTATTTCTCCAATCTAGTGTCCTCCAGATTTGTTGTATTGCAACTCCTGCCATCCCCAGCAATTTGGTTGGATTTGACAAGAGTTGTACTATAACACTGTAACACATCTGGGAGTCAGTGCATTGAAGGAGTTTGGTTGAAACCGATCAAAATGTTCACAATAAGGATCAAGCTTCCTTGTTTTCTCAAGAACTCTTAATTTGGGCTGGATGTTGAGCAAAACAGAGTATGGGGAAGAAAAATAAAATACAAGTCGTAAACACCAGTAACCTTCAGTTTGTGATGTGTTCCCACTTGCTGTCCATAATCAGATAGGAGCAAGTTAGCTTGGTTTTGGAGTAGGTTTGCCTACCAGGTTGAAATCAATAATGTGGAGTTGGATTCCACATGACCCACATAAAATCCAGCACAAGTCACTAGGCTTAGCCCTACTGCATATAGAGGGATGCTGCCACTGCCCAGCCAGAGTGTCTCACTGTTGCCTTTGGTTCTTTTGTTTTCAAAGGAGGAACATCCTCTGGCAGTGATGCTGCTGATAAGAAGGCCCAGGGCCCCAAAGGGGGTGGCAGCACTGTAAAGGTAGGTGCTTTGCTCATCGCATCTTGAATAGCATATCCGGGAATGCAACTTCAGTTAAGAACGAATGTGGGAGCAAGTAGTTTGACCCACCTTTTTCTCAGTCTTGTCCAAAATATTCAGAGAAAGAGAGATGCCATAAATTGACTGGTGATTGGTTTAGCATGACTGCGCAGTATTCAAGACCCCCCAACCCCAAATTCTTTTCCGTGTCACAAATTCCCTTCCACAAGCTTGCACAAGGAGATTTAGTGCTTGTGGAGGGCAAGTAAAGTTTGTTTCTGGAAAGAGGCAGATCAGTGGAGCTTGCATAAGGGCACTCTGCTGATCTGTTTCCTTCAATGAGCATTTCCACTTATTTCAGGAAGTGGTATACCTCCCTAGCATAAGTGGTGGTCACATTTGTGTGATGTAATCAGTGGGATCCACTGCTTCGCAGGGATTTAAGCAGCCTGTTGATTATCTGGAGTAAATAGTAACTAAACCATCAAACTAAAAAGTAAGCCTTGTTAACTCTATTTGCTGTATAAATATCTCATTTTTCCCAGTGACTGAAAGTGTTTGAACTGTAGTATTGGATTAGGGGGAAGCAATAAGGGACGATTAATGTGGTTTATTCAGACTATCTCAAAGATTGCTCTGGAATCTTAGAAGTCTCTGTTGTCATCTAGTATCCAATCCTTTCCATTCTCAATGCCACAAGTTAAATCTGCAGCCTTTTGCTTTGTTTTGCACCAGCAGACATGACCCCTGATAGATTACCCTGAAATGTGTCCCTTGACAGACAAAAGACTCCTTACTCTAAAAGAGAGACCAGAGCAGTGGCCTATTAGGGTTTGCAGCTATGGTACGTGCTTTAAGCTAGAGGTGTAGAGGGTGTCTAATTGGCATTTTGCCTTTTTCAGGTGAGGCATATTTTATGTGAGAAGCACAGTAGAGCCCTGGAGGCCATGGAGAAACTGAAGGCTGGGATGCGCTTTAGTGAAGTAGCCGCCCAGTACAGTGAGGACAAAGCCAGGCAAGGGGTAGGTGCCTCTTTCTGTTCACAGGCGTAGAAGCAGGACAAGAGCATCAGGATGTTCAAGGATGGGGAAATGTTCCTCCAAGGTGCTATGATATTGCTTTAGATACCATCTTTGCGGTGGCAGCATTGGTCCAGGGGAATCGTCTTTCTTTTTATTTTCCTGTCCTATTTAGATGCACTGAGATCTAACATTCAGGAGGAAAGCTTTGTTCTGGCAGCACTGTGACTGAGCCAAGTAAAAGTGTGTGGAGTGTGTGTGTCTGTATGTGTACTGTAAGTGGTTACACTTGTCATGTCTAGCAACATATGCGGCATGTTTGATTTATTTGTAAGCCGCCCCGAGGCTTCGGCGGATGGGGCGGCATAGAAATTTTCTGAATAAAAATAGAAATTTTCTAAATAATGTCCTAGCAGACATGACATGCTCATGTACGTGGCGTTTTGCAGGGCTAACGTGAGCAAACGAAGCCAAGCGTTCACATTTGTTATCTCAGCAACCCATCCTGCCCGAGAAGCAGAACAGTCCCGTCAGCAGCATGCGATGGAAGTAGGAACACTGCTGCATTTTGGAATGGGGACTGTGCTGCAACTGCTGCCATCACGGCAGGTTGCTTTCCAGCAGGGTTGAGTGGCAGGCAGGTTGCAGGGAGTGCAGCCCTTGCGGCCTGGAGAGCCACAGGTAACGCAGGCCAGGAGTCAGGGCTGTGTGCGTACATCACAGTGAGACTGGTAACAACCACCGTTTCCTTGCCACAGACAACAGCAGGGAAAATGCCATCTCTTTGAGAAGTGCACGGGGAGGGATCGTTCTCTCAGTTCCTTCCCCCTCTCTTACTCTCCTCATGATAGCATTTGTGGGAAAGGCGTGATCCTAATAAAGATCCGTGGAGGAGGGAGAGAGCTGGTGTCTGGGGTGGGCTGCAGTTAAGGTTTTGGGGGGGGGGCATGGGTGATGCACCATGGTAGATGGCACTTCTATACCTCTGGAGGATTTGTGTAGTTTGGGCAGTGTTTCCAACTCCTCTTCATTTCGCAATAGCAGCCGTAAAAGGTTTTCCCAGCATCCACCCACATTAACCTACCACTCTATTACAATCCCTTGCCTGCGAAATGCTAGGAGAGTTGACTTTCTTCTGCCTAAGCTTGTGTACGATTGTGCCCTTGGCATCACTGATCTGTAATAACTCGGATGTGGATCTGCTTGGCACGTGGGTGGTAAGGAAGCTAATCTGCTCTGCCTCCGAGCCACTCTTGTCCTTCTGGCTGTGGTTGATGGACTGTGAGATTCTGGTAAAATACAAAGCAGATCACAATTTCCTACTGTGGAATTCTAACTGTTCCCATTGTGCTTCTTCTCCAGGGAGACTTGGGCTGGATGAGCAGGGGCTCCATGGTAGGACCTTTCCAAGATGCCGCCTTTGCCTTGCCTGTCAGCAGCATGGACAAACCTGTATATACAGACCCTCCCGTCAAAACCAAGTTTGGCTACCATATCATAATGGTTGAAGGGCGAAAATAAAAAAGTGTTGCGTGATGCCGTGAGGTTCCTGTATTTTGCTCAAACCCTTGAATGCATGTAATGGAAACCGGGGGCTGCTTTTTTCTCCAAGCCTGGGAATTACATGCATTTTGTGGGGTGTCAGAGGAAATGTGTGGATACTGTGGACCGGTGGAAAAAGCTAGCTGGAGTACCTGTATAAACTTGTAGAGGAACTAGATTCAGACAAGGTAACCCATTAAACGGAGGGTGGTGGTTAAAACATGGACATTGTGTTGTCTCAAGTCATGGTCTCTTAACCGCAGACTACCTATTTAGAGAACCCCGTTTGTTGAAGGAGTGGAAATTACCAGAAGATGCATCAAAAATTCAAGATTTGCTGATGATACCATGTTACTGGCAGGAAAGCAGCAATGAAAGATGGGTTACAGTCAAGAAATTAGAAGAAGGCCAGGGCTTGGAAGGGCAGCAGTTAAGGAACTAGAAAAACTCATCAAATGTAAGGTTGTTTCACTGGAGGCCAAGGCCAAGATCATCCACACCATTGTATTCCTGATCACTGTGCACAGGTGTGAAAGCTGGACTATGAAGAAAGCTGACGGAAGGAAAATTGATGTCTTTGAAACGTGGTGCTGGAGGAGAGCTTTGCAAATACCCTGGACCAGCAGAAAGACAAACATCAAGCTAGAACTTCAGGCACATCCCTAGAAAGCAAGACTCATTGGAGAAGAGAATCCTGCTAGGGAAGTCAAAGGCAGAAGACAAAAGGGAAGACCAAATATGAGACGGATTGATTTCATACAGGAAGCCACATCCCTGAGTTTGCAAGAGCTGAGCAGGGCCGTCATGGGTGGGGCATTTTACAGGGCTTTCATTCATAGGGTCGTCGTAAGTCAGAGATGACTTGGCCATTGTACCAAAAACAACAAAGACCTAGCAGTGACTTTCGGCTGGGACAGACCCTCTCACTTCAGGGCAGTCTACCTCTGAATAATAGATGCTCAGGACAATAAAACATGGAGGGGGTGGGCATTGCTCCGCTATCTTGATAAGTAATCCTATGTCCTTATTTGTAAATCAAGGTATATATCAGTAATAGTAGTAGTAATAGGTTTAGATTTATCTATTACTAACTTTAAATTAGAAATTTAGTTATTACTGTTTTAAGTCCTACTGATTTCATTTGGTCTACTGTAAGTATCTCAACTCTAGATCTAATCTTTTATTATTAGTAATATCGAATGTGTATTGAAATAGGTGTCTGTGCTTGCATGTGCATATGCACATATATTATTATTGTTATTACTCTGTAAAATACGTCCCAGTGGCCGGAACGCTCAGGCCAGTGGTCTTTTTGGCTGGATCGGTGCATTAAGAGAAAGGTCGCCTCCCCTGGTGCCGCCACGTGATACTTTTGGGGAACTTGCGGCGCGTGATTCTTCCGCCCCAGCGAAAGAAGCTGGCTCCCCTGTGCGGTCCCCGTCCCTACGCCAAGCTCCGAGGACGCCTATTGGTCGCTGCCCCGCCCTGACGCGCTCCGTGACTGGTCGAACGGCGCGGCGGAGCGCAGCGATTGGTCGCGGCGCCTCGCTCTTCTTCCGCGGCCCGAGTGCTTGCGGCAGAGCCCGTGGGCGCGGGCGAGAGCGAGAGCGGGGCCGGGATGGCCGCGGGACGGAGGGGGCCCGGCGGAGGGCTGGCGGTGGCCGCGGCGGCGCTGCTGCTGCTGCTGGCCGCGGCGGCCCGGCCGGCCGGCGCGCTGGAGAACGGGCTGGCGCGGACGCCGCCCATGGGCTGGTTGCACTGGGAGCGCTTCCTCTGCCAGACCGACTGCGCCCAGGAGCCGCACCGGTGCATCAGGTAGGCGGCTGGGCCGGCGCTGGCCTTTCGTTTTCTTCTGCTCTCGCGTGCGTGCCAGTGGAGAGAAGCGGGTGGGTGCCATTCTTCATATGCTCAGGAGCACGCTTGGAGTGGAGCAGCCTCCTGATTTCCGCGGGACAAAGGTCCCAGGTCAGTCATCCTCGGCTAGGAATCGAGCTGGAGAACCCTTGCTGCCATTCGGTGTCGACAATACAGGACCGTCGTCCGACCGTTTCGGTCTCTGCGTCTTCCCAAAGAGCAGCAGCTCCCCCTCTAGGACGGGAGCTTGCACGGGGGGATATGATAGGGGTGCATCAAAAGATGCATGAGATGGAGTGGAGCACGGGGAGGTTTTTCTCCCTCTCTCAGTGTTAGAGCAGAGCTCAGAGTCACCCGCGGGGCTGAGTAGGCGGGTTTATGGAGATCATGTGAATGGGAAATAGGCATGATGGCTGTATATCACCTTCAGTATCTGAGGCATTTTTGCTGCTGAATACCAGTTATGGGGAAATAGGAGCAGGAGACTGCTTTTATCTCAGCCCTGATCGTGCAGGGCTTCTTGGCGTCGGTCTTGAGTTACAAAGTACCTTTGAAGGTTTGCATTTGGTTTCACTTAGAAAGTGAATTTACACATCTTCCAACTCCGTTCTGATCGTTCACAGAGTTGTTTCACAGTAAAACATAGTATTTCAAATGCAGCAAGACTCCAGTGAGCATGTATAATGACTGCCATCTTTTTTATGGGCCGAACCTAAGCCTGCCAACAGGCTGCATTTTATGCACAATGCAACTTTTTCCCCTCCAACTATTTTTACTGGCCTCTCCACTTTCTGCAATCTTCACAGCAATGCCACGAGAACGGTTAAATTAATGATTTGTTCAGAGTTGCCCAGTGGATGGCAGCACTGAGCAAGATTCTGAGCTGCTGTTTGCTCCCGCTTTTCCCGTTATTGTGCAAAATATTGGCCACCTTTGCACAGCGCAAATTTGAACGAGCTTTCTGTGTTTGGTGTCTGCAGCCTGCTTGGCTCCTCTCACTAGTGCAACCAAGCTAACAAAGCAGACATTGTGTTGGGATTCTTGCTCAGGTTGTGATCGATTTCCCTTTCCTGAGGGAACCCCAAGACGAGCCTGGTCTGTGGAGTGTGCCCCCGTGTCCTTCTGGGGTTCCTTAGAAGGCTTGCATAGCGACAGCCACAATTTCTGTGCAAGCAAAAAAGCAGGGCAGCTGGACTAGACCTTTCCTTCCTGGCTGTGTGTGTTTGCATTTGTTTTTAATAGCAAGGAATTATTTTATATAGGCAAGCATTAAAAATGTGCCACACTCCTTGTAGTCTGAGATGGTATAGTCCACTGCCCCAGCTTTGCTGGCTGTATGTTTAGATCCAGGCCTAAGATGCAAAACGTGCAGTTTGCACCAATGATCTGGCTGACTTTTCATCCATTCTAGTATTTGATCTTGCAGCTGGTTGATAGTAGAGCTTTCCTTTAAAGATCTATATAGTTTCTAAGTAATCATTTCCACTGAGCAGGGATGTTTACTGAAACAAGCAGCTGGCTAAACTTTCCATGTCCTAGAACAGAATTTGCTCATGAGCTATAAGATTCCCCCTCCAAAAAACTGACAACATTTTTCCAGGGCAGGAGGGAAAAGAAATGTTAACAGAGATCATGTACATGAGATTATTAAGGAGTTGATGGGAGGGAATAATAAAGGATTACCCCCAAGCAAGAGTAGGAAGCCTGGTTCCCTGCAAGAAGTTTGAACTTCAAGTCCCATAATCATTTGTCACTGGATGGGGTTTATGAGAACTGTAGTCCAAAACACCTGGATGGAACTAGGTTGCCTGTCTTTACTTTACACAAACATAGCTCTAGAAGCAAGCAAAAGGTTTTCACTGGAACACATGCCAGTGTTTTTTAAATCCTGCATGTGGAAGGGTAACTCTTGCAGAGATGCTAACTTTTTTTTTACAATCCTTCCAAATAAAACTTGTGTGGAGGAACATTTCATCAGTGGTACAGCCTTGTCTGCAGGATTTTCACTCACACACATTTGAAATATACTTAGCAGTGAGACCTCTGGATTTTACTTTCCATTACAATGCCCAAGTACCTCTCTGAGGTAGCATCTGACTTTGGACAGGGGCTGTAGAGGCACCTGGTTTGCACACAAGCGGCCACAGGTTCAGTTCCTCCACAGCTCCGGGTGAAAGGCAACCGTGGACTGAGGCTGCTTTGGTGCCTGAGAGCCTGCAGTGTGTCAGGACGGAGCTGTGCTCGGTGGGCAGATACTCGTCCTGGCAGTGTCCTCCCATTTTCCTTTCCTTGCTTGGTCCTGACTTTTCCCTTTCCCTCCTTCCACAGTGAGCAGCTGTTTATGCAGATGGCGGATGTGATGGTGTCGGATGGCTGGAGGGACACTGGGTACCAGTACTTGTGCATTGATGACTGTTGGATGGCTCCGACCCGTGATGAGCAGGGCAGGCTGCAGCCAGACCCAAAGCGTTTCCCCAGTGGGATCAGCAGGCTAGCAGACTACGTGAGTGGGCACTTGCCCTCGTCTCCTTGCAGCTGGATCAAGAGAGCCAGTGTGGCCCTGCGTTCTGAATGCTAGACCGGCCCACAGGAGGTCTGGGTTCTGGTCCCAGCTTGGTGCTGGAGCTGACTTTGGGCCAGTCCGTGACTCTTGACCTGACCCACCTCACATGGTAGTTGTAAGGGTAAAATGGAGAGGAGGAAAGTCATGTTAGCCACCTTGGGCTTCTTGGAAGAGGTGAAAGGTTGAGCTATGCCAAATTAATAATATTGGACACTGAGAATATATGTGAAGAGTGTTACTGATATTTTCTTTGTTTCTGAAGTCTGTCCCTGACTTAGAGCAATTCATACTTTGGCTTTTCTATCTATCAGCCTTCCTAACCTGATGCCCTCCTTCTTCGCTGGACTGCAGCTCTCAGCTTTCCCCATTATTATTATTATTATTATTATTATTATTATTATAACAACATTTCTATGCCGCCCCTTGCCGAAACCTCGGGGCGGCTTACAACACAATAAAATACATTGAAATACAATAGAGCATAATAAATTACCATTAAATACAAAAATACAAAAAATACACTGAGTTACAAATATAAAATTAAAATTATCAGTATAAAATAAGTAAATAAATAATATAGGAGGAGAAAAGAGAAGGAAGAAGAAGTTGCCCTGGCCAGATCATATGTTTTAACAATTAAAATGATGTTTAAATAAAAACCCATCTAGCATGGCTGACTGGAGCTGTAGCCCAGAGCATCTGCAGGCACCAGGCTGGGGAAAGCTGCTTTATACCCATATTTGGCACATTTTCCCCTCTGAAAAACATCAGGCGCTGGCAGTCATGTGCTTCTGACAGCTATTATACTCATACCAGTTTTCCCTTGGCCTTTTCCAGCTAGTAGTATGTCTTCGTATTATTGCACGTTTTATAATAAAATGAGAATAATGGATTGCTTTAAGTTACAGTGAACTGCTTTGAGACAGCGGTCTATAAATTTTAAAATAACTACAGGCCCGTGTAACTCCAGCCCCTGCTCTTTAGGTCTGATCATAAGAACTGCTAAGAGATGTGGTGTGGGATCAGACCACAGTCTAGCATCTGGCTCCTGACAGCAGCTCTTGCTGGAGCTTCAGAAACAGGACAGGAAAGACGCTGCTCCATTCTCCAGCAGGGCATGAAGTTTCAGTTTATGCTGACTGGGTGGCAGTCATTGATCGGCTCCTCCTCTCAGGTGTGAATCCCCTCTGGACAGCACTGCATCCTCTGTTGGAGAACCACCTGACCCCTCCTCATCCCTCTTTCCCTACCACCTATTAGCTAAGCCAGCCAAACTCTTCTCCCTCATGACCTGGCTGAGTTCTGCCTCTCCATACCTGTGATCCAGGTCCACTCGAAAGGGCTGAAGTTGGGCATCTACGCAGATGTTGGGAACAAAACCTGCGCCGGTTTCCCTGGCACCTACGGCCATTACGAACTGGATGCCGACACCTTTGCCAGCTGGGGTGTGGATCTGCTCAAGTTCGACGGCTGTGGTTTTGGCACACTAGAGCAGCTGGTGGAAGGTACGTGTGCCAGAGGGGGCCTTGCTGTGAAGGGAAGGGAACATGTAGCCTGGCTGGCCAGCTTTCATTGCCTTCGGCTTTGTGGCCTTCGCCCAGCTTACTTGACTGGAAGATGAGCGAGATGGAGAGCAGTACAGGAGCCAGTTTTGTCCTCTCTTCCCACGTGGCCTGCACTCCCAGTAGGTTTTCCAGATTAGGCATCCCCAGCTGGAGCAAAACCCCCAGTATCGCTGGCTAGCCCTGGCCATACTGGCTGGGCATGCCAGGTGTGGCAGCCCTCCACATCTTCAGCCCTGCGTCTCCTTGCACGTGTGCCTCCAGGTTGTTCCTGCAGATCTTGGAAAGGTTAGAGTATTTTTCACGTGTAATTCTGGGGAGTTCTTTTCTTTGACAACAGGTTATAAGAGCATGTCTTTGGCTTTGAATAAAACCAGCAGAAGCATTGTGTACTCCTGTGAGTGGCCGTTCTACCAGAGACCCCTGCAGAAGGTAAGGAGAGCTGCTTTGTGACCTCAGGCCCTTCCAGGACATCCTGCTCCCAAAATGGCCTAGGAGCTTTACAAAGGTTGGGCAGGCCCAGAAAAAGAGAACATCTTTGTCCTGAGTCTTGCTAAAGAAAAAAAAATAGAGCATTCCTTTCTGATTCTAGACCAATGGCAGAAAACCTCTTCCAGCTCAAGGGCTAAATTCAGAGATCCTGTGTGGCTAGACCAGGACTTGCAAGATCCGGGTTCCCATCCCCACTCAGACCTGAGGGCAACTTTGGGCCAGTCGATGAACCTTGGCCTCCTAAGGTTGCTGGAGGATGATAACATGGAGAGGAGGAAGTTTATGTAAGCACCACAGGATACAAGTATAATAAATAATTCCAGCTTCTGAGAAGCTTTCCGGCTGCTTTCCTGAGGTGGGGCCACCATGCAAAGCCACGTCAGCATATTCCAGCTGAACTAAACCTTAGGAGAGGCATGCCAGCCTTTTAAAAGGATAAAACTGCATGGAAGCCCCCAAATGTTTCGTAGTTGGCAGAGGCTTCGGCAAGGGACGGCATAGAAATGTAATAATAATAATAATAATAATAATAATAATAATAATAATAATAATAGGCAGCTTGGTCCTTTAGGAACATCAGAAGGATGGACTTGGGCCCAGGTGAGCCAGATATAGTCCTCAGACTGAGGGTTCCCATCCTGTTTTAGACTCTGTTTAACCCTGGTTTGGGGACCTGAAAGGGCAGGAAATACTGCTTTAGGTAAAATATGAAATTAACAGATCGTTGTTGCCTCTTCCTCCTACTTGCCATCTGACAACTGCCTGGGCAGCCCAACTACACAGAGATCAAGCAGTACTGTAACTATTGGAGGAATTACGCTGATGTCTCCGATTCCTGGAGTAGCGTTCAGAACATCTTGGACTGGGTCTCATATAACCAGGATGACATTGTGGACATTGCTGGCCCAGGAGGCTGGAACGACCCAGACATGGTGAGAGAATCTGTTCTCGGCTTGCTCAGCTCGACAGAGTCCACTCTGTGGCCAAAGGACCCTGTTCAAGCCCACATTGCATTCGCTTATTCCTAGCAAGGCTAACAGTCAAGTCAAACCTGGCTCACTCCCGTCCTGAAGTGGGAGGGAGCATCACTGCTCAGGTGTGTACCTTGGCATGACTTCTAGGTGCCTTGTGAAACATTCCCACATCCTTTCTACAAGCTCAGCTCCCTGCTTTGCACTTCGGTGGGCTTTACCTTCATTTCCCGGTGAAGGCAGTGCGTGGCCTTCCCATTTATAAGCAGGTTGGTGGTGGTTCTTTGAAGAGCTTGGGGAAAGGATCAGATCTGGCAGGAATGAGGAGGATGTTTTTATATGTGACTGGAGTAGCTATTTGTGGATGCTACAAGTCATTCTTTAGCACAGGGTGGGCTGAGATGCATCTGCACCATAATATCTCACCTACCACCAGTCTGGATGCCTTCAAAGCAGCCTTCCTCAGCCTGATGTCCTGGAGATGTGTTAGACTGCAGCTCCCAAGTTTTGGAAGGGCACCAGGTTGGGGAAGGCCAACTTAGACCATTTTAAACTGAAATCAGGAGGTTTCTGTGTGTGAAACTGCTGGGTTTGATTAGACACAAAACTCTGAGGGGGAACTCAGTAGCCTTGTTCAGTGGTCAGTGACTTAGTTGAATGAACCGGCAGCTTTTGAGGAAGGTGGGGCAGACTCACAGCGCCCCCCCCCCCCATCGATAGCATAGCCAGCAGCTCCCCCCCCCCCCCCCCCGGTGCCTGTTTGGCAAGTGCAGTAGGGGCTACTGATGAAGCTGCCTATTTCAGAGCAGACTATCCTTTGGTCTAACTCAGCCTTGCCTCCTCTGATGGGTAGCCTCTCTTCACTGCCTTGTCCTTTTCAGCTGGAGACTTGGCCTTCCGCAGGCCAAGCAGGGGCTCTGCTACTGAGCTGTGGGCGCTTTTCGCCACCAGGGCGGTGGTATGGAGCTGGTGGTAACCCAAGGTGGGATTTTGCCCCAGGGTCTCCAACAACTGACCTCTAGCCTATTTCATCAGGCTGAGTACCAGTGTTAAAAAAAGTGCTGACCTCTTCCATTTCTGCCTTTCAACCTGTTCTTTCCTGTATCAGCTGGTGATTGGGGACTTTGGACTCAGCTGGAACCAGCAAGTGACTCAGATGGCATTCTGGGCCATTATGGCCGCACCGCTGCTCATGTCCAATGACTTGCGTCAGATCAGCCCACAGGCCAAGGCCCTGCTGCAAAACAAGGATGTGATAGCCATCAACCAGGATCCGTTGGGCAAGCAAGGATATCGAATTACCAAGGTGAGGCCTTCTCTGTGAGTGATGTGCAGAAGAAAGATCCTTCTAGAAAGTTTCAGCAACTGTGCGCTGCTCATACATAAACATAAAAACAGAGCGAGTCAGAAAGGGCCTCCTGGGCCATCTAGTCTGACCTCCGGCACCAGCCGGCTCCACTCACGACATGCCCACCATGTGGACGTCCAGCCTATCCTTGAACACCCGCACCAATGGGGCCTCAACGACCTCTCGTGGAAGCCCATCCCACACCCTCGGGGTCTTGACTGTCAGGAAGTGCTTCCTGGCATCCAAACGGAACCTTGGCTCCCTGAGCTTTGCTCTGTTGGAGCGCGTCCTGCCTTCCTCTGCAGGGGAGAACAGGTCTCTACCCATCTCCATGTGACATCCCCTCACATACCTGTATGTCGCCAACATATCCCCTTTGAGTCTCCTCCAGGCTGAAGAGACCCAGCTCCCTCAGTCTTGCCTCATACGGCATCCCCTGCAAACTGGCCACCAACCTTGTGGGCTCTGTCTTTTTTCAGGACAACAACTTTGAGCTGTGGGAGCGGCCCCTCGCAGACGGAGCTTTCGCTGTCGCTGTGCTGAATCGGCAGCAGATTGGTGGGCCTCGGGCTTTCGCCTTCTCTACTGCCTTGCTTGGGAATGGCTTGGCCTGCAACCCCACCTGCATCGTCCAGCAGATCCTGCCCACCAGCAAGGATTTGGGGCTACACAACTGGGTTTCATTCCTGAAGGTGATGGTGAACCCAACCGGTACTGTGCTGCTGAAGACTGTGACGACTGAGGAGAAACTGGTTATTGATCACGGAAAGAGCCGCTCTCCAGATCTCTTGTAACACAGCGGCCTTTTTGTCGAGCGTTCTTTGGAGGAATATTTTCAAGCAGAAACCAAAGCAACTTTTAATTTAAAAGTCCAGGGCAAGTTACTGCAGCATCACCCTGGTTCTACCATTAGGACACATTACCCAGGCCTCTAGTGGCTTTTAAAGCTCCCCTCCCGAGTGTCACGCAACCTGCCTTTCTGAAGGAGGTGGATATCAGTCTGTGACATGACTGCCAACACCCACAGAGTATCACCATGGCTTTAGGCTACAGTGCAAGATGAATTATGCTAAACTACAAGGATGTAAAAATCCTTAAGCTAGTTTCTTAAAAATCTCAAATCTTACGTAGTGCCTATGAAATTTCAACAAGACCACTAGGAACCCTAAGGAAGGATTCTGTGGGCTTGAGTGCTCTAAAGGGCTAGGAGATAGGCTTTAGATTATTTTAACCCAGCACCTGCACAATCCTAGTCTAGGTTCATTGCGAAATTATTACTTGAAACATTCTACCCATCTAAAACAAAAATTAGAACAATCATTAATCCCAGGTCCCTGGTTGCTTAGGGCCAAACCAGATAAAGATGCCACTAATGCATTGAGAGCCAGTGCAGTGTAGTGGTTAAGAGCACAGGGGACAACCTGGGTTCTAGTCCCCGCTCAGCCACTGAGCCAACTGGGTGACTTTGGGCCAGTCACAGGCGCTCAGCCCAAACCCTACTTTACAAGTTGTTGTGGGGGTAAGATTGAGAGAAGAATGGTGTAAGCCACTCCGAGTTCACAAGAACACAGTGGGACATAAATCTAATAAATAATACAAGGAAGGAATTGACAGTGAGTGGAGAAAGATACAGGTGGGGAGAACAATGCACAATATACAAGGGAAGGAGATGAAACTGGCTCTGTATTTCTACAGGCATCCAGTCTTTAGTAAATTAGTCAAAAAAAGGTATTATCCCTGACAAAACCTTTGTTCTGGCCTCAATCTGTATTCTATGGGAATGACCAAGAACACTTTAAGTTCAGATGCTCCAAGCAGCAGCAAAAAAGAGAATATGCTACCAGTGTATTTTGATAGGATTTTAATCATTTCCATGATAAAGAACAAAGATGAATGTCTAGAACTGGATAACCTGCCCCTGTGGAAGAGAAACCAAACACAAACTAAGTAAATATCATAACAATTGGAAAAAGCACATATGACTTGGTGGTTTTTCAGGTTTGCATGAAAAGCCTAGTCAGTTGCAATCAGATGAACCAGAACCAGCCTGAGAAACCTCACAATACATAATAGCAGATGATTTCAAAGCGGCGTAATTACCACAGACCCACATAAGGGGAAAAATGCTGTTCTACAGAGACTCTCGAGTCTTCCTACTGAATTCACAGCACCCATGCAGAGATTTTAAAACTTTTAAGAGAAGGTTTTGGTGCTTAGCTCTGCCACAGAGCTGCCCTGAACAACCTCACTTGAGCAGCACATATGCTCCCCGCATGCACCTGATTATGGGTCCAATGCCGCCATTTCTCTGTAGCCAGTCAACCTTTGCCATCTGTCTAGGGCGCCAAAGGAGCACAATTGTTTCCTACAGTCCCTCCACACACTCAGTTTTGCAAACAAGAGGCATGGTCTTTAAAGGACAGTATGGCAGGCACGGGGAACTCTGGCCAAGGGAACCTCACTGGAGAGGGCTTCACCTGCAAGCCCAACCCCTTGGAAGAATGTGTGGTGATCTCTTTTTTGCGTTCACAGCAAGGATGTGGGTGGCAGGGGCCTGAGCCGGCACTGGGAGGCCAACACTACCAGAAGTGGCTCCTCTGAGCTCCAAACAGGTCTGTTCATGATTCCTCCTCACGGGCTGGGGCTATCTGTACACATGGTGAAGCGCTCCAGCCCCACTGGCTAGAGCAGGTGACTACCTGGGCAGCACAGTCTCACATGAGTGACTGAGGGGCAGCCTGACTACCACACATGGCTCAGGGTCGTACCTTTCTCTTCTTGTCTCCTCCCAGTTCAAAGTGCTTGCACCTCTTAATGGCCAACATCCTCTTTGATCTGCAGTTGGGCTCCACACACTCCAACCTCAGCACAATCTTCTTTGTGGTCTTTGCCTGGAACATAAAGTCACATGCCCTGATCTAGGCCGACTTCAACAACTTTTGAGGCAAACAGATTAGACTTGCATCAAAGGGAGAAGGCTGTGGAATTGTTTGAAGCAGCTTTCTGAAATCCTTCCTCGGCTTGGGAGAGGGTCTACTGTTACACCCTCGTGAGCCTCACAATGAATAGGATCATGTTCTGTCGGTCCTGTCATCCTTTCATTCCTCAATCACCAGCACACACAGCTCCACATAGTAGCACGAGGCAGAATTACCTTTTTGCGGAAGATAGGCTTCGTCTGGCCACCGTAGCCACTCTGTTTGCGATCATATCGCCGCTTTCCTAAAAGGAACAAATTAAACCTTTCAGAGGTAAGTTATTTGCTTGAGGCAGACATCCAGGTCACCATGGGTGTACAGATATGACCAGCTTTTGCCACACAGTTGTTTGGTTATATGTATTTGTTACCAGATATTTGCACTGGTTTCCAGATATGCATGTAGTATTATTTTTAGAGAAGCATTTTATTAAATGTTTTCCTTTGCTGCACATACTAAGCTAAATGGTAAAGGCTGAAGTCTTTATTATGTCGTAAAGGCGCTCCACATTTTCCATACATTTAGATGTTCCTCTTGACTCATGATCCATGGCGGGTGATGGTGGGGATACATGGGGAAGATCAGCCCTACTTAAGGCAATTATTTACTGCTCCTTAAGGAACACTTTGCCTTCCTTGCTTCCCCCCACTCCACAGTGTTTACGTTTCACAATCTCAGAAGTCTTTCTACTTTGTGGGACAATTTGTTCTTTTTTTGTTTGTTTTTAAGTGGACAAGGTTTTTTAAACTCAAAACCTGAAGTGTTGCACAAGAAAGGTGTTGAATGGGTGTGCATATAATTTATCTTGATATCTTAATGTGAAACGAACCAGCAAGAGGTGGGGAGCACACCCTTGTTTTATTTTTCTTTTATAGACTGGTGTAGATGGCCCAATTAAAAAAGTGAGTAAAATCCATTTAGTAATTTTTAAATACTGCATGTATATTTAGAGACTAATGCAAACACCATTATCAATATGAGTAAGTGTTTAAAAAGCGTGAACAAAAACAGCCATCTGCTTTTATAAATGGAGTAGCAGGAAGTGCAGCCATGCATGGAGGTTAAAGGAGAGCATACTAACTTCCTATCAACAGATTGTCTGCCGTTACCAGTGGAGCAGTGCTAACAGTGCAAACCTGCCAGGCTAGCCATGGGTGTCTGCACTGTCTTATCAAGGTACTTATTTAAGAAGTGAGCCAAACTCAGGTTTTTCACTTAGGGTAACACTATGCGCACACCATAGATCTTGAAATAATGAGATGTGCCCCAAACATTTTGCAAATGGCAAGATGAGTTTCCAACAACCAACTCAATTGTTTGGCAAGTTTTTCTACCATTTTGCAGGTATGCTTTTTGCGATTCACAAAAAAGCAGAGACAGGTGCTTAGTTCTGTAACTTACCTTGTGCATACAGAGATTCTTTGCCCTTCTTATACTGGGTTACTTTGTGAGGCTGGTGCTTGCCACATTTCTTGCAGTAAGTCCTGCGAGTTTTGGGGACGTTCACCTAGCAAAGAAGTCAGTTTTACAACAGTGAAGATATTTCCTTGGCCATGCGAAGATGTGCCTATAGTCTATCTCTGGGAAAGCGGCATACAGATGGGAAAGTTAAGGGGTTGCTCCCTTCATAGGATAAAGCTCATGAAAAAAATGTCCTGAAAGCTCAGTGACAAAGCCTGCAGAAGGCTCCAGGTTCAATCACAGGCCTTGCTGCAGAGAAGAATTTCAAGCCTGGGATAAATCCCCTACCTGAACCCTTGGAGAGTCAGTAGCAGTAAGAGCAAGTCACAATGGACTGGATGGTATAAGACAACTTCCTACTATTCTACTACTGCTTATTTGTTTAGATCCCAACCTGGTACTCGCAGCACCCATGATCCTTAGTCAAATAATAGAATTTGTAGTCCAATATATCCAGAGATCACTAGGTTGGGGAAGGCTGGTTTAGCACTTCCAAGAGGTTAAAACATTAATAGTGTTGTCTATCTGCTATCTTTACAATAGCCCTGTAAAGTAGGCTAGTTTCTTGAAGATGATGGGGATGCTTCTTTGAAGCTACCGAGTATATGGCAGAAATGAGATTCAAATTAGGGGCTGGCTATTGCTCAGCTTACCACACCAGTTCTCATCAAGGTCTGTTCACTTCTAGACCTGGCAATCTCCAAACATCACAAAAAAAGTAATGAGCAATTCTTATCCCACGATGAGCTTCAGGGCTTCACAAACTCATTATACAGAGGAACACACCAGCTTACATTATCTCAGAATATTGGTCAGTTCATATACTACTGTATAATCAACTCAGACCAGTTTTAAAAGCATACTATACAGGACCCAAGAGAACCCTTCCTCTTGGCACACTAGTTTTCCATGGACAATAAATTCCAGCCTCTACCTGTAATCTAAACTAGCAAACCAAACACTTTATGTCATGTTCCTTTCCCATTCTTCTGCCAAAAAGACTTCCAGTTTGCAGGTTACTGATAAACAAGACGGCCCGTACCCTCTTGCCTATAATCTAAAATCATACGTTCCAGACAGAAAAAAGGATGCAAAGGAAAAAGGAACCAAGAGGACTTAGGCAGCAATTCTTAAAAACCCCAAACCAGCTGGTTGGAAAGCAGGCCGATATATGGACAGCACAGCAGCCAGAGCCCTGGAGAGTAGCCGGCTAGACACAACACGAAGAGGAAAAGGGCCTATCCATTCATGCCCGTCCCGGTCTTCCAAGCTCTCCGGCCTACTCCGCCGCCTTTCCCCCTCGACCCGCTAAGCAGCCAACCGGGCCGCCACCGCTGGGTCACCGGGCCCCGCCGCTTCTCCCAGCTCCACTCCCGCGCCCCCGCTCGCAGCCCCCGCCGCGGATGCCTTCGGATCCCACCGACTCACCATCTTGTCAACGTCGCCTTCACCCAGAGAAAGAGCTTCTCGCGGGAGCGGAAGGGAACAGCGAGCAAAGGCAGACAAAAAAGGAAGACGGGGCTAGAGCGTCACATTCTTAAACGCCATAGAGATTTTGGAAGAGGCAGGAGGACACAAGTGGGCCATGCCCGCCCCCTACTGGAAAGGAGTAGAAATTGTGGGCACGTGTACTTTAAAAGCCGGCACTCCTTTACACGCGCGTGTAATTTGGGAGCGACTCTATTGACTCTAAGGAACCACGAGGAAGATCGCGCTGCTCGAGCGTGGTATAAGAAGGCGAATTTTGCCAAGCGCAGACTTTCATGTCGAGCGGCTGGGATATCCCCCCTTTTGCACGGCATTTAAGAGGTTCAGCAGGCGGGCAGTCATGGAAAAGTCAAATAATCAGATATCCTGGAAAACGCCTGGATTAGAAAGATGTTACAATTGAGACTGAACAAAGGAGTTGTTCACCAGTGCCATTTTCTTTCTCCTCCCTTTTTTCTTAATGTAACCTTTTTTCAGAATCCGGAAGAAAGCAGATCTTGAACTCCTTAGCACAGTGCGGTGCGCAAAAAGAGGAAGCCTCTCGCTGAGCAACTCTGGGGACTTTTCCTTTGCAGATTGTATGCAGCTTGAGGCTCATCCTGCCAAAGTTTGTCCCTCCACCTTGATCTCGCCCCAACTCCCTGATTTCCACACTGCCTAAGCGCGCACTCCTTTGCTCCTTTAGACGGAAAAAGGACACCTGACTGCCAGGAGAGCTGGCTAGGGTCCGGGTGAACCTTCCTTCTACCCACACTTGCATAGGATTGTGCCTTAAATCGCGGATTAATTGAGCGTGCGTGCGAGAGGGAGAGAGAGAGAACAGCAACCGCTTGGGTGGAAAAATCCTTTTTGAAGGTGGCACTCATCTCAGATACGTGGGACAGGCTGCGGTCAAATTGTTATGGATATTAATACATTGAACACATCTGGATTTTATCTGTATTATGTTTTATTTTATCTATGTAGCCATCACGAGGCTATGCGATGGGATGGCATACAAATGCTCTAAACAAACAAACAAACACACAATGAAGAATGTATAGCTTGCATGTGCTGAGAGGTAATCTTTTTCATCTTTTCCAAGGCCATCAAAAACGTGGCTGGGTTTAAGCCTCAGTTCAAATTTGCACCCTGTTCAGTCTTTATCTGCTCCTACATTACCATAGTTCATCTGAAATACATCCCTTCTTCAAGCTGTTCCACTTTATATTGGGAGCAGCTGCACTGGGCGCTTTTCTGCCATCATTATTCTGTTGGGATTTTTAATGGGCTGATTGGATAAGGGCAGATGCAGCACGGCTTCCCAGGACACTTTAGTGGGGTGTCCCAGTTTTGTGAGGAATTATGTGCAGTGCTTATGGACCCTGACAAAACCCGGCCCGAAAAAGAGATGGTTGATTCAGTCAGAGTCTGTGTGTCTATCACCCTGCTTCTCTTCTTCCTACAGTTGCCCTATTCCAATCCACTTCTGTCTGCAACCAAGACCTCCAACGTTTTTTGGGCAGGTAGGACTCGCCTCTGCTGCACAAGGACTGAGAGTGACATCAAGCTGAAAGGAAGCTCAGATAGTTTGGTCTGATACCAGAAAAGGGGAACTGAACGGGTGGGGTTTTCTCCGGATGACAGTCTTTCCCTGCAGTTCAACACAGCTCTTCAAACAGGTCTCCTGCGACCGCCATACTCTACCACTGGCTGTTCAAATATTGTAAAACCGCCCCATCTATGTGCCAGTTCCTGAATCCAGAGGGATCCACGGGGAGCTTGTGACAGAAGTCGGGTGTGGAGAAGGTGGAACCAAAGTGAATCAGTAAGTCTCTTTCCTTATTTCTTTCTGGGTTGGTCCAACTGCAGCATGAATAGGGCCGGTGAAGGAAAAGACGTTCTGGTGGGAGGGAGAGAAAATGGAAGTAGTGTAAACCAAAATTGCTTCGTTCTTCTCTGGATCTCCTTGGCATGGATGACCCTCCGTGTGTGCATGCTGTCGCTCGGCCGGATCTATAGCTATAAGTCAGCAAAAGCTTCTTTTCCTTTGCTCAGGAATGTTTCCTGCCCTTTGCCGTTGTTCCCAGTACACAGATCTTGGGCATTTCTCTAAGATGCTCGATCTGTACACGTTTCCCTGTGAGTAGTTGTGCAGCATTCTTGGGAAAGCAAGGGGAAACTAGAACAACGTGTTGCACTGTGACATTCCAATCAGCCTTGTTTTCTGTCCCCCCCCCCCCATCAGTGTTGTCAGCATGTCACTGAGCATGCACCGTTCTGCTTGGGTTATTTTGGGTTGTCTTTTCTTGTCTTTTCTTCTCTTTAAACATTGTTTCCTACTTCAAACTTTGAGGTGCCCCTCCCCGAGCCCCCCAATTTCCCCCATGCGTGTGGGTAGTTTTGGTTCCGTCAGCAGTTGCACTCACAACCCAGACGTTGAAAATAGGAGCCACAGAAGCTCAGTTAGTCGTCATAACAAGATGTCTGTCTGTCTGTCTGTCTTGTTTATACCAATGTTTAAACAATTGCATACAAAATGAAGTCAGAAGAATCTGTTTAAAACCTTGCATTGCAGAAATTTCTTCCAAAAATATCAAATGCTATGTTATATAAGATTATGACTATCGTAGAAAGCAGACTGGAGATTTACAGGCGATGAACAGAAGTGTTACAGATTAAAATTCTTTTATTCTGTGTTAAACTAATAAATGCAAACAGGCTTAACATTTCTATGGCACTTTCAAGAGTTCAAAATCTTTCACATGCACCCTCTAGTTACAGTCTTTACAACAATCCTGTAAGAGACAGCATCATTATTACCCCCATAGTACAGATGGGGAGACTGAGGCTGAGAGAGCTTGGCTTGCTTATGGCTATTTCATGACTTCATGCAGAAGGAAGGTTCAAACCAAGGACTTCCTGATGTGTAGTCCCTTTTCTGAGCCACAATACTTCACCATCTCATATAGTAGATCAGAGGTGCTGAGTTTATTGCTCCATGAGGATCCCACAGCATGAGTTTCTAAACACTATCCCCTTTAAAAAATAAAATTTCCTTGTGATCAGTTCTGGAGAACTCAAAACTTGATAATAACTTCATGATATTGGGATTGGTCCTACACTTGATGCATTATTACATACACTTAAGAAAGAAAGAAAGAAAGAAAGAAAGCAAGCAAGCAAGCAAGCAAGCAAGCAAGCAAGCAAGCAAGCCAGATTGTCTTATTGGAAACCCTCCCTCCAAAATCCACAATTGCACAACTGTGAATTTTGGACTTAAAAAAAAAAAAAAGATTCTGCCTGAGGATGAGTCCTGTGTAACTCAAAACTTTGCACATTCCTTTCTGAATATTGATGGGATGTAATGAAGGGTTTTCTTTCTTAAGTTTGTGCTACTGAGCTCCCTAACTCTGATTAAACTCTTCATAACCTCTTGCTGAGAGGGCCTGCACGTTTCATGCCAATTTGGAGCTTCATCAAGACCTTTAAGAGATAAGACAGGTCTGCTGCTGCTGCTCTCTTTGGCACGACATTGACCATGCAGCTCAAGCGCCAGCTGTGGCTCCAGCCGTGAAAGAAGGGGAAGGGGAGAGAAATACATGTCTCCCACTGCTGGGTTCCCCCCACCCCAAACACCCCCCCCCCTTTTCTGGTAGGGATCTTCACAGGAAAGAGAGGAGGGGGCAGGCAAGCGCCACCCAGGTGTCTGGTCCAGCTGGGCTGGGGTGTTGAACTTCAGCCCCACAGGCCAGGCCAGCCTTTCAGGGGGTCCTAAGAGGGTCCCCCCACTTTCCCTTGCCCAGCATTCCTAAGACATATTGGTGGCAGCCAGAGAATGCCCACAGTTTGCTTCAAGCGATTCCAGTGGCCAGAAATAAAAGTTGTTAACTGGAAAAGGAGCAGAGTGCCCTGTGCACAGCACAAAACATATCTTGGGACAATGCAGGTAGAGTTGGTCTGATGCAGCGTAAAGCAAATTCTTCTGTCTGTTCTTTCCTTCCTTTTCATAATTCTGCTTTAGTTAGCAACCAGAGGAGGAAAGAGCTATGAAAGACACTGAAGACACTCTCATTTCCTTTGCCAGAAGAAATGCTGGCCTAAGGACTAGATACTCATATATTAAAAAAGCATTAAATCTGAGCTTGGTTGGATCTTCCAGTTCTGCACACACAATAAAAATGCGAGATCCCCAAGCGCACAAATGCAAGATCCCCAAGCGCTCCGTTTTCTCTCTTTCTGGCTGTGCTCAGCAGTGATGCACAGGTAGCAGTCGGGAAGTTGTGTGCTGAAGTGTCATAAATAAATAAGTGTATGAATGACATCATGCCTGTGTCTCTCCTTCAGTGCCTTTCTCATCAAAAGGAAGGGGAAGGTCAAATGCACCAAGGTTTTTGCCAGTTTCTGGAAGAAGGACTCTCAGCCAGAACCCATCATTAAGGGTGTTTATACTGTGCCAACTGCATGGGTTACTCGTGTGTTTCTGAATCCAATTTGAAGTACTGCTTTTTTACTTTATTTTTTGATTTATATCCTGCCTTTTTTCCTCAAAGGGCTCAAGGCAGCTTACATCATCTCTCCTCCTCCATCTTATCCCCACAACAACAGCCCTGTGAGGGAGGCTGGGCTGAGGGTCTGTGACTGGCCCAAAGTCTCCCAGTTGGCTCCATGGCTGAGCGGGGACTCGAACCCGGATCCTCTGAGTCCCAGTCCCATGCTCTTAACCACTACGCCACACTGGCTCTCAGCCCAGAAAGTGCTGAGGAAAATTACTTGAACCCTGCTGTCACTGAAAGGGGCAAGGCCTTTTTCGTAGTGGCCCCACTGCTCTGAAATGGATTGCCTTTGGGGATCAACAGGCTGTATCTTTGCTGGTTTTTAGGAAAGCCCTGATAACCTGCTTGCTTGCTTTGCTCTTCCCTCCATTATGGATTCCTTGATTCTTCCAATTCATAGTTGCAATTGTGTTATGGATTTTAGTACTGTTCAGCCAGGATGTTTTCAATTCCAATATTTGCTTTTTTATTTTAAAAATGTGCTGTTTTAATAGTGTGCTGGCCTATTTTGTTGTTCCAAACTATCTTGGGAGAGCTCCTCTCCCACAAGGCAGCCCAGAAATGCTTTAAATAAATAAAAATAAATATTTCACCAGTTTTCCATATGTAGAATTTTGGTACCAGCCACCAAATTTAGCATCGTGAATATCTTCTGTTTTGAAAGCAAGCAAGCAAACTGTGTGCAATTCTCAGAGCGAACCTACTATGGATGTTTAATCATAAATAATTCGCACTGACCAGTGGGGCTTACATGCTAGTAAGTATGTCTTTGATAGCAGCCAGCTTAAATCTTACTTTATTGGCAGCGGCAGTCCAGCAAATACTCCACAGAAGAGGCGGAGGAGTGGGGGGAAGAGGAAGAGGGAGCCATGTCCAATGTTATCCTGGAAAGCATCTTTCTGAAACGTTCTCAGCAGAAGAAAAAAACTTCTCCCCTAAACTTCAAGAAGCGGCTCTTTCTGCTGACAGAGGACAAACTCTCATACTATGAATATGACTTTGATCGTGGGGTGAGTCCCAAAAGAGAGAGAGCGACAATGTGTGGGCCCCACGCCTTAAATGCCAGGTGTGAGCTGCCACAACACTGGGGTGAGCAACCTGCAGCCCCAGAGCTGGCCTTCACCTAATTCCAAGAGTTGTCTGGCGTGTCCCTTCCTTTGTCCGCCTACCTGGTCATAGAAGTCATCCGATGGCTCTGCGTGGTCTGGAGGACCATGTAGAGCAAGGGTGGGAAACCTCAGGCAACGGGCCAAAGCCAGTCCACCCAGGAGGCCCAGTGCAGCCCTCCTGTCTTTTCAATAAGCCTGTGAGGCAGCTCAGGGCAAGCAATGGAGGCCAGCCTATGGTTGGCTAGTGCGCTTGCTGGCTTGGTGGGGATTTGAGCTTGGGTCTTAGGAGCCCCAAGCCTGATGCTCCAACACACTTGCTCTCCAAAGACAAGAGCCCCGATCTGGCCCAGAGTATCTGTCCCACACCAGGGCCTCTTTCTGGCCACCTCTGTCCTGCTGCCACCAGCACAAGAAAAGAGAAGCATGGTTTGCCTTGCTCCTCGGTTGGAAGGGAGCCTGTGGCTTTCTTGCCACCCCAACTGCACTGGCAGATGTTGGTGGCAGAATCGGCACTGTGGTGGCGGCAGCTGCGACTGATGCTGCCCCCCGTGTGGGTGGGTTCATGGGAGGAGGCCTGCCCTGGTGCAACGCATCCTTCATTCTCCTCGCAGCGCCGAGGAAGTAAGAAGGGCTCCGTGGATGTTGAGAAAATCACCTGCGTCGAGCCGGTCATCCCCGAGGCCAACCCTCCTCCAGAGCGGCAGGCCCCAGCGGTGAGTCCTTGGTGTACCTTTGCTGCAGCCTGGATTCAGCTGCCACAGGTGTAGTAATCCTCCCTCTCTTCCGCACACAGCGAAAAGGAGAGGATTTAAATGAGAAGGAGCAGATCACCATCATCGAGCGGTTCCCCCACCCTTTCCAGGTGAGCTGTCCTTGCCTTCCTGCAGCCAGGGGCCATCGCAAGCCGAGTGGGTGGATGCCTGTTTGCTTGGGCCTGCTCCCCCCGTCTCTCTCACCCCCTTGGCAGTTCTTCATGGCACCCAAAGTCAGCCTCTTGGTGCAGCTAGCAGCCTACCCCAGGTAAAAATGACCCAGGTAAAAATGACCCAGGTAAAATGACCAGTCAGCCAGAATGTGTAAACGGGGACAGAGAACTTCTGTTGCTTCTGCTGCAGAGGGAAGAGCCCTTATTTCTGACCTGCAGGTGGACAGAAACCCACATTTTCCTGTTTTAGCCTTGGAAAAGGCTCCCTTCTTTGTGCTTAGCGAGGGAAAACAACTGACCCCAGACAACCGCTTTTTCCTGTGCAGCAGAAGAGCGGGGTCAGAGAATAAGAAGCCATGAAGAGACTTGGTCCTTCCTTCTAAGCCTTGTCCTCCGTACTTTTGAACAGTCCTGCTGCTCATGTTTATTTCTCATAAACATGCTTTAAGACCCTGATGCTGGGAAAGAGTGATGGCAAAAGGAGGAGGGCAGAGGTTGAGGTGGCTGGGTGGGGTCACTGGGGCGGTGGGTGTGGGCTTGGGTGGCCTCCAGGGGATGGTGGAGGACAGGAGGGCCTGGGGGAATGTTGTCCGTGGGGCCCTGATGGGTTGGGCACAACTTTGACTTTGCGACTAACAACAACAAAACGTGCTTTCCTCCTACTAGAAATCGGTAACAATGGAATGGGAAGGGTTGGATTTTTCAGGCCTGCCCACCACTGGCATGTAGCCCCTGGGGGATTTGAGAGATTTTCCGAAATGGAATGCCATCCTCAGGGCAAAGCATGTTCCCCACCCGTAATGTAAAGGCTTGGTTTCATTTGTGTGCAAGCCAGTTGGCTTGAGACAAACTCCTTATCTTCTTTTCAAAGGATTGCTCCTTATCGTTTGGTCTGTGCATGTCTAGAGAAACATTTCCTGCTTACTGTATCTCAGGAAACCATATACCATCCACATTTATTATCTTAAGACCAGTGTCCATGTGTCACAGATGGCCCAGCTCCCCCACCTTAAAACAGCCCTGGAAGGGGCAGACAGATTGAATGTAATGCCATCTATTTTTAGCCACATTTATAAACAATTTGTAGTCCTACGCTCACTTATTGCAGGTGTGGGGGTGGGGGGAGGTTCCATTGGGCATTTCTCGGGAAGTATCTGTATGATCATCGAGCAAGTATAGTTTGTGCTGTCCTGGGGCCAAACCCACAAACTCAGATTTCAAAAGAGAGGGTTTTGGGTAAACGCAAGTAAGGCTGTCTTCTCTGTGCAAACTATCCAGTGCTGGAATAGACCTCCTCTCCCTTGTTAGAATTTTTTAGGCAGAAGCTGGGTGCGGCTGCCTGGAGATCCCAAAGGGGACAGATATGGCTTTGTTCCTGAACTTCTTTATTCCAGTGCTAGCCAGATTTTGAGATCCCTTCCGATTCTGTGATTGCTGTGCCTTGCAGGTAGTTTGCATGTAAAGTTTTGGCACAGGTGGTGGTGGGGGGATCTTCAAGCTGTGCATTAGCAGCATCACTCTTTTATTTTGTGGTTTTTAGGTGGTGTACGATGAAGGTCCCCTCTACATCTTCTCTCCGACGGAGGAGTTACGGACCCGCTGGATTCAACAGCTGAAGAGTGGTGAGTCTCTGTGAGGTTTAAATGTGTAATATTAGTGCAGGAGCTGAGCTGACTGCACGAAACCCTGGTATGTTTGAGCAGTTCTGAACTAGAATGCTGTCTAGAATGCTGTCTAGTGGTTATGCAACGAAACATGCAGAAAGACTGAGAAAGAAACCCCATGGGGGATTGAAACATGTGTAGAGGATTGTAAACCTGCAAAGAAGTAGGAAGCAGACACCTTGTTTTTAGAGCCTCGTGAAAAGAGTGCCTGGTTGAGATAAAAACAAAAAAGCAACAGCAGAAATACCAAAAAGCCCAGAAGAAGTTTTAAATCCATGTTTGCAGGCCTGCTTCTTTATATTCCTGAGGGTCTTGTGCCCCACTCACAAGGTTTTTCCCTGAATTGTATAATCCAAAGTTCAGGACCTCAGTCCAGGCAGCCAGTTCCTCCTCCTCCTCAGCCAAGATGGTTCCTCCAGAACAAAGGGGTTGGGGGGGGGGAGCAAGGACTGCTTCAGGTGCATGCCCCAGCTGGACCAGGTGTTTCGGACCCAAAGCACGTGGGCCCTGTGTGGTTTGCTTGCAGTCCTTCCACATCTCTCTCCCTGGTCCCTTCCCCTTCCATTTGCTGACATGTAAGTTTCTGCACACCTTCCCTTATTCTAAAGGGGTGAAGTGCCTCTTTAGAAACTGGTAGTTTTAAGCAAAAGTAGCCTAGTATTTTGCCCCTGTACGAGCTTTGGTCCCTTCTGCTCCTGGAATGTGGCCTGCCTGAGAACATGCCCAAAGTAGAATTGGGTCCGCGGGAGGAAAGAAGCTGGTAATCTTTTAGGCTGAAAGGCAGAGGCTGCACCTGAAAATAATAACACATTGCTCCTTAGTGCAGGGTGCACGAGATTTGTAGCCTTGCAGAACAATCCAGTATATTATTTATTCATATTACTTTATCAAATCAGAACTTGTGTGTATAGAGAGTATACGCCAATTCAACCATGTTTACGCTAAAGTATCTATGCTCGGTCTGTTTATCCTCTTCTGTAAGTGGGAAGAGCAGTCTGTGCACATTCTGGTTCAATGAGCCACAATTCCTGGCTTAACGTGTTACTCAAATTCAGCCAATGTGTTCCTTACGTGTTCGAGTTCTTCACATGGCAATGGTAATTTGTTTTCAAGTCCCACTGAGTTCAGTGGATCTAAGCTCCCAGAGGAGTATTTGTTGGTCTACTTTCCCCCCATTTTTCATGTGTCCCAGGATTCATTGCCTTAAAATCGAACATCATGCCGCCAGAAACGGTGTGCAGAGTGGTTATGCTAACACTGCTTTCTCTGCTCAGTCTGACTGTGCTCAATTGTGTAGAATCGAACTGAGCATCTGGGCTATTGCTCCCCGTGGGCCAGGATGGAACTGGGCTGCCAGGGAAATCGGGGTGCTGGCATGGTGGGTTGGTGCTCTTGTGCAGACGTGGATGAAGATGCCATGCTTCCTTCCATTGCTGCAGCGATCTGCTACAACAACAACCTGGTGCAGAAGTTCCACCCCTGCTTCTGGACAGACGGGCAGTACCTCTGCTGCAGCCAGACGGCCAAGCTGGCCATGGGGTGCCAGGTCCTGGGAGGCAGGAGTCGAAGTAAGGCCTTCCCCCGTCTTCTCTTCCCCACCCTCCTTGCGCCTCAGCCTCCATCCTCCCGTTTCCTGTGGGTAGCAGTGGCCCCCTCAGTTGTCACCCGCTCCAGCCCTGCTGAAAGCCGTCCTTTCTCCTCCTTTCTTCCCTGCCTTTTCCCTTGTGTTCCTTGTCTTTCTGGAGTGACTGCCCCTTTTCTCAGCTGCTCTGGGAGCCCTTTGGGCTGAGGAGCAGGATTACAGCCAACACCTGAAGTAATAGCCGTTGCTACCTGTCGGTCCCTTTCCACCTGCAGGCTTCCGAAGTGGCCGCTCTCTTCTCAAGCCCGACAAGCCGCTGCCCCCAACCCCGGAGGAGGATCAGGTAGGAGCAAGAGCCCTGCCAGTGGTCTCACTCCACAGCCGTTCTCACGACCAGCATCGCCGGCATGGTTGCTTCTCGCCCCCGTTCTCCGAGTGCCTCGCTTGGCAGGTCGGGCGCCAGGAGCAAGGGGGCTGCAGCGCCTGCTGCTCCTTCTCCCCAGCGCCAGCCAGAGCGAGGGGCAGGGAAAATGCCGAGCGTCATGGCGAGGGACAGGAGCAACTGCCTCGGTGGATGCCCAACCGTGCCTGTCCTTGGCACCAGCCCTGCGTGGCAGCAGGCACAACTCGGGGAGCGGTGAAGGAGGGCATCTGGAGCGCCTCACTTCTCCCTCTTTTCCCTCCAAATCTCCTTGAAGATGATGAAGAAGCCGCTCCCTGAACCGGTCCCCAGCACCCCATCCAGGAGCAGGAAGGTCGTGGCTCTCTACGACTACGCCCCGATGAACGAGCAGGACCTGGAGCTGCAGAAAGGGGAGGAGTACCTCATCCTGGAGGAAAGTAACGAGTCCTGGTGGAGAGCCCAAGACGTGAATGGGTAAGAGGCCCGGCACAGCGGACGTGGAGTGCTTGCCTGGCACCTCTGGAGGCCGCTGGAATCATTCATTCATTCATTCATTCATTCAAACATTTCTATGCTGCCCCTTGCCGAAGCCTCGGGGTGGCTTACAACACAAAAAAATACAATAAAATACAAAAATAACAATATAAAATAAATAACAATGTAAAAGAAGTCGCCCTGGCCAGATAAATAAGCAAATATTGTTAACAATTAAAATGACGTTTAAATAAAAACGTCTTCACCTGGCGCCGAAAAACAAATAACTCCCCTTTTATGCTGACCTCCAGGGCCAGATCAGCCGCCACACTTGCATTACACTGTTGGGTTTGCTAGTTTGCTTACCTGAAAAGATTATATGCTCCACTTCGGGGGAAAAGCGCTCCCAAGATGATGCTTAAGGTTAAAACCATGAAACACAGTGGAACAATGATAAAACAATGGCAGGAATACAATTTCCATATGTTAACCCTTAAAAGAAGCTGGCCCCATTGATATAGCTGTCCTATATTATTTTAAATATTTGTATTCCAGTCCTTTTAACAAGCATGTGCAAAGCAGCTCGCATGGAAGCAAGCACTGCTTTTCATTTAAAAAAGAGTTGCAGCAACAGACAATGCAATCGGCAGTTCAAAACAGGAGCAGGTAAACAACCTGAAAAGGCAGCTTAATAAAATTATCGTCAGTGCCTATCTAAAAGCATCAGGCCCAGTAGCGACGGCCAAGTGTTAGGTGCTGTGCAGGTGATGCAAATGCCATTGCTCTGGAGTCAGTGCGATTAGAACTAGAGAGTCTGATGCTGTCAGTGGAAAGATTTAATACGGAGCTAATCGCCAAAAGAATTTCACCCCCTTTTTCAATAGAAAAGGCTCACAGGATGGCTAATATTGGATCAGTAACAAATAGGAACATTTTGTGTTGTGTGTTTTTTTCTTGTGATATTTTGTTTCGTTTTGAAATAGACTTTAGAAAGGCAAGGAAAAGGAACAACTTACAGAATAATATAAGAAAACTAAAAAAAAGAAGCAGGTTACTTGTATGTAAGGTTACTATAAGTAGTGTACTTTTTTATTTGTAGTGCTCATACATTTGGTTAAAGCAGCCTCATGAAAGACAGAAATGGTAGCTATGTAGCATATACAAGGAGCGTGTGTATTATTCTGTGTGCAAGTTTTACAGTCACAAAGGCACAACACAAAAGGAAAAGGGCAGAGTTGGAAGAAAACAAATATTTATTTATTTATTTATTTATATTGCGATTTATATCCTGCCTTTTTCCTACAAAGGTCTCAAGGCAGCTTACATCATTCTCCTCCTCCATCTTAGGCGCCAAATAGGCACCAATTCTGAAAGCCAGAGAATAGTTCTTAGGATAAGCAGCCGAAATGAAAGCAGCCTAGGAGAAGAAGCATCAGCGGCAGCTGGTCTTGTGGATGAGCGGCTGGGGCGACCTTACTTCCCTCTGCTGGTCGAATGGCGGCTGCGGGATGGGATGGCCCTTGGGGATGGGAGGCATCGTATGTCAGCCAGCTAAGTGGATGCAGCGCTCCCTGTCTTGCTGCAGCTTCCACGGACTCTGAAGTTAAACCAGCTTAGGAGTCACTGCCTTTCTCCAGTAGTGAACAATTGCTCTTTAGGAGGGGATCGGGGCCGCTCCTTACAGACCGTCTTTTGCCGTCTGAGGGGATTGCAAGGCCGGCATTCTCTGGAGGCTGCTGGCAGGGCGAAATGGTCTAAAATCTCATCCTTTCTGAGGATGCGGTGCTGCCACAGGGCGAGTGCCTGGCCTTCTGCCTGCCTAGTCCTGTCTGTCCGAATGGACTGGGGCTGCTCTGAAAGGGTCTCAGCCAGAGATCTCTTGCAGCTAAAACTTTTAATGTCAGATCACAGGACTTGAGTTCGGGACCGTCCACATGCCGAGTATGTGCTCTGTGGCTGAAGTGGGGCCCCTTCCCTTTGTGTCCTGCTAGTTTCATGGAGAAGAGTAGGTCAATATTTTTATTTTCTCCTTTTTCTTCCACCCAACAGGAAACAAGGCTATATTCCCAGCAACTATGTCACTGAAACAAGAGATTCTCTGGAGATATTTGAGTGAGTCTTCTTGGAACTGTGGGCCAGAGGAAAGGACTTAAGTATATTTGGGGGAAGGCATGGGGTTATTGATCGTGATCATAAGGCGTGGAGGCGAGGATGTGGTCTGTTGCCAGCTTGCTGAAACTTCCCTGCAAAAGTCTCCATCCACAGCCATTTTTAATTATAGTTTATCTTTCCATCTGGGAACAGAAACTTAGCTAGGGAGATAGCAGCCGCAGGGCACTTCTGGTAACAGAAGGGAGAGGAAAATCTGGAGTTTATTTTATTTATGTTTATTTATACATATATTTATAGGCCACCTGTAACTGCAGAGGGCTCCCCAGGCAGCTAGTGAAGCATTCCGCTGCCCCTCCCGCCAACTCTTCCCTTCCCTTGCAAAATCTTCTTCATCCTCCAGAACTGCATTACTTGGCAAATGTAGGCTTGGGAATACATGTTAACCAGGATAAAGAACAATAGTGCTTTAGTTAGAGTGTTGGATCAGACTTCTTGTCTCCCACTCGACCGTGAAATTCAGTAACTTTAAGCCAGTTCCTAACCCGCAGGCTCTCCTACCTCACAGGGTTGTTCTGAGGATGAAAATGGAGAAGAGGGCCGAGTACGTGGCACATAAATGCCATAAGTAAAGACTGGAAAACATCTGGACTTGTGTTGACCTTGTATCCACAGATATACATTCCCAATAGCTTTCCCATTCCCCAACCTTCTGACAAGCATGTTGTCTTTCAGGTGGTATTTGAAAAACATAACCAGAAGGCAAGCAGAGCAGCTGCTGAAGAAGGAGGTGGGTGTAATCATGCTCCTTCCTTCCGTCTTTCCTTCCATTATGAGCTCCGACTCGAGCGTGTAAGAACCATGCTGGGTCGGAACAAAAGGGACATCTGGGGCAGAGTCCTGTCCACGCGGTGGCCAGCTGGTCGCCCGCAGAAAAGGCACAAGCACGGATAGCCTTCTGTTCCAGGAATTTGTCCGGCACCCCTTAAAGCCATCCAAATTGGTGGCTATCCTAGAGAATTCCAGGCACTGTGACAAAATCCTCCCTTTTACATGGCCTTATAGGCCCCTTCCAAGCCTATTCTATGAGTGGCCCCCACTCACTTTGCCTTTAGAAAGGGCAGAGAGAGAGACACCTTTGAATTTAGCCATTTAAAGTGCATAGTTTTATTAATTTATTAATATTTGTGTTTCTATTATTTTAGAGGGTTGTTTTGTGCATCTTGCAAGTGTTATAATTTAAAATTGTTGTGCATCGGCTTGGCAACCTTCTGGTAGAGAAAGGCAGTATATGCAGCTTATTATTAAATAAATAAGCAAGCCAGCAAGCTGTGGCATGGCAGGGCCTCTTGCTTCTTCTGGGCTTCAGCCAAGGTTATATTGGAAGTCCGTTTTATCTTCCTCTCCACCCTTCTGCTGACATATTAATGCTGTCCTCTGTTTCAGGGCAAAGATGGAGGCTTCATTGTCCGAGATTCCATCAGCAAGACCGGAAAATATACCGTCTCTGTGTTCGCCAAGTCAACTGGGTGAGTGTGGGATGCGGAGGCGGAAATGGGCCAACGCTGCAGGGCAAGTGACAAGATTGTGTGGCCCCCAGACATCATTGCCCCCCCACACTTCTGAAAGTGACTGGTGTGCCCCCTCAGCATCTGGCCTGGCCTGCCTCTGCAACCTACTTATCCCATGACATGACCTTGGCTATTTGCTTTTCTTACTTTTCTTAGGGTGCAATCCAATTCTTCTTTAGATAGAAAACAGAGGCCTATTTAGAGGGGGTTGTTTGTCTTTATGAGCTACAGAGCACCAAGATGGTCAAATCTAACCCGTTCGGAAGCTGAATTTGACCCTTTTAATATCCTTCAGTGGCTAAAAGCGCCCCTGACCTTTTAAAATACCATTCACCCCACGCAGTGCAGTGGGGACTCCAGGAAGTGAAAATTGCCTCCAGCCCCCTTCAGTTTCCCAGTCCTGTCCCGGGAGGAGCAGTGAAAAAGACTGGCTAGGCTGAACCTGGAGAAAACAAGATGGAGGGGACGGCCTGGGACCTGCATGCAGAAGATGCAACCGGTGTTGTCTCTGTGCTCCAGAGGGAAGGTCTAGAACCAGTGTGTGGACGCCACACCCAAGTAGGGTGCAGCTGAACATGAGGAGAACCTGCCTGCCAGTTAGGGCAGCTGGAGAGCAGAGCAGAGCAGAGCGCTGGGGAAGAGGGGGCTTTCCTTCTCTGCAGGCACGGAGGCAGAGGCTGCACACGTGTGACCAGGATGCTGGGCTTGGCCGGGCTCCAGCACGGAGCAGAAGGCTGGCTAGAAGGCCTCCCCGATCCGGTCCAAGCCCAGGGTTCTGTGGTCCCGCACCGCCTCCTCGCTCTGCCCCCCCCCCCTGCACACAGTGGTCCCCCAGTGCAGTGCCAGACTCCCTGCCAATGTCCCCTTCCCTCCCGCTCTCGGCAATCCCACCCACCCGTCCTCTTGTGTCGCTGATGCACAACTGCTTCCACAGGGACGCCCAGGGGACCATCCGCCACTATGTTGTGTGTTCCACGCCCCAGAACCAGTACTTCCTGGCAGAGAAGCACCTCTTCAGCACCATCCCGGAGCTCATCAACTACCATCAGCACAACTCAGGGGGTGAGGATGAGCAATGCTTACAGGCTTGGGAGTGAGGACAGTTGCCTGGTTCGCACCGAATGGCAACCCAGACTGCGGTTGTGCATAGGCTGAATCAGGGGTTGTTGTGGAATTGTGTGTTGTTCTTACATGAGAAACCTGCACTTGAACTGTGCTTAGGAACTGTGAATGACCCAGAGTTCACAACCCAACAGCAAACCCCGAACTCTCTTCCTGAGTGGTGTGTGTTTAACAACCTGTAGTTAAACCAAAGAGCAGCTGGGCAATAACAACCCATGATTCAGTGATAACCCATGTTCTGGGTTGTTGGTACATGCCAACCAGGTCAGTGGCTGGCATTCATCAGGGGGATGCAGAGTGGGGAGGTTGAAACTAAGCAAGTGCGGATCTGGTCAGTACCGAAATGGGAGAATGCTGGGGACACCCCCGTCCCACATTTATGCCCCCTTGAACTTCAAGATGAGAGGGACGTGGGATATGCAGGTACTTGCATAAGGAACGTGGGAAATGGGGCACATGCTTTCCCCAACTGGCGGTGCAAGACTGGTGTGGAGTGGCCCACCCAGCTGTGAATGGGAAACGGATTCCTTAGGCTGGCAAGATCCTGATGAGGATCTGCTGTCCTGCCCTGGATGGCGGCGCTCGAATCCATAACCTTCAGCAATCACTAACGTGGGAATGCTGGGCTAGATGGAGCCTTGACCTGACCCAGCATGGCTTTCTTGTCGTTGTGATACACATGCATGATTATGAACGCACATCTTTCGATGCACTCCAGGGCTTATATCCAGACTGAAGTACCCTGTGTCATCGCAACAAAAAACCGCTCCCTCCACAGCAGGACTTGGATACGGTAATTGCCGAGTGCCCTCACATTAGAGGTGGCTCTCTTGTTTCAGATGAACCCTTCCTCTCCCTCTCTTGCCTGCCTGCAGCTGGAACAGGCAAACCCCATTGCCTTCTGGCTCCGTGTCCCACAATGCCCTGCAGCAATGCTACACTGGGTGCCCCCGGGCTTTTAGGGGAAAGGTAACATGGCAAATGGCTTCCAGCTGTTGCTCTCCCTCTGAATGGCCCCCTGTCTCTTCTTCACCATGACTTGCACCCATCCTTTGACCTGTGTTGCTTCCAGGAGCATGGGAGATTGATCCAAAGGACCTGACTTTCCTGAAGGAGCTGGGAACAGGGCAGTTTGGGGTGGTGAAGCACGGGAAGTGGAAAGGCCAGTACGACGTGGCTGTCAAGATGATCAAGGAAGGTTCCATGTCGGAGGACGCCTTTATCGATGAAGCCAAAGTCATGATGTGAGTGGCACCAAATATCCTCCCCACACCTCAGTTTCTTTCAGCATCGATATCCCCAAGGGAGGACAAACCTTTCTGTGCCTTCTTCTCCCACATTCGGGTCTTTAAACCCTCAAGACGATTGTAATATGCTCCATGTGTATCCCTTGAAGATGGTCCTGATACTTCAGTTAGTACAAAAAGGAGCAGCCAGGTTAGTGACAGGGATCCACTGGAGTGGCCACGTAACACGGGTCCTCTGCCATCTGCACTGGCTACTGACTGAAGTCCAGGCCCAATTTAATGTGTTAAGTTTGACATACAAAGCCATCAACAGTTTAGGGCCTGCATACCTGAAGGAGCATCTCCTTCCAATACACCTGTCCGAGCCTTAAGACCTTCCACGGAGGTCCTTCATCAGGAGCCCTCTCTGAAGCAGGTGAGAAGGCTGGCTACCGGGGAAGGGCCTTTTTGGCAGGAGTACCCAGCTCTGGAACCGGCTCCCCAGAGAGGTGTGTCTGGCACCAAGACCTCATTCATTTCAGCGCCAGGCCAAAATCTTTTTATTCACCTAGTGCTTTAAAGTTTGATGACATTTTAAGATGAGATTTTACTACATGCTTTATATTGTATTTTAATTGTGCTGTTACTGTGGTGAGCTGTCTTGAGACCTATTCTGGTGTAGACAGGATATTGTCTGGTGATAAAGTCATGCCCGACCCATCACGACCCCATGGACAACATTCCTCCAGGCTCTCCTGTCCTCCACCATCCCCCGGAGTCCACCCAACCCCACACCCACTGCCCCAGTGACCCCATCCAGCCACCTCGACCTCTGCCGTCCCCTTCTCCTTTTGCCATCCATTGTTCCCAGCATCAGTATCTTCTCCAGTGACTCCTTCCTTCTCGTTAGGTGGCCAAAAGATTTGAGTTTCATCTTCATGTTTTAAATAAACAAACATGTTTGACCCATGTAGGAAAACAGTTGCAAATTTTGGATTGCTCTTCTCGAAAAGGAACACAATTCTTGCCTACCCGCACTGGCAAAGTTCAGTCAACGCAGCTGTTCTCAGGACGGAGACCACATTGTGCAATGAGGAACTTCTTGCGTGGTGGTGAGGGAGGGAGGGAGGGAGGGAGGGAGGGAGAGGCAGCAACCTGAATTCCACCACATAAGCAGGGCTTAAAACCCAGCCTGGAAAGAGAGGAGCGCTCAAGACCCACTGGATGAACAAATCTGCCCAAAGGGACAGATTCCAGAGGGAAGGCTGGGTCCCACATCTTTGAATAGTTAAGGGTACCCCTGCCCCCACATCCTTTTAAAATCTCCAGTCCTTTGTGTTCCATTTCTGAAGAAATTTGCAAATGTTGATACTTCCTTATAAAAAACCAAAGACACGAGACCCTCTTGCCAGGTTCTTATTCATATGCCACTTGATGGAGAAGAAGAGTAAAAGATGCAGGAAAACTGGAAAGTCCAACTACGTCTAAAGTCATTCGGACAGTGTGCATGATCATACAGCCCCCCCCCCCCCCCAGTAGCCAATGTCTTGGTAGGCAGCGGTGTGGGTGAGCAGCCAATATTCATGAACCAACCATGGCTTATCACGTCACCCAAACCTGGCAGAAGTCGGTTGTGCAAGGATTAAACAACCCTTTGTTTAACCCATGAGTTTGCAGAACTCTTCCCAACCCAAACCACGGTTGTGGCTTGAGCATCTAAGAGCCACCCAACATGTGCTCACAAACCCACCGTGACTTATTTGAGCCCTGGTAATCCTCTGAACCAGCTTAGTGTGTTTCTTGCTGTATCCATCAGGAATCTCTCTCATGGAAAGCTCGTGCAGCTGTTTGGGGTCTGCACCAAGGAGAGACCGATCATGATTATCACGGAGTACCTGTCCAAAGGTTGCCTCCTGAATTACCTCCGGGACACTCGGCGGTCTGCCCAGGCCAGCGAACTTCTCGAGATGTGCAAGGATGTCTGTGAGGCGATGGAGTACCTGGAATCCAAGCAGTTCCTGCACAGGGACCTGGTAGGCAGTCGCTTTTCCCCACAGTGCCTGTTGACGTGCCTGCAATGCGTCACTCCAAACCGATTTGCCCTGTTCTTGGATCAGTGTGCATTGGGTCGCAGATGGAGCACTTGAAAGTTCTTTCCTTTCCTTTAAAAATCAAATCAATTATTACAGGCCCAAGTCAGCCTTCAACAGCTCATGGCGTGCCTCTAGGCAAGCCTGAACTTTGAGCCCGCTCTTTTCAGGAATTATTAGCTAGGGTCCACATGCATCAGGACAGGCACAGTTTCTTATGGATCTGTACAGAATTAGTAGTCCCGGCCCACCAGGGATCCCGGTCTGGCTCCGGCTCTCCAAGATGGACACCCCACTTTTCCATGGTCGCACTCCTTCCTTCTCCTGCCCCTGCCCCCTTTCCTCTGGCCACGGTTCACTCAGTGCCCCCACCCCACTCCCATTCGCAAAGGCTGAAATGGCTCTAAAGCTCAGTTACTGGCAGGACGACGGACGGGGTGCGATGCCTCGGAGTTTCATTTCGGCCTCTGCCGGTGGATGCTGCTGCTGCTGCTGCAGTGTGGCCCTGAGGGCTCCTGGGAAATAGAATTCTGCTTTTGGGCTGAGCGTGGTCCAGTCCCTGGATCTGGGGCCCAGTGGCGATGCAGCTAATTATCAGCTTCCTCCCAGGAAAGAGCAGCTGTGCTGTCAGCATTAGGACAGGGCTGTGGGGTGTTTTAAACCAGCCCGATCCATTAATTAAGGGAACCTGATCCCAGGAGACGGAAGCCTGACATCTACCTATTTTGTGGAAGTATCTACCCCACCTTCCATAAAACATGCTTAGTTTGGCTGAAATCAAATTATACTCTATGGTGTCAATCCATGACCTTTCTAAAAGGCTGTTAAAAAGCAGCATAGCAAAATGGAGAACTGAAAGACCGGAAGTCTTCTGCCTTGTGCCAAATGACTTTGGAGTGGACAGCAGACCAGCCTCTCTTGGGGAGAGCATTTCACAAAGAGGGGACCACCACCGAGATGGTCCTGTCACCACCACATCTTGTGCTGGGCTTTGGCACAGGCTAGTGGTGAGGACTCCCCTATCTGCTGGCTCAGTTGCCTTGTTTTAGCTTAACCACGGGTGCTCCTGGTCCGAAAGAGAAGTCGTCAAGCACTTCCTCTAAGTGAAGGCTCTCGATTTAATAGGGAAGAATTTATGCTGAGGTTGCTGGGATGTACGGTAAGAATGAACGAAATTATGAAAAAAGAAATATATATGTATACAGTGTATATAGTGTTCACTATTATCTACCGTTTCAGACATTCAGCGGGGAGCTTGGAACCTCTCTGCTCAGATATGTGGGTCCTGCTCTCGTTGAGGTCTGGTGGGGATAAGGGAGGGGGTGAGAGGGGTGGGTCTGGTCCCATCAAGGGGCAGTGCAGCCCTCAGTGACACAGCCTTCCAGGGCAGGGCATTGGCCGGGCGGCCACAGGGGTTCAACTTGCAGTAGCACCCGCCTGAACTGGAACTCACAATAAGACCGTCAGGGGCAGACGGGGGTCTGTTGCGTGAGCAGAGCCCAATGGCCCGTGAGCAAAAGTGCCGTGACTCTCCTGCGCGCTCGCTCTGTTGCGCTGAAACGTCCGTCTCCTCTCTCTCTGCCACAGGCAGCTCGCAACTGTTTGGTCAGCGAACAAGGTGCCGTCAAAGTTTCCGATTTTGGCCTCTCCAGGTCAGTTTGTGCCCAAGGGTATGGTGGGAACTGGGCTGACAGGCTTTCTCTCCCTGTGTCTTTTGAGTATTTGCTTTGCTGCCATTCCCTTCGCTCTACCCACCTTTTCTTTCTGAGCCCCATTTTTCAGCCTCTCATCTTCTGCTTTCTTTGCACCCTTCTCTCCACACAGGATGGTAGAGTAGTGGAACTGGAAGGAACCAGAGGGCCATCAGGTCCAACCATCGGCCCAGCGCAGGCCTCCCCTTCCCTCTCAGATGGCCATGCAGCTGTGTCTTGATGCCTCCAGCGTGGGAGAGCCCACCATCTCCCTAGGGCAGTGGTTCTACTGTCCTCCTGCTCTAAAAGTCAGGGCATCTTTCCTGGTATCTAGCCAGAATGCGTCTTCCCGCAGCTTGGGCCCCTTGTTCCACGTCCTGCACTCTGGGATGATCAAGAAGCGATCCTGGCCTCCTCTGTTAGAGGCCCTTTCGAGTACTTTCCACATGACACCTGCTTTCCTGTCCCTTTGTGGCTCCACTTTGCACCACTGCCTGTCACCCCGTGAAGCCAGCGTGACTTGCAGGATTGCTGGCTGGAGAGGCCTGGATGGGGCTGAACTGTCACTGCCTCCCAGGGCCAGGGGCCTCTGCTGCAGGGACCCCGAGTGCACATGCAGAAAACTTAAGTGGGCATAATCTGCCAGCAAGGGTGCTCCTGCCAGCACTGGACTCAGCGCCAGCAAGAGTCCTTATTGATTGATTGATTGATTGATTGATTAAAACATTTTTATGCCGCCCCATTTGCTGAAGCCTCGGGGCGGCTTACAACAACAAGTTAAATCATCATGAATAACATTTTAAAACATATACATTAAAATAAAATACAAATATACAATATAAAATAAGCCGCCCTGGCCAGATAAAATTGACCCCATGGCAGCTGCTTGCTCACCCTATGGAGGGAGGTGCTCCTGCCTGTCCAGCCAGCAAGTGCCCAAAGTCCCATGAAAGGGGATAAGGAGCAAGAACAGCTGGGGATGATGGGCGCCTCTTCCCATGGGGGATGGGGGGTGTCTTGCCCAGGGACTATTCAACCGCTGCTGCAGGCACAGGCTGGGTTCCCAACAGGGCATGTGGGTGGCAGCGTTGGATTTACTGGCGCCTTGGTTTCCCTCAGAGGATGCAGGACTGGGCCTATCAACTTATTCCCCGCATTGCTGGTTTGATAGTCTTACGACATCCAAAAAACTAACACATTTAGTTTAGCTTAAGCTTTCCCAGGTGACTCACTGCTCCATCTGATGAAGTGGGCCGCACACATCTATGCCCCAGTAGCATCGCTTAGTCTTTCAGCCACCCCAAGAGGCTGAAAGTCGAATTAACCAAACCAAAATCTGCCCACAGGTACGTCTTGGATGATGACTACATTAGCTCTATGGGATCCAAGTTTCCGGTCCGGTGGTCCCCTCCGGAGGTCCTCCTCTACAGCAAGTTCAGCAGCAAGTCGGACGTCTGGGCTTTTGGTGAGCTGAAAGTGCACAGAAATGATGGGCGAGGCGGAGTCCCAGAGGGGGATTCTTGCTGCTGGCAGACTTAAGGGCAAGCAAACGCGAGTCGCCCCGACCACAGTGGACTGAGCATCCAGGGCCGCGGATGGGCTTGCGGCTGCAGGATAGGTGTGACTGTGTCAGTCAGGACGCACCCCTCTACCGCCCCACTTGACAGAGCGCAGCAGGCTTTGGAAGTAATCCCCCTCCCCAGCCTCTGCCTGCTGGGAGGAACTCCACTAGCAAGGGGTCTCTGCCACAGAAGCGCCCTCACTGTGCCCACAGAACGCTGCTGCTGGTGACAACAGGCATGGAGCCCCCAGTGGGGGTGGCTTAGAGTGTTGGACTGGGGACTTGGGGAGCTGCGTTCCAGTCCCCGCTTGGCTGTGCAGCTCACTGGGTGAACCAGCCCTTCACCTGCGGCCTAATGTACCTCACAGGATCATTGCTGTGAAGATAAGGCCCTTGGGCTCCTCATGGGATGGGGGAAGGCAGGAGATAAACGCAACATAATAAGTACGATTGGCCAAGGGAACTTTTTAAAAAGCCAAATGACGTAAATCCTCCTGTTTTTCAAAATAGACGAGCAAAGTGGAGGGGAAGAAGAAAATAAATTCTAGGTTATGTGTTTGTATGGATCCCCAAGAAATCATGCCTGAGTGCTGAGAACAGCTTAGTGTGTTTTGTAGAATCCGGATGTAAGGAATTTCTGCAAAACCAAGGGCAGTTTTGAAGTGGAAGATTTGAAAACTGATTGGAATGCTTTGTGTCTTTAGAGGAATGTTTAAACAATTATTTGGTGTTGCAGATGGACCTGTACATTTTCTAACAGTTGGGTATGGCATTCCCATGGTTGTGCTGAATCCACTGATCACAAAGTTGCTTTTTGGTGATGCCCTCTGCATTAGCTATGAAGGGAAAGCACTAATCAGCACAAGACGACAATGGGAATGCCATGACACCCGCCCCACCAGTGACACACACTGTGCTCAAGCAAATTCCCAGAAAGTCCCCATGAGAGTCCCCCATGGCCTAGCACCCAGGTCATACTGAATTTGGAGGTGGCTCAGCAGAAAAGGTTGAGTCTCGCTATGACTCCTGAGTCCCATTGTGGTTTCCTGACCTGACAGGTGTTCTGATGTGGGAGGTTTACACCTTGGGAAAGATGCCCTATGAGAGGTTCAGCAACAGCGAGACAACGGAGCACGTGACCAAAGGGCTGCGTCTCTATCGGCCCCACCTGGCATCTGAGAGAGTCTACGCCATCATGTACAGCTGCTGGCACGAGGTAAGGCTTGCTTTGAACCATCCTGATATCCCATCCCCACCTTGAGCAGCAACCCATATAAGCAGGCAGATGTGCCACTTTATAGAGGTGCATCGTGAAAGAACAAATCTCAAGAGACTGGAAAGCATAACTTTATTTTCAATAAGGATCTTTCTTGAAAAGAAAGGCACATTTTCCAGTAACTTAAGAAGCACTCTGTGTATAGCTGTAGTGTCAGATATACAGAGGATGGCCCTCTATTTGAATGGCTATCAGAAGATAGTTGTATATTTTAAGGCGTCCGTTCTTGGAAGGGCTATCCAGTTCAGGTCCACATTAAAGGGAAATGAACCCCAAGAAAGGAAGGCTGGTGCCCTGAAGTTGACCGTTCACAGGAGGCATTTGGGAAAAAAAAAGTGTCACATTTTCTGCCTCCCAAAAGGAACAAGAGAGGGTTTTCCAGAGCGTGGGCACCACTATCCAGAATGTCTTCTGTTGAGATATCACATGGCAACATTATAAACCTTATCTTTAAATACTTTGCAAAAGGTTCGTGCACTCTCTCCCCCTCTCTTTTTAAAGAAAACCCCCTCCCCCATGAAGCTCCTTTATGTCAACTCATCTTTCTCCGATGTTATTTTTCTCCAGAAAGCAGAAGAGCGTCCCACCTTCCAAGTCCTCCTGAAACACATCACTGATTTAGCAAATGAAGACTCCTGAACAGATCCCTCTCCAATTGCTCAGTTGCTACAGTTTGTTTTTCATATGTTTACGTTTGCCAAGCAATTTCTGAATGGATGATGGATGGAAGAGGCTGAAATGAGCATATTGCAGCAAAAATAACTGGACCCATTCCCCCCCAAGTCACCAGATTCTTTTTCTCTGGCTCCATGCACTAAATGGGTTGTGTTGGAAATCACCAAAGTGCTACCGAGAAGATAACCTATGCCGGAAAGTGCCGGTTACTTATCTTCCTTGTCAACAGCAAATCCTTTCTCTGCAGTGTCAAAATGCTTGCATCTCTCCCTGTAATTCAAAACGGTACGCTGGGATTTGAGAACTTCACAGAGATGCAACAGCGTGCAATGCCGAAATAGCAAGGATCAGAAATGATCTGAGAATGAAAGCGCTTATAAAAAGGACATACAAGTGATCGTTTCAGTGTTTTCCTGAACTACCATCTCAGCACTGCCTGGCATTTTGCTGTCTTGCATATTTTCTCACTCCTCACTCACAAATGCTTCCTCCTGCCCAAATAACAGATGTATAGTTCATTTTGTTGTAATGGTTGAGTTTATAATATTACACTTATGCTCCCACACATTTCCCTTCACATAAATTAAATGTAGTGTGTTAATATTCTTTGCTCCTAGAGTTTGGGAGGGGTGATGCAACACATTGAATATAGGTCCCCAAATAACAGATGAGTTTTAACTTAAAACATGAAAATTAGTAGAAGTTAATGTAATTAAGGAGCAGGGGCAGAAGAATGCGCAAGACAGAAAGAGAAAAGATTGCGCCATTTAGAGCCTACTGCACTGTAAGAGAAAATCCAGAAGTGCAGCAAGAAAGAGGAAGAAGAGCGGGATGTCTCAACATCCATTGTGGACTAAGACTCTTCTCTGTAAGAGAGACAGTATGCTGGCTTTGTAAGCAAGTCCGCAAAAGCATGTTACCAGCTTGGGCATTTTCACTAACCTGCTAAGGGGTCTAGCAATCTGCATTTCTAAGCAACTTCCTGGTCACTTGTGCCTACCAGGTGAGTTGCTGATTTATGGCCGTTCCCGTTATCATCTCTGCATTGCAAGACAGGGTGTGGGAGACAGATGGTATTGGTGTAAAACAGTCCGCGAATGTAGCTGAACGGTCGATATCGCCGATTGCTACTCAGAGGAACTCTAGCAGCCTGGCCGTGTCGCCCGCTGTTACGCGCATTGCACGGAGGGCAGCGAAGCGTGCGACAAAAGGGGCGTGCAACGTTCCTGCAAGGCGACGCACTATTAATATCCCAGTGTTATTTAGCTATTGAATGCTTGTTACGTGTTATTTATTTATTTATTTAAAGCAAGGCGATGTCACGTGCAGAGGATGTGCGCCGGGTCTCAGAGCCAGCTGATGGCAACCGTGCAACCCGGTGCAGTTATCACTACCTTGCAGAGAGGAGGCTGAACGACGGAATGCCAGTCCTGTTCTAACAAGCTGTGTGCGGACCGTTGCATGAGATTTATGGAGGCTTCAGTCCATGCTCTACCAGCCTGAGCACGTCTATGAAGAGGCAATTTGCGAAGGACTCTCCGTACGGTCTCCCAGTCTGCAATCCTTTCCACCCGCTGAAATGTTATTTCGATTTTACAATAGCGTTAAAAATTAAGCTAACCAAGGACGAGCATAACAAAGCAAAGCCACTCGGCTTAGGCTGCTGTTTTATAGGCATTTCCGTGGGAGACAGTCCCATGGAGCGCAATGGGATTCAGCTTCCGAGGAGACGCGGAGCCATCAAGGAGCCGCCTGGCCAAGCGTCACTCTACCCTTTCCCCTGTTCCTATCTCTACGGCACGCGGCCGTACCGTGCCGGAAGGAGGGCGAGCTTGGCTTCCGCACCTGCGCAGTTGCCCGGAAGTGGCGGCTCGGCTCGCGTGCGCGGAGGCCCGGCCCCGGGTGGCACGTGAAGGTCGCCCGCCGCCCGCCCGCCGCCCCCACTCGCTGCGCCTGCCTCCGAGCCGGGCTAGGCATGGACCCTTCGTCCGCCGCGGGGGACTTGGGAGCGGCGGTCAACGACCCGCAGCTGCAGCACTTCATTGAGGTGGAGACGCAGAAGCAGCGCTTCCAGCAGCTTGTGCACCAGATGACTGAGCTCTGCTGGGTGAGGGCGCCTCGAAGGGCGGGGGGAGGGCTTAGGTCCAGGTTAACTCATCCTGGGGAGGCAGAGCCAGCCCGAGACGTTTCACTGCCCGAGGCAAAGCAGAAGATGTGTTGTTACTTCTGTCCAGCCTCTTTCCCTGTAACGATCTGAAGGCTGTTTGCAGAAGCCTCCTCTCTGTTTTATCAGCCTTGTGAGGGAGGTCAGGCTGAGAATCAGTGACTGACTCAGAGGCACCCAGTGAGCTTCAGGGCTGAGCAGGGGACTAGTTCTCGCTCGTCTCAGCCCGTCGCTCTTAACTATGTCACACTGGTTCTTCGATGGGTCTTTCCCTTTCTTTGTGCAAAACTGAGAATGGGATCTTTATTTAATATCGAGAATTGGCCACCATGCCTCACTGCACCTCAGGACTACAGGCTAGTTTAGGCGGCACAGAGCAGGCGGATTTCATGCAGATGTTTCTTCCTGCAACTTGCTGTCAAGAGCTGACTCACAGGGTGTGCATGCTCCAGGGGCTTGCACTCCAGCAGGGGCCCATGAAAAAAGCCAACTGGGGTTGCTCCTCTTCTTCGCCATTGCAGTTACTTGGTTGGCTCTTGCTCTGGGCTCAAATAATGGGTGAATACTTATTTGCTCCCTGGTCCTTTATTTGTCAAACAAGCAAGGCGTAACAAGGGTGTAAAAGTAGCTGGTGACAAAAGTGGTGAGGAGGTGGATTCATCGAGCGAGAAAGACTCAGGGTATCTCCTCCAAGCAACCTCCAAAACCGCTGCTGCCAGTCCTGTTGCCTTGACTCAGCATCTTCTGCCTGAGAGTACTCTTAATTCTGCATCAGCACTACTTTGAATAAATCCATTGGGATCGGTGGCACCTAAGCGCAATCAATGACTAACATGGTATGACTTGTGTACTACCCATGGAGTGGGAGAACCAGTGGTCGCCTTCATTCTACAAGTATTTAGGCTGTGAAACCTGCTGCCACAAGATGTTTGGGGTGGACCTTGGCTTAGGGGGCTACAGCAAAGTCATGGAGGAAGAAAAGGAAGAGGAAGACAATGCTTTGACAATGAAAGTCTTCTTTATGCTGAATATGATTAATATGGAGGGCATTTTGCCAGGTGAATTGGTGATAGTTCATGGTTTAGGATGCTTACAGGGGACCTTTTGTCCTGCCACTTTTCCTGATCCCCCCCCTCCCAAAATAGACCTTCCTTTGTTAGTTACTTTTCTGCTGTGGGTTTAAAGCTCTTCTGTTTCAGTATTGTAGTTCACATCAGGACCTGACATGTGTACTTTAGAGTGAAAAAGAGAGGATCAGCTACATACTCTGCATTTATACCTTTCTGAAGCTTGATCCTGAGAATTAACACATTCTGACCCCCAGAAATCTACCAATACATTCAATAGTAATCCAGGCTTACCTTTTGTCCATCCCTGCCCTAGATGATTTTCTCTGTTCTCTGTGTCTTGAATAGGAGAAATGTATGGACATGCCTGGCCCCAAGTTGGACAGCCGAGCTGAGGCTTGCTTTGTGAACTGCGTGGAGCGCTTCATTGACACCAGCCAGTTTATTCTCAACCGGTTGGAGCAGACACAGAAATCCAAGTCGGCCTTCTCTGAAAACCTGTCTGACTGAGCTGGGGGCCATGACATCTGTTTTTTTCCTTTAGAGGAAAACGATCTATTGGATGGGAGAGGAAGAGATGGCAAAGAGAGCACAGATAAAAGAACTACTAGCGATCAAGGGCTGTGAGGGAGGCCCGCCTCCTCATTTGTGATGGCCTCTGGGGCTTACCAAGCCACCTTTGTCAGTTCTGGTTTCAAAGTCCCATCTTGTGAACATTAGCAGCCAGACCAGTTAGGCCATGCAACACCACACACTTGCTGCTTAACATGGGCTTGTGCGGCCCTGAGGTTTTCTTTTTTTTATTTTGGTTGGGGGTGGGGGTGGAAAAATTCTCGATAAAGGCAGCTTCACACCGGAATTGTGGCTTGAATAGTTTGCTTTCCCAACACTGTGGTCAGAGAAGTGCTTCTACTGTGCTTGAGAAGTTCCTTCTCAATCTTTCAACATAAGGGAGTTGAGAGGTTCCAGACACTATTGTGGATCTTGGGAACGGCCGGGTGCAAATGTGCCTTGAAAAATGGTACTGCGCTGTAGCACTACTCGTAAAAGTGTTGCGGATCACTGGCTGCCACTTGCTTGAACGTGCAACTGATCTGACCTTTGTAAACCTCAACCGGGTGTCGCAGTTGCACAGAAAGGCATGCTCAGCTCACAGAAGTGTGCCAGCAGAGATCCAGGGTCTTCAAGAGGTGCTTATTCAACCCCTCCTTAGCACAGCTAGGAAGAAATACCCCCAGATGGTTTGGGGCAGTTTGGAACAACCTCTGGTCATGTAAAAGTTTCATTTGCCAAGTGCAAAAGTCTATTTTGACTTTCTCCATTAATTCTTTTCCTCCTGATCAGTGAAATAAACATCAGACCAATCCATTTTAAACTGCCTGTTGAGTTGGTGGTGGTTTTTTCTGCTAGGATTGCTAGTGGTAATGCTCCTGGTAGTCATTATTGCATTTTAAAGAGACACTTTTAAAGAGGAGTGACTCCTGTATTTGTAGCAAGCAATGCTTGTCCTCACATTTTACCTGAACAGTTGTCTCTAAATGTAGGAAGCATATTGGGGGTACTTCATGTTCAGTAACTAACGGATCACTCTTCTGTGCATGAGTAACGTTTGGTTTCAAAGCAGGTGCCTGTGTAAGCTGTTCTGCCTGCTGTCCTAGAGGAGGTCCTTTGTCATGCAGGTGACCAAGTGGGTTGTTGTGCAGGCAATGGCCAAACCATTTAACCAGGCTTCCCCAACCGGGTGCCTAGCAGAAGCATTAGACTACAATCCCCAGTACCAGGTTAGGGAAGCCTACATTAAATGATAATCCTTAGGCAAGAAATTGGCTGGAATGCTAGGATAAGCACAAGCAGATTTCTCAGTTCTTTGCTATAAATGGCTTCAGTAACCTAGAAATAATTATTCAGATACTGACAAATTCTAGTGTGCTGGCTGTTTTAATCTACATATGTATTTTAATCTACATATGAATTGATTCTGGTCAACCAAAGCTTATGCCATAAGACTTTCTCTTTTCCTGAATCAAAATCTCTCTTGACACCTTAAAGACTAACAAATGTTATGAATACTTTTGTACCCTGAATCTTCTGTATAAATGGGAAAGATTGTGGTATTAGTACACAACGTAATTTTTTTATGAGTGTTTTCTGAGTGTTAAGACAAGTGGTCAGTGCTTGTGGTTCTTTGCACATACCATTTGATGAGTGGCTGTTTACTAAGACCCAGAAGATGTCTTATCGTCGGCTTTCCCTTTTGAATCCTCTTGGTGTTGTAATCCAGGTGAAGGTACAAAAGAATGTAAACAGAATGATCTGGTGTAAATCAGCCTTTTAAATAAGCCCGTAAAAGTTACTCTGAGCCTGCTTTGGGGTGGCAGAAAAGAATGCTTCCTTCCCTCTGCCAGCCCTTTTGGTGTCTTAAGTGCAGAATAAAGCCTTCCATCTTTCCATCTGCCAGTTTGCTTGCTCATCTGCATGAAATTCCTTATTGCCTGTGATGACCAGGTGCATGCTAAATTACAAGGTTGCTCTAAATGTAGCAAACAGAGGATTTATTCCTTGTGGTGTTGCATTAAGGTGCCAAGTAGGCAGATCACAGTGGCGGCGAGATATCCATTCTGTTAAGTTTTAGTTCGAGGGGGTGACCTTCTAAATACAAGAGGTGCTTTGTAAGTCTGTTTTGCCATATTCCAAAATTTGGCTGTCTTTAGAGGCATTACTTTTAGGAAACCAAAGATCCAGTTTTTGCAATGGGTGCAGGTTTATTTTTAAAAAGTTTTGGCAGCTATCTTGATCAGTAAGACAAGCCTGAGACTGTATCTCTTCGCCTGCTTTATAATGTCCATCTGGCTTGAGGATGGCCAGCTGAGGGAGGATTGAAAGTTGGAGAAATGGGTTCTGAACCTGGAGAAACTGAAATGTTCAAATTTCCTCTTGCTGTGTCCTCCACCCAAATACTGGAGTGCTTGGGGTGTATTCTTTTTCAGTATTAACATTCCATAGAGTATTTTGAGCTCATGCAACTTCTTTCCAATCTGTATTTTGTTCATGCCAGGTCACTTTTCTCATTCATGGTTGGGAGAACCAGGACCCAGAGAAAATAGCTTGTCCGAGGTTCAGGGCCAAACAAATGGTTCCTGGTGACTTGGGTCAGCTTCTGCACTACAGATAATGATCAAGAGCTGGAGCAAGAGCTAGAAATTCTCTCTAAATCTATCACAAAGGGAAAATGCTATATGAAAGGACACTGTGGTTGAAGGTTGACAGCAGCTGCAGTGACCATTTCTAAAAGAGTGACTGGAAGTGGTACCAAAGAGGTAGCAAAATAAATGACGTTGAAATAAAATATGACACGCTTTGTGTTGTTTTAAAGCATGTATTACATGTGCAACACTGTTATGGCTGTAGGTACTGCATCATATAAAGAAAATAACACTTATTTTAAAAAAAATTAAGTTGTAAACCTTAGAAAACCCGTCAGAAAAATGATAACCTTCAGGCCATTTAAATGGCATTGTCCATACATTCAGAGAGCAGCAAGATATTATTTGCAAGATCGGAAATACGCGGACAAAGTAGTAGGTGTGCTCTCATAAGGGAGACTTGTATGTTGAGCCTAACGGACTGTATGAAATCAACTCCCATTGATTTTGATGGGACTTCTGTGCATTCTGATTTCCACACACAAGCTTGTGCATAAGCTCTGCTCTCCTCTGTTCAAACTAGGTGATAAGCAGAGTTTAGCTGATCTAAACTAGCTGATCTAGTTTAGTTGATCAGTAGGTCACCTTATGTGGTAGAGCCAAGCCCACCCTTCATACCAGCTACTCCATGTTCTTCCCTCATCTCTGTCTTCCTTAAAATGACCCATAGGAACAAACATACATACGATCCCTCCTCTCACCTGCTTCCGCCTGTCCTCATGCAAATCCTTATTCACACACATTTTTCTTCACTTGAGACAGAAGGGAAAGGGGAATCCCTCTTCTGCTAACTTGGGCATTCCTGTCTCAGAGAATCTACAGAGGTACTTGACTTGCATGCTTTTTCTTGTTTTTTTTCTACCGAACAGTGGACTCCCTCCACCCAATGACATATCACCATTTGCTTCTGACACACTGTGCAATTTCCATGTGCAGGTACTGTGCAATAAATACATCCAAAACCCATTCTGGCCCACAAAATACTGGTTCTGGCTTGCCCATCATTCTCCAGCCCATTTCTGGATGACTGGAAAAGAGGGAAGAGATCAGGTTCAACTCTAGGCCTGCTGCATGTTGAGCTTGACCTAATGGGCTCTCTCTTTTTTGGTTCAGGTGCATTACCAGGAAAGAGTTCATATAGTCACATATTTATTAGTGTCTGATTCAAGTCACTTGGTGGAAAGCAGTGCTGGGCAGCTCCTTTGAAGAGCTCAAAGGTCGGTTGTGGTTTCTGTGGGTGTTTGGCCAATAGGTAATGCCTAATGTGTTTACTCTCATAAGCTCTGAGTGCACTGCTGCTCTGCTCTCTCTCCCCCCCTTTTGCAGACGTCCTCTGGGTCTAGAAGGGGTTGGTGTAGACAGGACTGCTGCTTGGTCCTTGCTTTCCAAGAAGCGGTGTGCACACGAGTTCGATCACGCCTCAGGAAGACAGGCAGCAGGTCTGCAGTGAAGGCGACATCTCTGAAAGCATGCAGAAGGAAGATGCCAAGGACTATGGTGAGAAAGCCACTTATGGTGCCAATGATGTTCATCAGGACCAGATGCTGCCACTCCTTGAACAAGATGGCAGAGCAGGTCATGACTGCCGTGGTGAAGAGGACATAATAGATGGGTGTGACCACCGACGTGTCGAAGATATCCAAGGCCCTGTTCAGGTAGTTGATTTGGACACTGACGCAGATCACGAGGCAAACCAGAAGCACCCAGCCCAACGGTTCCTTCCAGACTGGCTTCCCAGCAAACAGCTCTTTCAAGGCAATGTCCAAGCCTTTGACACAAGACACGGAAAGTGAGCCAACAGCAGAGCAGACCAGAACGTACACCAGGACATTGCTCTGCCCATAACGAGGGCCAGCCACGAAGATGAGGAGCACTGAGCTCACCAGTATGCACACTGCAAACACTATGAATCCTGGGAAGATAAGGAAGGAAGACCATTAAAGCCATTTGGGCACAGCTGATTTTTCCAGTATTTGGTCACTGGGGTTGTCTAACTCAGAGTTTTGCAAACTGTGGACCACTAGTGCCCCTGGAAGTCCTTCAGGTAGTCCATTGATAGGTTGCAGAACAGCTGAGGAGATCTGTGCTAGATTCTGCACTTGCTTTTTTTCTTTCGATAACGGAGTTGGAGACCTTTTTGACGGGCTGGATTACTGAACAGGCCAATAAGGACTTGGCTACAGCCTGTGATTTTCCTAATACAGTGTTGATGCAATCTACTAATTTTTCCTTAAACATTCACTAATTAAAGGGGCCTTTATAGTGCTTGTGGCAGTGGTGGAAAAAAGCTATGTATGGGCTTTAATTTTAAAACAAGTGGTCTGTGGAGAAAACATAGTTTGAATCCAGCACTAGTCTAGCTCAATGACTACACTAGCAGGATATGGTTAGTAGACTCTGGCCAGAAGGATGCTTTGGGAAACCCAGTGTATTTAATAGCTCCAGCCTATAAATAGCAATGCTGAAACACTGGCAGACATACAGACTGCAATGTATTAGAAATGAACTCCTGCACTAAAATTGAGCAAAGTTAGCATCTTTCTCCTTCTATTAGTAGTAGCAATAATTACTAACAAAAATATTTTAAAATATTTGTCAAGAAAAAAAATCAGTGGATGGAGAAAGACTGTCATTAGATTTCTGTTCAACTATCTTCCTCAAATGTAGCATGTGTGAGATGCAGAAAAGAAAAGGAACAATGGATACCTGGATCTTTCAGTTTCTCTGCCATGGACTCCAAACTAGAGACTTCTTCTTCCTGAGGAGCATGGATTACCATCACAGTGGAGCCTAAAATGCTCAGGAGACAGCCGATCTTTCCATGGATGTTTAGTTGCTCATTCAGGAAGTAGGAGGCAAGAACTGCACTACAGGAAGGAGAACAGTGTTCAAAGAGGGCCAGAGCCAGGCTTGTTTGGGAAAAGGTTCAGGAAAGTGTGATTACAGAGACCTGATCTCTGAGACTGGTGAAAAGCCTCTGGTCACATTGTACATACCTAACTAAAACACTCAGAGCTCCTAGAGGAGTGACAAGTGTTGCTGGAGCAAAAGCATATGCAGCAAAGTTGGCAGCTTCTCCAATCCCCACTGTAAGAAAGAGGCAGATTTAGAATTGTTGAGAGCAAACAGTTAGCAGAAGAGACAGTTGGTCTGCTCTTATCTGTTGAGTGGAAGACAACAGGAGGCCTGCAGGGCACTGATATAAACTAGGAGGGTTTATGTCAGCCTTCCCTGACCCGCTGCCTTTTGTACGTTTTTGACTACAGCTCCTACTATACCTCATGATCAAGGAGGATGGGAATTGTAATTCAAAATGCAAAAGGAGGTTTACATTGATGAGGACTAGTTTACTGTTTGACCTTTTTCCCAGACTGCAGTGTGTCCCAGATGACTAACAGAATACTAAGTGGGCCGTTAGTTTTGTTTCTGTGAGCAACTTTGCAAGACTTATTTATGAGAAAGTATTGCTATGCCTCCCCATCCCATCCCACCCCCAGCCAGCTACTCAAATGCACAGTACAGCACAGGCACTGAAAAAAGCCAGTTGTACCGATGTTGATCAGAATTGTCAAAACTTGCATGGAAGTACTTACTGGACAGCAGTCCTCCCCACCACAGCCATTCCCTCAGGTACGCATGGCCACCGAGACCTGGGAAGAAAAGAAAGCAACAGACACCCAAAGTGAGACTCTAGACTGGAAAACCATTTCATACTCCAAGGAACTTGGACACCTCGGTGGCTGGGATTCTTCCATCTGCAGCCAGCTATATAGTAACTTCGCTAGCTCCTCATTTGCTATTACCTGCTCTGATGGAGCCTCTGCTATTCAATCTGAGCAGCCCTTTCTTCTTTAGGATAAAGCTTCCTCCGATGAACAGGCTGGAGCTGAGAGCCAAGCCTAGTCCGATGTAGAAGTCAGAACGTTCTGTTAAGACATCCATCCTAGTCACCTCAAGTATCAGAGAAAGGGAGAATGAACAGAGTTTAGATGTTTGTTCCCAAACAGTAGCCACGTTCAATTTACAGTGACAAGAAGCCATGCAGTTGACAAGGTTGACAAGTTATTAAAAAAAGACTAATTAAACAACTGCGTAGTCATACATGTACCTGGAATCCTATACACATTTACTTGGAAATCCATCCGGTTCTGAACATGGGCTCTGTACAATTTTCTAGAAAGTATATGATTTTTCTGTTAAGCTGCCCCAAACCTACACACAAAGCAAGCATCCCTGGCCTGCCCAAACTCCCCTTATAAGGCAGAGGGCCTTTTTGGTGCTAGAACCGCATGACGGAATGTCTTTCCCATAAAGGCTCATTGATTGTGGTCTGCTTGTCACCACGTAAAGATCTTTTGAGTCTTTCACTTTTGAATTTTATAAATGTTCTTGTGTTTTTAGACCTTCACCTATTTCTGGCCTTTACTGTTTTTTTTACTATTTGAAATTGTTATTATTTTATATTACGTTTTATCACTTTGTACTTTTATGGTTTATATTTTTGTGAACTGCCCAAGGAGCTTTAACAATGGGGCAGTATAGAAATAAATAAATAAATTTGCCCGATTTTCAAAATTCTGGGAAGCTCACCATTTTAAATATAACTTCCTATAGATTAGACTCCCCTCTTGTCCTCTTATTCAACTGAGCAAATGAATGGGTGGTCTCCAGTCTCCTTTTCAATAATAGGTTCCCATCTGCATTATTTATTTATTAATAACCTTTGGGGTTATTAATACTCCCGCTCAACTAATCCAAAGTGAAAAATTATAAATGGGTTTGGCTGCACCTGTTGGAAGTAAATCACATGTTTTCATGGGGAACAATAATATTTATTGCTTTTATATACTATTCCAATACCCCAGAGAACTCTCTGGGTGGTTTACAAATATTAAAACCCTTTGTACAACAATAAAATATCCAGATAAAATACAAATTGTTAGATTATTTAACTCTTCTGAATGGTTAGGGAGGAATTTGTGTCCCCCTTAGATGCTGTAAAGTTTCGGTCTCCCATACATCCCAGCCAGCATGGCCCATGGCCAAGGAGCCATGGTCCGAAAGGTTCCCAGTTTCTTGGCTCAGAAATATCTACACTTTCCTCCCCTGTCCCTTTCCTAGCTGGAGACTTCGTGAAGCTATATTAATCTAGGTCTGTCTGTGTGAAAAGATAAATAAGCTCTGTTTAGAGAAATACAGAAGTGAGTTTTCGATTCTGTAAACTTTTCTCTCTCCCGCACTGCGGACCCGTTGGGGGAGCAGTGGCCTCCTGCGGTCTGTGGTTCAGCTGTGCGTCTCCCCGCGTTCATGGCCCAGCCGCACGGGCGCGGTTTCCACCCTTCCCGGATCCAGCCTAAGGGACCCAAGGCGGCCCACGCTCCCCCGTTGCATCCCCACCGAAGCAGCCAGGGAAGAGAGAGGGTTCCCCCTCGGGGGCCGGCGCGGGGTGCTTCTTAAGGAGAAGACAGCCGAGGAGCGCGGGGCCAATTTGAAATGTTAGCGCCGCCACGAGGCTCCCTCCCCGGGATGCCGGCCGAGGGACCTTCGCGCCGGTGGCGAGCGCTGCGCTGCGCTGCGCTCCGGCCGAGGGGCGTCGGTACCTGCTTCTCCCGTCCCGCGCGGGGTCTCCGACCGCCGACCGCCGGCCGCCGCCTCCTCGCCTGCCTGCCTGCCTGCCTGCCTTCCCTTTCCTGCCGAGTCGCCGCCTGTTCCGCTTCCGCAGCGCCCACGAGCCCGCCCGGGCGAGGCCAGTTTTGAGCGGCCGGACCGGCGGCGGGTGAGTCGCGGGAGAGGGCGCGGCGAGCCCCGCGGGAGGCAGCACCCGGCCGCGCTTCGGGAGGCGCCCGTCGCCCCCCTCGCCCCTCCACGCCGCCCCCTCGATCTCCCTGCCCGGGGGGTTTCGTCGCCCTCGCCCCATTTCCCAGCTCTAAAGAGCCCTCGAGAAGGGAGGCGTCGCACGCAAAGAGCCCGTGCCCCCCTTCTGCTAGCTCCCCATCTCTCGGAGCGCCCCCCAAGAGAAGGACAGGCACCTCCGAGTCCTTTCGTGCCTATCTTCAAACCCGCTTAGCTTTTCTTGCCCCAGGTCTCCTTAGGCCTCTTCTTGAAGCCTGCAGTTATTTGCTGCGCCTTCCTTTTCAGAGATAGTCCCAAAGGAGGGCTGGGAAAGAGGCTCCCTAAAGCCTCCTCTTCGCCTTTCTTCAAGCCCACAATCCCCCCCCGCATTTCAGAGTGAACCCCAACAATGTTTATAACGTATTTATTGAATGGTTGTTGTAAGCCGTCCAGAGACGCGTAGTGATTGGACGGGTTAGAAATACCCAAATAAAATAAATAAAGAGCATCCCCAAGAAAAAAAGATACAGGAAGGAACCCTCTCCCCTTCTCTTCAATACTTTCTAAGCCCCAGTTTTTCTTGCTACCTCTCCAACCCTAAACGGAGCCTCAAAGTATGTATGGGGGGCGGGGGAGAGAGAGTGACACCTGCTATAGGAGCTCTCTTGATTTTCACTCCTTTTGGCCTTTGGGTTCTAGGACTCTGCCCTGCTTCAATAAAAACTAGGCACTCGGGATTAAAACAGGCAAACCGTACAGTAAATGTGAGAGGGACACTGATTGAACAGCAAGAGAAAATACTGCAGAACATTAAGAGCCTGATGGTACAGAGTAGTTTTTAGGGCCTGTCCAAAGCAAAATAATGGCAATGCCAAAAATCTCACCTTCCTCACAAGAGAGCTCCGCAATTGAGGTACTGCTACATAAAAGGTCCTATATCCAGTTGCCTCCAACCTAACCCCTCTAGGTAGTGGTGCGTATAAAAGGGACTTTAATTATAATAGTAAACTATGTGCAAATTCATTTGGAAGATGGTCGTTTAGATATATTGGTTCTAATAGTGTGGATCAAAACTAGCACTTTGAATTGTGCACTATTAATATGTAATGGGTAGATGAAAGATTCATATTGACAGCCAATCAAAATAGCTGAGAATAATCTAATTTGGAAGCTTATATTTGCTCCTGTACAGAAAGAACTTTGAAGGGAGGAGGAGATCTCATATTGGTTACTGGGGAAAGAAGCAGCAGTATCGGATCTCCCTTGAGTTACAGGAAATGTTTGCTCTGCCCTCACTTTTCTTTTCTTTTTTAACTGGTTTTTTTTCTGCATTTATGTTTAGTTTTTTTGAATGGTACAAGTTTTTATAAACGTTTACATGAAGCAAGAAGAGGAGAGATGGCATCTACAAGTAATGCGTTTGTTTCTTTTTTGTTTCTCTGGTGCTGGGTCTGTAGTGCTCTCTCTAGCAGAAGGAATGTGCTATCCTAAAAGCAAATATCACTCCTGCCTTTCTGACATTCTGCAAGCTTTTGGGGTGTGGTGGGGGCACGGATGCCACAACATATGATAAACTGTTGTAATTGGTCATATGTGGCATTCCTTGTCATCTTCAGATTGGGCTTATTGATAAGGCTGACCGGCTGTCCTCATTTGGTGGGAGTTGATCACCTTTTCTTGCCACTTCATATGAGACTGATGTTCCCATTATGGCAGGATCTCTGCTGCAGGGGATGCATTTTCCTGATGCTTCAGATTGTTTTGTTAATGCTCCTACACATGATCAGACCTGATTTTCTGCACTGCTGTTTGCACCTTATTTGAAAGAGCTAAGGTTGGGTTTTGCAAAAGATGAGCGGGGCGTGTGGGGGAGAAGAAGAGAGCTTGTCCTGGCTTGGTGCTGCTCCTGTCTCAAAGCCAGGAAAGTTTAGCTTCATCTTAAGATTGTTGTTGCAGCTTAGAGTATGTCATGGGGGAAGCAAAGTGTAGTGACTATTTGGGAAAATGATTCTGCTTTCACATCACATCACACCTTTTTGTTCCTCTGCTTTCGAGTGCTTTTAAGTCCAGAATGCACTTTAAGAAGTGGCTGACATTCTCTAGTTCCCTCAAATAAGGTGCTTCTGAGCAGAGTGTGTTTGTGTGTACTGCTATTTTACAATTCCTAGCAGCGCAGCAGGTTGGATAGCAAAGGCTGAGAGAAACTACTGCCAGGCCGTTGTGTAACCTTGCTGTGTCTTCTTATTTTCTGAACACTCAAGAACAAAAGATGAGCAAGAATAAGGATGATGCTCCTTATGAGTTGGAGAGCCAGTTCATACTGCGATTGCCTCCGGTAAGTGACCCTTAGTGAAAAGCTGCTTTGACTAATAGGTCTTGTTCCTGTCTGGAGACTTACATAAAAGGTTGGCATTGTTTAATTTTGGCTTTCCTTCCTTCCTTCTCTTCACATCTCTACTCTACCACGCCATTCTCTTCAGGAATATGCTTCTACTGTGCGAAGGGCTGTTCAGTCCGGAAGTGTCAACTTGAAGGACAGGCTCACCATTGAATTGCATTGTAAGAGGAAAGATTCATGTTTTAACTTCTTGCTTTTTTCATGATCGCTCACTGACCTCAAATGCTTCAGCTCAGAATGTCCAGGCGTAGTAGGAAGGTTTTCTTGGGTACACCAACCCCCAGAATCCCTTCTCAGTCTCTAGGAGGGATTGAGAGACTTATTTCACTGTACTTTCTAAGCTGGAGATACAGATCCTCTTTCAGCCCAAGGACTGAATTCCATTTCAGAGAAGCTTTTGGGGAGCACCTTCCAATGAAGGCAAAAAGGGTGGGATCCAACTCCCCTGCCCCCAGCATTCCTTCATCGTTTTGCATAAAACTCTTATCAGTAACTAAGTCTTAGGGGAGACATTTCAACCTTTCAGAATAGGGGGAAAACCAGAAAACAGCCAAGAGATCAGTGGTCAGGAGGAAGGAGCACAGCTCTCTGGAAGACCCTGAGTTGTACCCAGCACCTTTGGAGGGCTGGATTTGACCCCAAGGCCTGTGTTTCTTTACTTCTACTCTAGACTATAGAAAAGTTGAATAGAAGATTTTGCAAATGGGAGAGTTACACATCGTTTTCTCAGCCATTTGATTACTTTTCCTTTTGATACGGCTGGTTTACACATAAGCAAACATATTTTGCTTTGCTGTGGACTTTACAACTTGAAGATGAATGGATGAAAAAACCCCACTGAAAAATACTTCCATTGAGGTTATGTGTGGAGAATTCTGTCAGTGTTGGTTTATTTTCATGTGCAAGGCGCCGTCAGATTTTGCATCAGCAGAGTGATTGATTGCCATGTGTGACCCAAGCTAGAGCTGTCTTACGGATTTTTAGTCAAAGTACCCAGTAGTTTCAGATGTTCTAATAAATAGCTCATGAAGGACCCCATTTTCCTGTCTTCCTACAGCAGATGGCCGTCATGGGATTGTGCGAGTGGACCGTGTCCCATTAGCTGCCAAGCTGGTGGACTTGCCCTGCATTATCGAAAGCTTAAAAACCATCGATAAGAAAACGTTCTATAAAACTGCAGATATTTGCCAGGTCTGTGCAAGGGTATTCATGGTGGGAAGAGCCATCTACAACTTCTGCAACAAAGCATTATTTGTTTGAAAATATTTGCCAGGTAAAGATAGGGGAAATTCACATATAATGTGAAGACTGCGTGAGCCAAATTAAAAAAGAACACAAAATGATTATAAAGTTTTGGAATGGAAAATGTTTTATAGCACTCAGTTTTTCTTAATTTTGTCCCACAAACTAAGCTTTTTAGATGTGCATCCATCTGTAGGTCATGCAGTCTCACTAGCCAATTTGTTCAAGCTTAGCTTAATCAGTTGAGATAAGTATTTGGCTAATATATTTTATATTCCTAAATAAGTAATTAAATTCACTTATCCAAATTGGTAATCAGCAATGTGATATAGTGCCTCCAATCAGCATCGGTTTAGACTTTGAAAAATAAATAAAAATAAATGGCCAAAAGCATTAATTGCATCAAAACTGGCATGATATCTGGAACTGCAAAATAAACAGTTAGAGATCAGTCACATAAACAGTTCTAAATTGTGCAGAAAGCAATGACTACTAGTGTTCTTTCTAATGGCACAATGGCTTAGGAATCACCACTATTGTTTAAGAAAGTAAGCCATTTTTTAAATACAAGCATTAAGATTATAAAGTTTTGGAATTAAGAGACTGGAAAATGCTTTTTACTACTCAGTTAGAAACTTATCTGGACTTGGTGATTCCCCTGTATTCCTACTGGTAACGGCGTTTTCAGTTTCCTCCATATGCAAAGGAGCCATGAGAAAATTCTATAGTAAGAATCCATGCATGGAAAAGGAATGAGATTGAGAAGACAAAATAAATAAGAGTTTCCTCTTTTTGTGTGTTGGGGACTTCAGATGCTTGTCTGCACTGTGGGTGGGGAACTGTACCCTGCTATGGAAGAGCCAGCTACAGGTACTGACCCCAAGGGTACTGACCCCAAGGGTGCTGACCCCAAAGGAGCTGATTCCAAGAGTGCCGATTCTAAAGCCAACAAGAAGAAGGACAAGGACAGGGAGAAGAAGTTCATCTGGAATCATGGCAGTGAGTAGAGGAGCTACCTGACTGTTCAGTACAGACCCTTACCTGACTTCCAGCCTAAGAGTAAGGAGCAGGGAGTATTGCTTCCTGCTGCCAATCCCATCTCCACACTCTGCCTTGGATGAGAATATAATCTTCTCTCCTGCTCTGTTAGCAAGGGCTGTTCTTTGTTGTCTTGCTCCCTGCTGGGTCAGGTGGGTGGAGGAATGAGACATTGTCTTTCACTTCTCCTCAGATCTAAGCTAATTTCAGTGGAATTAATTTGACACATTTTTCTAGTTACTCTCCCACTGAAGAATGTGAGGAAGAGGCGGTTTAGAAAGACAGCCAAGAAGAAGGTGAGTTGCGTCTCTTGGCATAACAGTGCCTTTGTATCTTATTACACAAAAGCTAAAGCCAACATTATTATTTGCTTAGAATAGTAAACTGCATTCTCAGATATGTATTAATAGTCCCAGAAATTTAACTTTGAATTTTCTTTAGATGTTCTAAAACTTCCACTTCTTTAGAGAATTAGGGGAAACTTAGTGCTGAAGAAGAACCAATATGTACTGCTGCACTAATAGTTGCTCACCTGTATGGGTAGAGAAAACAAACAAACAAACAAATGAAATAAGTTGTGTTTTCCATCTCTGCTCATTTTCTACTTGATGCTGCTTGTGTAATTCAAGAGGTCATGCATCTGATGATGAAAAGTTGTTAACGACAAAAGTTTATGTTCCCATGCATTTGTTTAGTCCAGCTTTCTGAAACCTTGGCTCCAGGACACTGGGAGTTGAAATTAGCATTTGCAAAGTGATCAGTTTGGTGAGATGGTTTAGTCTGGAATGCACCGCAAGATTCTTGTTTTGATTTGGGAGAGGAAAATTTCAGGTGCAGGCCTACGGGCAGGATCCTTTTGAGAGATGCCCCTAGGCTTTGTGTGGCTTCTCCAGGTAACAGAGAAAATGAGAAGGAAGACGGTGCTTTGCATATTGCCTGTATGCTGCTGTCGAGGTGTTTAGATGTAGCCTAGAAAGGTTCAGCACTTTTTTTCCTATAGGAGAATTTCCATTCCAGGTAATTCCAGACTTTTTAAAATGGGAGGAAATTTACATAACCTATATATAGGAAAAGAATTTATATAGTCGGCTGGGTACGCTGACTAGTGTTGCATGATCTTTTTAACATTGTTACTGGAACGTTTAAGCAAAGTACAAATAATAAATGTTTCCAACAGTCAATCACAAGGCTTTCACAACTGTAGTAACATGTGAAAACGTTATATTAGCACACACACAAGTATTCAGAGAATGCATTTTAAAGGGGACGTTCCTGCTGAACTTTATGTTACAAATGCACAATAAAAATGGGGCCACAGATTGTGCATAATAAAGAACAGGCTTGTCCAGATTTCTGAAATCTGCCTGTTTTGTTTATAACCTCTTCAAACCATTCTTCACAGTAATCAAAATGATCAGTCAGGTGTGGAAATATTAAATATTTCCTTCTGCAAGAACAAGATCAACCTCAGTCAAATAATTACACTTGTACAAACATTGTGTAGTATATGGGTGTATTAAATAGTTATTTGGGAAACAATTTCCTCATTGCGTGTTGTTGGCTCCTAATACTGGCTGGAGTCTTTCCGTTTGTTTGGGGCTCAGACAGGAACACCATAGAAAATGGACATAGAAATGTTGCAGATATGTTTCCGGAAGTCATAGACATGATACTTTGGGCTGAGGCAGCAACCAGCTTGTGAGTGTATAATGTTGTTTTTCGCTTTTCTGTCTCTCTGGCCCAGTATATTGAGTCTCCAGATGTGGAGAAGGAAGTGAAACGCCTGCTGAGCACAGATGCTGAAGCTGTCAGTGTCCGTATCCTTTCTCCTTGAAGTTGATTGGTGTCAGAGAAGCATCCAAGGGTACCTTTGTGCCTAACTTGCTTTCAAATGCAAGGAGAGTGCTTTAGGTTAGGGAAGAGATGGATGCAGAACAGAATATACACATAAAATTATCCACTTTCTACAGAAGACTGTAAAGTGATTTACCGCTATTTGGATATGTTACCGAAAATGCGTGTTACATGTGGAGGTACCATTTCTTTTAAATATTATGCTTCCCTATTAAACTGGTTTTTCCTTGACTTTTCCATTCCTGCTCTCAGGATGGGAAGTCATTGCCGAAGATGAAACAAAAGAACCTGACAACCATGGGTCCCTTGCCGGCCTGGATATTTCCTCTCCTGGGATGTCTGGGCACAAGCAAAGCCATGACCCATCAGGTACTGTCAGATTGCAGTCCCTGTCTGCCTTGGGGGAGGGCCTGCAGCTCGGTGGGGAGGTTTGCCTGCAGACTCTCTCAGCAGGGCTCGTGAGACTCCTGCCTAAAACTGGCCAGGTGCTGCCTGTCAAACATTTGCAGTAGTGACCTTGGTGACCTCATGGTCAGACTCGGTGTGATGCAGCTTCGTATAAGTATTCTGACCTGGTATAGGGTCCCTTCTTTTGTTTATCGTTCTGACTTGCTGATATTCATATGTTGATTCTCCAGACACTTTCACAGGGTGGGTAAAGATAAAATGTGTGCTGTGGGATGTGATTGGTCGGTGGTTCATCTTCCTATTGTTTCCCCTCAAAATACAACTGCTTCCATTGGCACAGGGACCTTTGTGTGCCGAATATTTGTTTTGGGTCCATGGAAGCACAGGGTGACGCAGTTTCTCCTGTCAAAAAGGTGGAGATCTATCTGAGGTACAAGGAAGTTACTGGGTGAAATTTGCAGGCTCAGCAGCACTTCATAGGTTGCATTAAGAGTTTGTCAGCTCTACTTTCCCCCTTCTCTCTACTGCTTCAAACCAGTAGTACGCGCTGAACTCCGGAAGTTATTTAACGATGTCAGCAGCACCAGCAGCAGCAGCGATGAAGATGAGAAAGATCACCATGACGATGAAGATTTGAACATTATGGACACAGAAGAAGACCTGAAGAGGAGGCTGCAGGGCAAGCTGAGTGAATCAGATGGGCAGCAGCAAGAAAATGAAGGGAGCAACCAGATAGGTTAGTGCCTGGAGCCTGCCACAATGGAAGGCAGACTGAAAGATGCTATCGGCAACTCTGCCTTGTGCCAGAGCGTAGTCCTGGGCCTAATACTGGGGATGCCAAGTGAACTGCTCTGTCTTCCAGTCATGGGAATCCAGAAGCAGATTGACAACCTGAAAGGCAAGCTGCAGGAAACCCAGGACCGCCGGAAACGCCAAGAGGATCTTATCATGAAAGTAGAGAATCTGGCACTCAAGGTGAGACCGGAATGTGCCTTCTTCCTTATAAAGAGGGGCCTACTCAGTTTAGCTGCAACTGAAGAAGCTTCATAGCGAAATAGAATCTCATTCAGCCAAAATTGGGCCCTTCGGGGAGAGGGGCACCACTGAAGGAAGTTCACATACTTAGTGGAAAGTCCCATGTTAAATCCTTCATATCACCAACTAAAAAGGATCTGATAGGAGAAGGACATTCCCAGGATGGTAGAAAGGTCTGCAGGGTGTTCAGGAGCGGAAGGAAGAGTGAGTTGTGCATAGAAGTCTCCAAAAAATGTACATTTTCGAAATCCGTATGTCAGCAGGTATCTTTTAGCCTATTTTTAGGGTTAGGGTCCTATCCAGCTTAGGGTTAGGGAAGGAAAACGACGAAAGAATTCCCTGAAATCCCTATGTAGGGCTTCATATCCCTATGAATTTCAGCAGTGATCATCATGTTTTCTGCCTTTCTCCAGACCCGCCTCCAAGCTGTGCTGGATGAGTTCAAACAGCAAGAGGAGAGAGAGAAGCAGCAGGTAAGGTGTTCTCTGTTTCTGTTAGGCTGGCATATGGAAAGGGAGCTGTACAAACACCCGGACCATGGAAATAGGTGTGTGACTTCTGAGAGATCCCTCCCTAAGTCTAATCAGAGATCTCTCATCATGTCTATTGGCAACCTAATTATGGAATGAATGTAAACAGTGATATGAGCTAAGGGGAAAGGCCAGTGTTGCTTGTGAGAAGTTGTAGAAACATCACTCTCAAGGCTGAAAAATAAGAGTTAGAGGTAATTATTTTGAAAGATGAAGGTGGGATGGACTGGAGACATTAAATGTTAAAAATACAAAATACAAAACTACAAATCAGCCCTCTCATTTCCTCGCCTTCTTTTTCTCTCTTGTAAGCTGGCCTCTCTTCAAGAGCAGCTCGAATCCCTTATGGAGAAATGAGGACGTGCCTGAAGCTCCACACTGCACTGCTGTTATGTCAACTGAGAAGTTCCAGAGTCTTCCTTTTTTATGCCAACTCTTTAAATCTGCCGGTGCAGACTTCCTTGGTTCAAGGACTGACAACGTGATCCCTGCTGGTATCAAACTCAACAGGCTCGGAAATGCGTATAGGAAAGACAAATATTTTGGAAGTAAAAATTTTCCTAGTGTCCATTCTGAAGGCCTCTCTGCAGCATCCTTGGTTGCTAGAGATACCTGCATCTTTTTCACTTTCTGATGGGCCTGCATGCAAAAACGGGTTTTTAGAGATGGTTCTGCTCAAAAAGCTGCATGAAATGAGTTCTTATCTTAAAGCTGGAGCCATGGCCTTTTCTAGAGGCTGCCTCTTTCCATTACCTGCAAGCATTGCTTGTGAACAGGAAGAAAACACTGTTCCTATTCTAATGTACTTATTTCTGTTGTCTGTGAAAGGTAGCCTCAGAATAATAAAAGTAATTGAAATGGCATGTGTTGCTGCTTCAGTGTATTATTTAAAACACTTCTCATTTGAGTTGTCTTTCTCATAGTACTGATTGCTGGATACACATCAGAGAATTCAGTCCTGTTTTCTTCTCAGAGGGTGGCTTGCTCAGTCCTCCTGGCTACAGACATGGGGTTGGATTGGGAATCGTCATTCTACTTCTGACAGGATGAACATTTCCTGTCCTCTTCCCTCGAGAGAGTACTCAACACCCTCTAGATCTGTTCCAGCAGGTCTCCCAAACCTTGAGTAGATTTGGAGTCCACGTGGGAAGATTCAGAGTGAGGGCCTGTGCTACCACCATATATATATTGCTGGTGGATTAGTGTTCTTGGATCCAACCTTCAACAAGTGATAGAAGTCCAACCTATAAGTTTCTAAGCTTAATGGAGAACAGGAGGGACCCTCTGAAAGTTAAAAATGGCTTCCCAGTTCATTTTAGTTACCCTGGTTCCCAGGTATGCTGTCCGGTTCCTATGCATTTATCCAGACTATATTATCTTACAATTCACAAAGGAATTTTGTCCTTTGTCTACCGCCACGGAATTTGGACTTGGGGTTTGGAATAAACATAAGAATCACAAAGCTGGAAGAGGTCAGTGAGGCCATTGGAAACAACTCCCCACTCAGTGGAGGGATCCCAGGTTGAGGCATCCCTGATGGATGGCTGCTCAGCTGCATCTTGAATGCCTCCAGCATGGAAGAGTCCATGGCTTCTCTAGGTCATTACTTCCATCGTCATAATGTTCTAACTGGAATTTTTTTCTGGTGTTCGGTTGGGATTCTGGCTTCTTGAACCTGCACTCTGGGATGGCCAAGAAGAGATTTGGCACACCTCTGTGTGACAGTCTTTCAAATACCCGAGAGCTTTACTATCTCAGGCTTCTCAAGGCTGAGCGTGCCCAGGTGTTCCTCACAGGGCTTTGTTTCCAGTCCCCCGATCATCTGAGATGCCATTCCATGTCTCCTGTTTGCATCTTTCCAGACTGTGGTGCCCAGAACTGGATGTAGCGCACAGGATGAAGCCTAACCGGTGAGGAATGCAGGGCAACAAACACTTCACCTGATTTGGAAGTGATGCTTTTATTAATGCAGCCCAAATAGCATTTTTCAGCCTCATCACACTGTTGGTTCATATTCAGCTTGTGGCTTACAATAATTTTCTTGTAATATTGTTGAGCCAAATACACCTCCTCTTATAACTATGAATTTGGTTTCTTTTTGCTAGGTGCAGAATTTGACATTTGTTTCAGTTTCCTTCTGTTGATTTCAGCCCAGCGCTTCAGCCTTGAGTTTGGATATCCTTGAGTGGCTCAGCTATACCTTAAGGGTGAATCTACTCTGAACAAACTGTTTTGTCCTGGCCTAGAGAGGGATGAAATACACAAGGCTGCTTTTTCTGCATTGATGCAAATTGTGCACCAACTCATGAAATGGGCCACAAATGCAACAAAAAAGAAAACGAATGGAAAGAGTACCCGAATTGTTCCTCTCTGATTAGCACTAGTTCATGCTGGGCCAACCGTGGAGGAATGTGATGGCCTCACCTTGTTTCATTTATTTATAATTATTAAAGCACTTACATGCTGCTTGTTAGCTTACAGATCAATAAAATAAAATAAAAGCTTGCCTTTAGGCTAGAAGACATTTAGAAAATCTAACAGCTTTTGCAGATGGAATGTTTTTGTATGGAAATTCATTTGTGTGAGCTCTTATGTCACCACCTCGCTACTGCTGTCTTGAGGCAATGTTTACCACTTCCATGAGAATTAGTTCTAGGAAATTGCTGGCATGATCTAGAAGGATATTGAGAACAGCCTCTGTTTATTAAGTAGCCTAGTCTAATTTCGAATGTACTAAGAAGGCAAATCCTAGATTAACCCAGCAAGCAGAGTGAGGATGAAGAGGGGAAGACGAGAGTTCCAGTGTGCAGCCTCTCCAACACGTTAGAGATGATTAGGGTCATGGGGGATCAGCCTCTGAACAGGGTGTCTCTGGAATAGGACATCCATTTAATTCTTCATAGTGTTTGGGGTCTCTGCTGTTCAGATCTAAGTTACAGATCTGAACGTGAGGAAGTCATCCCATCAGATAGAGAGCGTGTCTTTTTGGGTCTGGCCCAGAAAGATCATAAGAGGAACCAAAGTTATTTGGGAAAAGAAAAAAAGAAAACTCTGCTAGCAGCTCAGCCATGGAAGAAACATACCTACTTAATGTCGAAGGAGTCAAGAAAAAGATTTTACATGGAGGCTATGGGGGGCTGCCACATTTCCAAGATGGGAGCAAGGTAAGTGGATACAAGGCTGCAGATCTTGGCCGCAGAACCTGATGGTCAAGGCAATAGAGACAAATCTTGTACCACCACAATTGTGCTGTGATTTTCAAACCATGCCCATTGGCTTGTTCAGAAAGAGTGAGACAGATGAAGAATTCCTAGTTAGGAAGCCGAGCAGGCAGCCTTTCAAGGGATGGCTGCAGAGACACTGCAAAGAGGTGGTAGGTAGGCAAAGACCGCCGAACTTCCCGTGGTTTCAGTCAGGATAGACTGGAGCCTGAACAGCCTTAACTGTAAGCGGTCTTTGCAGGTCACGTTCCACTTCCAGACGCTGAAGGACAACTTCGAGCGGACAGTGATAGACGACAGCCGAAGGGCTGGCGTCCCCATGGAGATTATTGTGGGGAAGATGTTCAAAATCGAGGTCTGGGAGACCCTGTTGACTTCCATGAGGATCGGTGAGGTGGCCGAGTACTGGTGTGATGCTATTGTAAGTGTGTGGTGATGCCAGGCCTCCAGGCCTCCTGCTGGTGGAGGAGGCAGTTATCCATCTTAGGTAAACGGGGCAACTGCATGTCATATCCAGGAAGACGTCACTGGCTGTGGACGAACAGCAGGAAGGGGCACTTGCCCGTGTGACCTGCTTGTGGCCTTCCCAGAAGATAGCTGGCTATGCCACTGCAGGAAAATGGACTTTGGTCTGATCCAGCAGGACTCAGCAGACCACTGTCCTATCTCAGATGTCCCCAGCCTTTGTGTCCTTATGATGTTTGGGGTGAAAGCACTGAATTACTAGCCATTAGCCCTGCTGGCCAGGACTGATGGGAAGTTTAAAACATGTTGGAAGACATTTTTCCAGTCTGGTGGCCCTCACAGGCATTTGGGCCACAACTCCCAGAATTCCCATCCAGCAGGGTCATTGACTGGGAATTCTGGATGTTACAGTCCATATCTGGAAGGCACAAAGGTGGGGAAGGCTGATCTAGAGGGACCCAGGCTGGGCAAAGCGGCTCTAAATAGCTTCCTATCACCTGATATGGCTGGGAGCAGTAGCCTGAAACATTCTTCATCATCAGTGACTTGAGATCCTTTAAAATTACAGATCAGGGCAAGGAATTTGGATGTGAGATTCCAACTCCCATCAGCCTCAGCAAGCATGGCTAAGCTCAGGAACGAACAGCCCTCCTTTCCAGATTCCCATCATCCTCCTGCCTCCCAGGCTAGCTTGCCAACATCTCTGGAACTTCAGGAGCAGGCCAGTCTGTTTGGTCCATCTCCAGCTCACATCCACAAGGATGGCAACACATTGCCTGGGGTCTTGAGCAGAGGTCCCTCCTGTCTTCTTTAACTGGAGATGCTGGAGATGGATTAAGCATCTGCTCTTCCTCTGAACTATGGTCCCTCCCCAAAGCTTTTCCTCAGAGCAGCATTGGCTTGTCTGGAGATGAGTCCAGGGCCTCTCAGACCCAAAGCAGTAAGTCATAACATCTGAGGAGCACAGAGGCCAGCCAGTGGAACAGGAATGCAACAGCACTCCCTGCCCACGTTCCCCAGCAACTCTAGGGCATAGGCAGATAGCCTCTAATCCCAAAGGTGCCATAATACGTTATTATTTTGTGATTAATGCTCCGTTCTATACTGCCTCATAGCCAAAGCTCTATGGGCAGTTTGGAAACATTCCAGAGCACAAGTGCAAGTTCATAAAACCACATTAGAGAATGTTGAACACATACAAGCTTAAAAAATAAGGTGCAATCTTATGCATGTTTAGACAGAAGAAAGTCCAGCATGCTCCTGGCTGGAGAATCCTGCAAAGCGTAGGACCCCTTTCCCTCTAAGCAAGCACAGCATTTGCCCCTTGATAGCTGAAACAATGGCAGTAGCAGCCAGTGACAGTCAACCTGAGTCCTAGACGGGCCCTTCACAACCCAGCCATGTCCTCCAGAAGCATTGGACGCCAACTCTCCTCATTCATTGTAGGCTAGCTGTGAGGACTCCCTTGCGCTCCTGAGCCCCATCTCCCGGGATCTTCACTGAAGCCCGCCTTGGGTTATTTTTAAGCAGACTCAGAAGACTTTTTCATTTTGCTGAGCTGTTGCACGATTCATTTCAGGCGGGCTCCTTTGTTCTAACTGGAGCCGTTCCAGACACTGTGACATCCCCTTGTTTCTCTGCCTGTGAGCCTCTGTGGGAAGCTTCTGGACTTAAAATGTGGGGTTGAAATCGCTTAAATATAGAGATGGGGTGGAAGGGGCTGGACGAGGAGCTCCCATGGGGATAGGAAGATCACAGGGTGTCTTTTCAGATGGGTAATGTCGGAGGTGGTGTGTGTGCCACCCACGCCCCTTCTGCAGAGGTCTCCATCGGCACCGCTGACTGCCAGCTCCAGGTTTCCGCATGCTGGTGGCACTGGAACCGTGCCTGCCCTTGATGCATCCCTGGCAACACGCCCAAGGCCCTCCTTCGACGCGGAGCGTGTCGGCCTGAGGCTTCTCTCCATTGCTCTTCCAGCACACGGGCATGTATGCCCTCGTCTCCAAGGGCATGAGGAAAATTGCCGAGGGGAGAGACCCCCTGGAGGGGCAGAAGCACCGCTGTGGGATGGGCAACATGTTTGACTACCACAGCACGGGCTATGCAGACCTGGACGACCTGCAGAGGGAGCCTCAGCCCCTCATCTTCATTATGGAGCTGTTCAAAGTGAGTCGGACAATCAGAATGCGATCGCAGGGCACTTAGTCTGGGGGTGGAGAACCGGATCCCACCTGCATGGGATTTCCTCTATGGCCACATGCCTTTCCCATGCCCTCTTTCTCCTAATCATTAACGATTTGGTGTTTTCCTAGCAACTGCGTGCTTCCCCGCAACATCCTTCTGCTGTTGCCAGCAGTAAGAGCTTGAAGCTTGAACTATCCTGGGTGTTGTTGTTAGTCGCGAAGTCGTGTCCGACCCATCGCGACCCCATGGACCACATTCCTCCAGGCCTTCCTGTCCTCCGCCATCCCCCGGAGTCCACTTAAGCTCACGCCGACTGCTTCAGTGACTCCATCCAGTCACCTCATCCTCTGCCGTCCCCTTCTTCTTTTGCCATCTATTGTTCCCAGCATTAGGCTCTCTCCAGGGAGTCCTTCCTTCTCATTAGGTGGCCAAAGT